AGATGGGGGGGCCAATAAAAGCAGCTTGGGCTTGGATTTGGAATTTGGATCCCACAACTTTTCACTTTGGGAAACGCTTCATAAGTTCGACGATGGCCCAGAGTACCAGCTGTGGGCCGCTCGAATGATCGGGCGTTCCTTTGCTGCCACGGGCAAAATCAATGAAAAGTTGATGCGCGAGCAAGAGAATGATTTGTTTCAGACACCGGAGGTGAATAAACACTCAAACATTGCTCCTCAGTCCAAGACCACTATTCTTCAATTGCTCTGCAGCAACCTCCAGGTCCAAGATCATGCCAAGACTGGCTTAATTGAGAGGACTCTCCAGGTCATTATCAGCCACATCATAGATGCTGATGGTTTGCAGGAGTATGTTGATATTATTCCTCAATCACTTATGCCGGTCCTGCTTTGGAACCCATATTCCTGCCCAAAATTGGCGCTGCCCACGGCAAAACTCAAAATTTGCGATCTCGGTCTTCAGGAAGGTGCTGAACATACACATCTGACTGAGTGGGCTCGTAATGCTTCTCTGTCCCTGTCCAGCGCTGCCTCGCATGATCCCGTCATTGGGCCTTTGCGTGCGGTTTTACACATGATTCCAGGGTTGGCAGTACAGGTCCTGCCATACATCATTCATGAGGTGCTACTATCTGAACTTGATAGAGAAAGTCGACTTCGACAGGCGATCTCCGGTCTTTTTAAGAATATTCTCAGTGGAGTCACTGCAGACACCATGCCACATGCTCGACTTGTCATCAGTTGCATATTGTATCTTCGAAACCAGCCTATTCCCAAGGAGTCCACAATTGTTGATCGCGACAATTGGCTTGACATCAACTATGGCCAGGCATCTTCGGCTGCTCATCAATGTGGGCTGCAGAAGACAGCTCTTCTTTTCCTCGAAATCGAGGCATCCAGAGTGATGTCGGGATCTCGCCGCTCCTCCGTGGCAAAATACGAACCGCCAGCGGGTCTTCTGCATGATATCTTTAAGAACATCGATGATCCAGATCTTTTCTATGGAATTCAACAAAGCTCATCTTTGACCACTGTCATGGAGAGGTTAGAGTATGAAAGCTCAGGCTTGAAAAACCTTCTCTTTCAGAGTGCGCAGTACGACAGCGAAGTCCAGATGTCTGACAATGCAAACCCCTTTGGAGTTTTGAGGGCCTTGAACGCGACAAATCTACAAGGAATAGCCAATACAATGTTGTCTGCTTCTGGAAGTGCTAATGGTGTGCCCGCGTCTTTCGACAGCATGCTGCAAGCAGCGACAAGTCTCCAGCAGTGGGATATTCCAGTCTCACCACTCGATGTTTCACCTCCAGCGACCGTGTTCCGCGCATTCCAAAGTTTGAACACATCAGCATCCTTGTCTGAAGTCGCTGTTTCCCTGGACAACTGTCTTTTAGCAACATTAAAGACTCTCAGCGAGACAGGTCAATCAACAATCGAATTACGAAACACAATGCGTGCACTTGGAATCATGACTGAGATGAGTGATGTTTTACACGCCTCGTCAGCCCAGGAAATGACGGACGAATGGGAGCAGATTATGGCCAGAAGTAGTTGGCTGAAGACTGAGAGGTGAGTCGACTGACGTCTACTACTCTGAATCTTCTCTACTTGAACAACCTGTACTAATCGAAGTAGCTATGCTGAGGTCGGGGAGATTTTGAGCTGGCATGAGGCACTTTTTTCTTCAATCAGGAAAAATGAATTATTGACGTCCAAGTCAAACCTGAGTCCAGCAGACTCTCGTTTACTCGAGGCAAAGGTTTTCCGCCAATCACTGGATGTCACAAGGAGTCATGGTGTTTCTCAGGCTTCTTTAAAATCCGCGATTAGCTTGTCGAAGCTCGCTGCACCTTGTGCTGAGCTGGGAATGAACATCGAAGGGGCAGCGAAATTCGATCTCGCCAACGTTCTTTGGGACCAGGGAGAAATGACTGCATCAATCCGGATGTTGCAACAGTTAAAGGGCCAGAACGATCTACATAAACAAGCTATCCCACTCAGCCGTGCTGAATTGCTGGTCACCTTGGTAAGACATTTCAACACCTTGTCATATTTCAGGTCTAACGAATGTACACTAGGGACATCACGTCGCCGAGGCGCGGCTAGAAAAACCAGAGTCAATCCTCCAGGATTATCTGTATCCGGCCGTCAAGGAACTGAAAGGTGTTTCAGAAGGAGAGTCCGCTGGGCGAGTCTACCACGGCTTCGCGAGTTTCTGTGACCAGCAACTTCTAAACGTCGACGGAATGGAAGATTTCAAACGAGTTAAGCAACTGCGTGATCGCAAAGAGAAAGAACTCCTCGGTCTAGAGGACATGATGAAGAATGCAGAGGGCCGAGAAAGGGAATCTTTAAAGATCTTCCGTGCCAAAGCAAAGCAATGGTTCGATCTCGATGATCGCGAGTACCAGCGACTCTTACGAAGTCGCGAGGCTTTCTTACAACAGTGTCTTGAAAACTACCTGCTTGCTCTGCGTGAAAGCGAAGTTTACAACAATGATGCTCTTCGATTCTGCGCACTCTGGCTCGACAAATCAGACAGCAAAACTGCGAACACAGCAGTATCTCGATATGTCAGCGACGTACCAAGTCGCAAATTTGCTCCTCTCATGAATCAGCTTTCATCGCGCCTTCTCGACGTTTCTGATGATTTCCAATCGCTTCTCACTGAGCTGGTCTTCCGAATCTGCGCAGAACATCCATTCCATGGAATGTATCAGATCTTCGCTAGCAGCAAGTCAAAGGGTGGAAAAGACCAATCCTCGCATTCTCGCTTCCGAGCGGCGAACAAGCTCGTCGACCGCTTGAAGAACGACAAGGACATTGGCCCGACCTGGATTGCAGTCCACAACATGAACATTACGTATGTTCGTTTCGCCATTGACAAGCCCGACAGCAAATTCAAGACCGGTGCGAAGATTCCTCTGAAGAAATTGCCCACAGGAGATCGCCTGGGGAAGGATGCGGAGACGTACAAGCTGCCTCCGCCCACAATGAAAATCGAGCTCCGAGCCAATCTCGACTATAGCGACGTCCCTTCGATTGCCCGGTTTAGCTCTGAATTTACGCTTGCATCTGGTGTCAGTGCTCCGAAGATTGTGACTGCCGTTGCCACGAACGGCGTACGATACAAGCAACTGGTCAGTTCTTCGGGCCCCTTCCTAATAAACACTATGCTAACAATCCCCTAGTACAAAGGAGGGAATGACGACCTCCGCCAGGACGCAATCATGGAACAAGTATTCGAGCAAGTAAGCAGTCTTCTGAAAGATCATCAACCTACACGCCAACGGAACCTGGGAATTCGGACCTACAAGGTTCTTCCGTTAACGCTAAATGCTGGAATCATCGAATTCGTGCCAAATACCATCCCACTACACGACTATCTGATGCCCGCACATCAGCGATATTTCCCGAAGGATATGAAGCCCAGTGCGTGCAGAAAGCATATTGCCGATGTGCAGACCAGATCGTTTGAGCAAAGAGTCAGGACGTACCGCCAAGTTACGGAACATTTCCACCCTGTGATGAAATACTTTTTCATGGAGAAGTTCAGTAACCCAGACGACTGGTTCAGCAAACGATTGGCATATACCCGGAGTACTGCTGCGATCTCCATTCTGGGTCACGTTCTCGGACTTGGTGATCGACATGGTCATAACATCCTGTTGGATGAAAAGACAGGAGAGGTGGTGCATATTGACCTAGGTGTGGCGTTTGAACAAGGACGCATTCTTCCAGTTCCTGAGGTGGTCCCCTTCCGATTGACTCGAGACTTGGTTGATGGGTTTGGCATCACCAAGACGGAGGGTGTTTTCCGACGCTGTTGTGAGTTTACCTTGGAAGCTCTCCGGCAAGAGTCGTACAGCATCATGACTATTCTGGATGTGCTTCGATATGATCCATTGTACAGCTGGACTGTGTCTCCCCTCCGAATGAAGAAGATGCAAGACAACCAGGATGCTGGAAATGGACCTCCTCTTCTGCCTGGTGCAGAGGACAAGCCTGCCACCAACGAACCAAGCGAGGCTGACAGAGCTTTGACCGTGGTTGCGAAAAAGTTGAGCAAAACCCTGAGCGTCACGGCCACCGTCAACGAATTGATCCAGCAAGCGACCGATGAGAAGAACTTGGCCGTACTTTATTGTGGTAAGTGATCATAGCCTGTGTAGGCCTGACTGTGCCATTGGCTAACTTGCTATCAGGGTGGGCATCTTATGCTTAAAGCAGATCAGGCGGTTTTCAGCGCGTAAATATTACATTATCCCATATGTGTCGATAAAGAGGACGAGCTCCAATTGTGTTCACATCAATATTTCTGCCTCGAAGCGGATCTATTCCCTCGTAATCATGTAAAATTCTCAATATCAGGGTTATCCGTAGGATTTCGCGCGCATACTGTCTGGCTACCAGGTATGGCAACCAAATGCCAAATTTCAGGATATTGGCCAATAGACTGGGAGAGATTGCTCAACTGACTAGCCATTAGAATGATACCACTAATACAGACCAGATTCTAAGTGAAAAAGCCGCGCCTTGTCAGACCGATGATCGTATACGTATCACGCATTCCTCTACGCTGGTGTGAATCACAATGAGGGGCTATACAGCCAATGCAAACAGTCGCCCTTTCGCCTTACTCGTGTCACACCAGGTCCGTCAATTTCACATCAAATGTGAGAAGAACACCTAACACGGGGTTGACAGCTTAGAAGCTCTACGCATTACAGTTCGAAAGGTGTTATGTCCGCACGTATGGCTGGTAGACTTCGTACAGCAGAGTGGCCCGGTCGGGGACTACACTGGTACTAAGACCTAATCCCTATCTACTGTCCTAGTCTGGTGTTCCATTGATACATAGCTGCTTCAAGATCTCAACATCGTATGGTAACGAGATATGTATCAACGAAGCCAAAGCTGAATTCGATCTCGCACCAGGATATTTGGGTCTCAAGACTCAAACAGACTTGGCGATATTCTGCGGTTGGACACGGCCGGACTAGAAGACCAGTAGAACTGGGCCTCATCGATGTCTCTAATTTGTCATCGAGCCATGTCGAATGGAGAAATAATCCCTTTACGTGGTCGCTATTTCTAGCCAACCATCTATCTTGGGTGCCTGCTGCCGGGGCGTCCAAGCCCCCGTGGTTATTTGGCATTCGTGGCATTTTTCCAGTTTGGGTGTTGAGGTGTTATCGCGCCGAGATATACCGTGCCACCACTTAGTCCCTAGACATCGGCTGAGAATTTTCAGTCCTTGACATTCAACTGCTTCGTTCCAACATTATTCCGTCACCAAACCAGAATCACTAACATAAGTCGGCTTATCAATAGTGGCGATATCTGCTATGGCTGACACGCCTAATCGAGGGATTGTCGTCATTTCCGGAGGTAGTGCCGCGAATAACCTCGTCGATGTTTTTGATGCCGTGCGAGACAGCAAGGACTGCTTGCTGAGTTACATCATCCCAATTAGTGATAATGGTGGCTCCTCGTCGGAGCTGATCCGAATCTTTGGGGGCCCTGGAATCGGCGATGTTCGAAGTAGGCTCCTTGACACGCGACACTTTGCGACACTCCTTCGGAAGAGTATGTTTGGCTGACACTGTTATCCCAGGTCGTCTCGTGCGGCTAATTCCAGACTCACCTGCCAATTCTGAGCGGACCGCGATCAAGACTCTCTTCAATCATCGCTTGCCTGCCCAAGCAGGGGCGGCGGCGCATGAATGGCTCACTATCGTAGATGGCACGTCCAGCCTATGGAAGTCCATCACCCCCGCGAAGAAAGAGTTGATCCGCTCATTCTTCAACATGCTGAATTTGGAGATCCTCAAGCGAGCGCGGCCACCGTCTTCCACCTTCGATTTCACCTCCGCCAGTGTCGGAAATTTGTTCCTTACGGGTGCGCGACTCTTCAGCGGAAGTTTTGAGAGCGCCATCTACCTCCTAGGAAGCATATGCGGCGTGCAGTCGGACATAGTGCGTGTCATCCCGGCAATCAACTCCAACTTCTCACACCACATATCTGCCACGCTCGCCGATGGAACTGTCATTGTTGGCCAAAACAGCATATCCCACCCGAGCGAGACTACGGCCCTCCAGCGCGACCGTGGCAACCAGCCTAGACGGCCTAGCTTACTCCTTGCCGACGGAGATGACCTAGAAGATACTGGCTCGGATGCCTCCGACGCGGTGTCATATGAAGAGGATCATCTCCCGGGCTCACTCGCTACCTTGCGGAACAAGAATATCTCTTTTAATAAAGCCGAAAATGAAGACCTACCCAGCCGGATCAGCCGGATTTGGTATATCAATCCATACGGACAAGAGATTCGACCACCCGCAAACCCCCGGGTCTTAGAAGCATTGAGCGATGCCCAAGCTATCATATATAGCATTGGCTCATTATTCACCTCTATCATACCGGCCATCATTCTTCGTGGTGTTGGCAAAAATATCATGACTAGTCCAGCTCGTCACAAGATCCTCATTCTGAATGGTTCTTTGGACCGCGAGACAGGACCTCCATCTGCACCATTCCTAGCGTCCGATTTCGTTGAAGCTATTGCGCGTGCTTGTGAGGAAAGCCGTGGACGACATCCACATGGACCCTCTCACCACCATGAAGGGTCGCCTTCATCACCGGAAACTATCCGGCCACACCCGTCTATTCCATACACTGCGTATGTGACCCATATATTACATCTGGATGGGCCCGGCACGCCTCAAGTGGACAGGGAGAGGCTGGCAGAGATGGGGATTGAGACCTTGCGCTTATACGGGCGCAAAGTCACTGTTATAGAGGGGGACAAGGAGATTTGTGTGGGAATGAGATACGACCCAAATGCCCTAATACAAGCACTCGAGGTGGTGTTGGGGAAGAAAGGTGATGCAATGGTGCGTGGAGGCCTTGGGAGTGGGTTGGGCAGGAGAAATACCCTGGACCCCGGCCGGCGCGATAAATGAGAGGGGACCATGAGATTCCGAAAATTTAGGGGGGATTGATTGTACATTTAAATTATCCAATAATCCTAATGATAAACAGAAGAAAATCATATAAGGAGTATAACCGGGTTCATCGTCGATTCCAATAAGGCATAAATCATCATATTCGTAAAATGCTGGCCAGAGTAAATAAAACACAAAAATATTCCAGAACGCCATGCTAGCCCATGACCCGCCTTGTGATGCTCGAAGAAGGATATCGGAGAGATTCATGCTTTATTAGGACTGACCAGTCGCCTCTTCTTTGTGGTCACCTTGAGCTTCAACGGAATGAGGCTTCTGCGAGGTCCACTCGACTCATTCCGAGTAATAGTCTTTCGACACACCGGACATGTTCCCTTGGTTTGCTTTCCTTGCTCGGCACGTTGCTCGTCGATTGATTGAAGGTATTCGACGATGCACTTATGACAGAAGAGGTGACCTGCGATTAGATAGTTGTCATGTTAGCGAGGATTTAATTGGCGGCAGCGATAAGACATACCACATGAAGTGCTGGTGGCATCCTCTAGTGAGTCCATGCAAACAGGACATTGGTATGCAGTCAGCATAGAACGAGCCGCGTCTGCTTCCTCGGTCGGTTGCGCCTTGACGGCATCTTCACGCTGCTTTGCAAGTGCTTTTGCCAGAGCGGAAGAGCCCTCGACTTCAGTCAGGTCGATAGACTCGATAGGACTTTGTGGGTGGTTTGATGGAGCTGAGCTATGAGGACGACTTTCGTCGTCCCGGCGTTTTCGTTTGGTACCCCGAGCCATCGTGTGGGGTTCTGGGGAGCTGGAGGATGAGGAAGGTGGGGAGACAGAAGGTATTGACGGAACTTGTTGATGATGATGAGAGGAGGGATGTACCCGTGCCGAAGTGAGGTCAACAACAGAGACTCGTCGACTCATCTTGGGGAAAGGAGCCTAATAAGCAGCTGCAAGCGGGTCTGTCGATAGGGCGCCGTCCGAAAGGCAATGGCGTCTGGCGAGGCTATACTTTATTGAAACGGGATAGTACAAGGCCCGGCTTTTCTAGAAAGGCCCAGAAGAAATATAATCACGATATAACAGCGCACCAACGGCAAACAAAACCAAGAGTCGAGAAAGTCGAGAGAGAACGGCAGTTGACAAAGGAACGAGAATCGCGGATGGCAAAATGGCCGCATAAGTTGTTATCGATTAGCGATAAGACACCTCAAAGAGGTAGGCGGTCGAAGATATCGGCAGCGCATTTCTTCCGCCTCCTGCATGACGCTCAGAATACCACGATAGGCAACTGATATGGAAATTGCTCCACGATCACCGTTCGCCATCAATATCTCCTGAATATTCAAGCACAGTCTTTGACCAGGCTGCAGTCTCACGAGCTGCCATGACTTGAAACGTGCAAATTCAGCTACCGTATGATGTTATCTTGGAATCCATCTCACACTCCTTATTCCATGGGTATCGTGAGGGCGGCGCGCCTGAGATTGCGCCCAGTACCAGTTGTCCCCTCCCAGCTATATCTTTCGTCTGTACGTTTGTCTGTAACTGAGCACGGAAGGCTTTATTCCACGCCGGCAAACGATGAGGTAACCAGGAAACGCTCTCTTTCAGGTAAGTCGCTGGCTCTAGTACTGTCACAAGCAGAATCACGTTCTTCAGAATGGCCAAACTGACCGGGCACAGTTCCTGCTTTACCTAGATTTAATGAGATCGGCGTTCAGCATCTCAGCGATTATGTCCATCCTCAGATTTTTCCAAACAAGGGTCGGGTTCCAGATCCCGAACTCGTCGCCCTCTCAAAAGATCACTTAGCCAGACATGACCTTCTTGGCAAATCTCAGTCCGGAGCCGAGCCGATCGCCTTCGATTTTCCGCCTCTTCATGGCCAGACTCTTGATGAACACTTTCACAAGCTTGGAATGGACGCATCCGAACCGTACTTGACAAATGCCAAAACCTTTGCAGCTCTTAGCTGCCCGACAAAACCGCGAAAGTGGGTCACGCGCAGTGGATGGACCAAATATAACTCAGACGGCTCGTCGGAGCCTGTGGATGCGCCCAACGAGGAAATGCTGACCTTTGATACCGAGGTCATGTACAAGGATAATCCTTTTGCAGTCATGGCTTGTGCGGTGAGTCCGACAGCATGGTATGCATGGTTATCTCCTTGGCTTTTGGGGGAATCGGAAGAGAAGGTGCAGTTGATCCCACTGGGAGACCCTTCACAGCCAAGAATCGTCGTTGGACATAATATTGGTTATGACCGTGCCCGAGTCTTGGAGGAGTACGACATGAAACAGACGCGTAACTTTTTCCTCGATACAATGTCGCTTCACGTCGCTGTAAACGGGATGTGTTCGCAGCAAAGACCAACTTGGATGCGTCATAAGAAAAACAAAGATTTGAGGGACAAGATTGCGAGCGAGCACAATTCCGTGGAATTGGCAGCGTTGCTTGAGAACAACATGCTCAGAGAAGAGGAAGAGGAGCTTTGGGTGGGAAGGAGCTCAGTAAACTCCTTACGAGATGTGGCCAAGTTTCATTGCGATGTGACGATAGACAAGTCTCAAAGAGACTTTTTCGGCGAGCTTGATCGGGAAACCCTTCTTACAAAGTTGGACGAACTACTCGACTACTGCGCTGCCGACGTTGCAATTACCCACCAGGTCTTCAGAAAGGTCTTTCCCAACTTCTTGGAGACTTGCCCTCATCCCGTCAGTTTTGGAGCCCTTCGGCATCTCTCTTCCGTCATCCTTCCCGTGAATCAGACCTGGCAAGAATATCTCACGCAAGCTGAAGAGACCTACCACAAACGACTCGACGAAGTCCAACGGAAACTCCTCGAGTTATGCGATGGAGCTTTAAAGATGAAAGCTCAACCCGACTTGTACACGACTGATCCTTGGCTACAGCAGCTGGACTGGTCTGGCCAGGAGATCAAAATGGTCAAGGGCAAGAAAAAGGGCGACCCTCCCCGTCCTGCTGCCAGGCAAAAGAAACCAGGAATGCCCAAGTGGTACAAGGATCTCTTCCCTTCCAGCAATGCCGACATCAATCTCACCGTCCGAACAAGAATTGCTCCTATCCTACTCAAACTGTCTTGGGATGGTTACCCTCTTATTTGGTCTGACAAGTATGGATGGACTTTCCGAGTTCCTCGTGACCAAATTAAGAAATACGAGAATCAACCGGTCGTCGTTTGTGACATGGCCGAGGAGAAGAACCTGCAACTACGCGATGATCGAAAGAACACTTACTTCAAGATCCCTCACAAGGATGGCCCGCAGGCTCGGTGCACCAATCCTTTGGGAAAGGGTTACATGCAGTACTTCGAGCGTGGAATTTTGTCTTCGCAATTTGAGCTTGCTAAGGAGGCCTTGGAAATGAATGCCTCGTGCTCCTATTGGATCAGTGCAAGAGACCGAATCAGGGGCCAGATGGTTGTTTATGAAGACCAAATACAGAAGAGTAGCTCTACACACGATCCGACGGAGAATCGGTTAGGGTTCATCCTGCCCCAGGTCATCCCCATGGGTACCATCACTCGCCGAGCCGTGGAGAATACCTGGCTCACTGCAAGCAATGCAAAGGCCAATCGGGTTGGGTCCGAGCTCAAGGCGATGATCAAGGCCCCTCCAGGTCATGTTTTTGTTGGTGCAGATGTTGATTCTCAAGAGCTGTGGATCGCCAGTCTTGTTGGAGACGCTCCTTTCCAGTTGCACGGGGGTAACGCGATTGGATTCATGACGTTGGAAGGCTCCAAGGCTGCAGGGACCGATCTACATTCCCGCAGTGCCTCAATTCTCGGCATCTCGCGTAATGACGCTAAAGTGTTCAACTACGGTCGAATCTATGGAGCAGGCGTCAAATTTGCGGCGACACTCTTACGCCAGTTCAACCCTTCCTTGACCGAGAAGCAAACACAGGAGACCGCAGCCAATCTTTATAAGGAGACCAAGGGCACTCGAACCTCACGCCGTGCCCTGAGCGAAACTCCCTTTTGGCGAGGTGGCACTGAATCATTCGTGTTCAATAAGCTCGAAGAGTTTGCTGATCAAGAGAGGCCAAGAACGCCGGCACTCGGGGCCGGTATTACTGAAGCTCTCATGCGCCGCTTCATCAACAAGGGAAGCTTTATGACTTCTCGCATCAATTGGGCTATCCAATCATCAGGTGTTGATTATCTTCACCTTCTCATTGTGGGCATGGATTATCTCATTCGCCGATTCAACATTCAGGCCCGCCTGTCCATCACTGTTCACGACGAGATACGCTATCTGGTGAAGGATGAAGACAAGTACCGCGCCGCGCTCGCACTCCAGATCGCCAACGTTTGGACACGGGCCATCTTTTCACAGCAAGTTGGCATCGATGATCTCCCTCAGTCCTGTGCGTACTTCTCCGCCGTCGATATCGATCACGTCCTGCGGAAGGAGGTTGACATGGATTGTATCACGCCTTCGCACCCTCACAGAATTCCTCACGGCGAGACTCTGGATATTTCTCAACTTCTGAAGAAGAATGAGGCAGCATTCTTGGATCCTACCATCGCCCCTGCATCCCCTCCTACTCCTGAAAAGTATGACTATACCCCCCGGGAATCGGTTATGTCCACCCTCCAGGCATCCAACGATCTCGCGTTCATCAAGGCTCAGATCACAAAGGATGATAAGGAGCTTCGTGATATTATCAAGGAGAAAGTCCAGGCTGCCAGTGCGGGGAAGACTACTCCTACAACCCGCACTTCGCCCACGAAGGTCAAAGGTAAATCCACCGGCTGGGCGTCTGCGGAGCCCCAACGCGCAGTCCTGATGGACATGGAATCCGGCTTATATCCTGACTTCCGAAACCCTCGACCGTCCTCCAACGGAAATGGCAAGCATCAACATCAGGTTGGCATGTACCGGTCTTCTTGGAAGCCTCGGACCTCTGCTCGTGCTTAGCCATGGTCCGCTCTACCCCACCCTCTCCTTTACTTTTTTTTATATCTTCTCTTTCCACCCTTTTTACATTCTTTTTCTCTACTGAATCATTCTTCACCCTCTCATGTTTGAATATTGGGCTGGCTGTATGTTTTATGCTCTTACGTGGATTGCATCGGGGACTAGCATTGGGACGGCGTCGAAGATGTTACGATGTTACCTATAGAGTGACAATAATTAAGAAAATGTACATTCATCTCCAAGCCTTGGCTTGCGGCAACAGGATCTATTTCCAATAAAACAACTGCTTTCAATTGTAGGTCTCTTGTTGACTGAAACACTTGGACCTCCATATCTCGTGGACATATCTCGGCTTCAAGTTTCCTTCCACATTGAAGGCACACTATCAAACTGGGTTAGCATTCACTTGAGACACATGGGGCACTTTCACATACGCAACCTCAATGACAGCACACCTGCCCCCCTGAACAATTCTGGTCCCCTCTTGCAAGGCTTGATCCAATTCGCTTTGCACCTTCACCGTAGCGCCCCAAGCGTTGCCAGCAGCGGCGGCAATCGCTGGATAGTCAGGGGATGGCTCGAAGGAGATGTTCAGATCTGAGCAATTATTAGCCTCGGCTACAGATGTGGTTGTCAACTCTCTTTGACACTTTGACAAACCTTTCCTATTAGACTTTGACGCCAGGCCATCCTTATGAACCAGAAGAGCAGACACTTTGGGTGCATTCCATCCTCCGTTGTTCAAGACAATCATCAGGAACGGAACGTCATAGCGTCTAGCGATCCAGTAGACGCTTTCCATCTGCGAGAAAAGATATGTTCCGTCTCCGACTCTGGCCGTGAATTAGTATACGTTCACAAATGAAAGACAAGGTATTACACACATTCCACAGACAAAAGAATTCGGTTGTGCCAATTTCACCCCCAGAGTGGCACCGCCGCCCCAGCCGAGGCCACCAGCACCACTGGCGACGAGGCTTCCGGGCTGCGGTAAAGTGTTAGACATGCCAAGGCTGTGAGGGTATATGTACGACGGCCTACCTTGACCAAGTTAAGATGGTGGATTAGTAATCCAGCATTGGTGACGGCTTCCATGACAAAGGTCGTATCTTTGGGAACGTGCTGGCGCAGACGAGATGTAAGATATGGAACGCTGATCACACCATCTTCAGGTGGTGACTGCAAGCTGCGAAGCTCCTCCCGCCATTTAGCGTAACGTGTTGCGCGAGCCTCGAACTCGAGAGCATAGTCCGCTTCTTTCAGGTCCTGTTGATCCAAAAAGGTGTTGAGCTGCTTGAGTGCGAGCTCGCAGCTGACTTTGATCCTGCGTATAGCGTTGAAAGAGAACACTGGGGTCCGAATATCAGCAACGTATTAAGTCAAGGCCGGACACGACTTACATGGCATTTGCTGTTTGAGGGGATCAACGTCGAGATGGAATATCTTGGTTCCTTTAGTCTGTCAGTTAGTAGAAGCTCAAAAGGTTAAGAGTAGCGTCATGCCTTTTTGGGGTTTGCCTGCAGTTGGAATCCATGGCACATCGCAATCCAAGATGAGGATTACGTCGGCCTCTAGAACTGCTGGGTGTGTTGTAACAGTCACGCCCAGATAGGCTTCATGGTCGCTTCTAATGCAGACATCGGATCCAACCATCTCCACGACACCAATCGGCAGCTTGTCGCAAAGCTCTTCCAACAAAGGGGGAGCCTTGTGATTTCGACCTAGATAACCGGTGACAACAATGGGTCGCTTTGCGCTCATAAGAGTTGTCGCAATCAGTTCCACCTCTGTAGTTGTTAGAAACTTGTACAACCTTCAAGGTCAAACTTCTTACCTGAATCGGGCAGGGCACTGGGCACAATAGGTGTCAGTGTCTCTTCCTCAAGGAACTTCCGATCCACTTTCTAGAAATTTGGTGTGAGCAAATTGTTTTTTATCTGTTCAAATCCAAAGCGAAAATGTACCTCTTCCAGGACCTCTCTCGCAGCCATAAGATACGTTGGGCCTTTAGGATCAGACATGGAAAATTGCAAGGCTCTGTTGACCATCTCCTTGATGTTGCGGCCTGTCTTGATTTCCCCAGAATACCGGCAATACTGACGGAGAATTGCCGCCTGATCAGGCACATCTTGCAACCAATGGATGAACCTTGAATGGTGTTAGCTGCTGAATATGACCGTACTTCGAGTTTCGTACTCTGTCCTTGAGCCCGTCAGTTCACCCCGTTGGGTGAAAGGGCTGAGTCCAGCAAAGCACAGTACCGGCACTCGACCGATCGATGCGTTGTGGATGGACTGGCCCAATGCTAAGGTACCACAGTCAACGTGAACAATCACGCATTGCTGGTGTAGATGAGTCAATCGGTGAAAGGACATTGTGGATGCAAGGAGTGATTCATACGGGAACTCCAGTGACCTGAGCATAGCCCAGGGCAGCCGACAGCGCGACCAATTCCGAAGGGCAGGTGATAATGTTGGGAAACGTGGTTGAATTTTCTATTCCACTTTTAGAGAGAGAGTGAGTTTGATCACCGCCATATTCGGGAACTAACCTTGTTTCGCTTTGATCATAGCCTCGAGCATGGCAGGATGGTCACTCCCCCTGTTTCCATTGTCAGGCATATCGATTCCTGCCTTCCGGACATGAGTGACTTACAAATTGACAAAGCAATGTGTGACTCCAGCCTCGGCTTTGAAATTGAGGTTAGTGACAGCATTGTCAGCTTAGGAGCACTCCACTCACATAGGGCTTCAAAGAAGCCTTCGGCCGCGGAACTCAAGAGAACATCGTCGCCGTCGACATCCTCGTCATAGCGAGCCCTTTTATTGTTTCTTGATACAGTCATCACGCAAGAGTATATCAAAACCGGATACAGTAAGGCCGACTGCTTTCAATGGCTATCACTGGGGGCTGGAGAGGATAAAAAGAGTGTGTAACCCAGGTAGCCTGCAGGTGGCCTGCAGGTGAAGGACCAGTGACAGATTGTCCCACGAGCCAATCATTTCCCCGAGAACTGTCCCCACCGCGGAGGCGATCCGCGACCCCGCCCCGGACTGTGCCTCGGGCATCAGGGGGGCCCAATGCTAGCCTACGATCAACAGCAGTCCTAGTGGATGGACTTGAGCAAGGTAACTAGATATTTGCTATCTACCATGGTGGTGACATGCCAAAAGGAAAAACTAAAGCAAACATGAAATGGATACGAGATTGAAAGATATATTTGAGTGGTATGTAGGGGAACCCTCTGTCGGCAATTTGAGAGCCGGCAGAATCTCAATTTCAGGCAATCTTTCTCCCTTGATATAGGGATCGAGTCCTTCAATCAACGTACTGACGGCGGCGCTTCGTGGGTATAACCTCCTAGATAGTTTCCTAGTCAATCTCTACATTAATCTCCTAGGTAAACCTTAATTACCCTGATTACCTTGAGAGCTATTAAGCCAGTCTCAAGTAGAATGACTTAGTTCTCGTGTGATTATCATAGAAATAGAAAGAGATTCAATTCGCTCGCAGAGTACAGGATTGTCGGTATTTGATGGGTGTACAGCGAAGACCCTGTCATCACAAGCGACGATGGAGGGTCCTAGGTATGATCTTGATTTTATAGAGCCGGGTAAGGCCGGAATAGATATTGTTACACATCTTTCAAATTATCTTTCAAATTAAGACTGGCGTGATGAATGCTGGTTATATTTAATTGAGAAATAACTGTTGTAAATCTAGCGTAGAAGCTTTTCGGGGAGCCTAGATAGGTTCAGTAAATGTTCAAAAGCTGGACCTTAACCCCGGGGGATCCGAGATCGTGAGTAATGCCGGCGTTGATTTAGGGCCGATCCATTCACCTAGTGCCGCCATTCCAGCTCATAACCCGAATTACTAAAGCTCGCGATTCGGTGCTCCGAACCTCCGTCCAAACTCTGTACTACTACCACTCTGATTAGGGACTCTAAGCATAGCTTTTCACACCTCATGTAATACTCACAATTAAAGGAATAATAAATGCGCACAAACCATATTTAGTCGCTAGAATGATGATATCATCGTACCATTGGGTGGGTATATAGATCAGCGATGCTAGCCCCAGGGCGATCGATCGGATCTGGATTCTGCAGCATATCGCAGAATCAGAATGCCGAAATTAATCGCTATTATTGCAGGCGTTGGCCCCGGTACGGGCAGTGCCATTGCCCGTCGCTTTGCGCAAGCTTATCCAGTAGTCCTCCTGGCTCGGTCGCAACAGTCTTTAGATTCCGTCGCAAAGGATATTAAGGAAAATGGAGGCTCAGCGATCGGCATCCCAACTGATGTGACGAGCACCTCGGGAATGAAAACCACTATGGACCAAGTCAAAGCTCACTATGGCTCTGATATCAGTATTGCGGCGGCAGTCTATAACATTGCCAGCAAATTCGTGCGGAAGCCGTTCTTGGAGCAAAGCTCGGAGGAGTTTCTGGGCAGCCTTGAACCCTCTATCAAGGGTGCTTTCAACTTCTCCCAGGCAATCCTGCCTTTTATGTCGAATGCAGAAGAAACGCGGTATCCACCCACGTTGATATTCACAGGTCGGTCGCGTGAATAATCCTGCCAATGCTATTGCGCTGCTAATTAGTCCATCTAGGTGCGACGGCGGCACTCAAAGGAGGATCGGGACTTTCTGGGTTTGCAATGAGCAAATTCGGAATCCGTGCCATGTCGCAATCTCTTGCACGCGAGTTTGGGCCCAAGGGTGTTCATGTCTCTCATGCTATCATTGACGGCATTATCGACACCGAGAAGACAAAGAGTTACAGTCAAGATATTCCGGACTCCAAAATCGACCCAGAATGGGTGAGTCGCCTAATCATCGACGACGATCTTTGCTCAAACACTGATTTTTCATAGATTGCCGAGTCATATTGGTTTTTGCACACCCAGCCTAGAACTTCTTTCACCCACGAGCTAGATCTGCGACCATATTCCGAGACATGGTAGCATGTCCCATTCTGCCTTCCCTGTGGTAATAGAAAATTGCACTGTGACTTACCAATCGAGACGAAATTCAACGATTGTCCTAAGTGCTGGTAACAGTATTGCCGATTTGTATCCCTGCGGCAACTGTCTCCTCGTTAGCCTTCCCAACCAGAGTACCTCTATTGAAATTGTCTCTTACAGAGGAAGACTGCAACCTGTCCAACCATCCAGTGGTAATTTTGATCAATGCTAATACCCCACAAGATTGAACCAACTACAGGATTAGCCAAGTCTTCCAAACAGCTTTGCCTGTCAAACTTACCTGCAGTAACCAAGATAGCCGGGTACGCCAGCCATAAACGCATCTCTGCAACGCGAGTATCGTCTCGCTTTCTTGCCAACCTCTCAACAATATAGTCACTCAGTCGCCAGAGCAAAATATTTCTGATACTATAGTACTCAGGAGCAAGCCAAGGAACAACAGCCCTTGTATGAGTGGTGTATAATTCGCATATGCAGCTGGCACCATTGTGATGACTGATATATAGGAAATCTCTGCTTGCTGCTACAAGTCTCCTTGGCTAAGATCGCGGTGATTCAACTCGATCGGCGAGGAAAACTGAAGAGAGATCTTTGGCTTTTTACTTGATTCTTGCTAACACTCATGGTTGCGTCCGAGATAGAACGCCCGTAAGCATCTCACCTTGTTGCAGAAGACGTTCAAGGGGAAAAGCGATTCAATCTCATTCTGAGACTCACTAACTACAACACGGCTGATTTTTTAATACTTCCATTTCTGCGGGTTAGAGGGCCAGTCTCTGTCGTCATGTGGCTTGGCCAGCCTGTACTCGACATAACGGGTGTCTGACCATTCCAATTTATCACGGATTGGCCATCCTCTTCGGAAGCCTGAGATGCGACTAGACTCATGAGCAATTAGTAAGTTTTTCTAATATATGTAGGATCCTTGACGTACACATTGCCGGTGGACTGATCATAAATAATCTTGGAGATTCTAGACATGTCTGGTTTTACACCACAACGTAGCATCTCTCTATTAAATGTATTAGCGTTCTGCCAGTCTGCTATCTTAGGTTTGCGTAAACTCACTCGAAGGCAGCACGGAAATGAACACGGATATCCTCTCGTGTCCCAAGATCTAAGCTCCAGAAAAATTCCGCTGTAAGAGGCTCCCCAGGCACCTTCTCCCACACAACGTATTTGACAAAGCCTCCAGGAACAAGGTCATGCTCCCCTTGCTGTTTTTCGCAGTAGCCATAGAAACGTGGGACAGAGCTACACCCTTGACTCATTAGCAGCCTAAACGCCTCAAGTTCACCACACACTTGAGGAGGTTGGATTTGTTGGGCTAGTGTGGCCAGATCAGCGTCCTCAGTCCCAGTGATTGGAATCTGATAATAGATTCGCATAAAGGCTATTCGCGTCGGGTCCTCCTCTAGATAGCATAAAAATTTACCTACTGCCATAGGTGGCCCACAGCCCATATCAGCGTCTTTCTGTGTGAGGTGAACAGCGTTCTCTGACAGCTTTTTCGTGATTATCCACGAGCAACCAATCTCTAGCGGGGGCGAACCAGACAAGGAAATGGAAGGGGCCGTTGTGGATGTTGCCGTATTAAGCGTGGCCGCTGCGGCAGAGTCCGTAGCGAGCGAGACCGCCGACGGCGAGGCGGCTAGCGGGGAGATTCTGGGTGGGGAAGCCCCAAGTGGGGCCGCAGAGAGAGAGGCGGCAGACGCGGAGGAAGAAACAGCAGACGGCTGTTGCAGGGCGTCGAATTCGAGAAAGGTGGTGACCTTGGTCCCTACCAGGCGGCGGATGAAACGGGAGTCGAATTCACTCATGGTGAAGAATCTGGTGAACAGGTGGTTTGAGAGGGGGATGATGATAGAGAAGAGATCTGAGAGAACTGAAGGGATTCGTAATCGTATGAGGTGGATAAAAGGGAAGGAATCCCGAGAATTATTGATCAACATCAAAGACAGACATTCTGCTGCTCATCCTTCACCGCCTTGCCTGACGTAATGTCGAAATAAACCTTCGCTAAGTTGCCTCAACTCCGTACGATATTGATAAAGATCACGTGGCAATGATATCTACCGCTTTTAAAGTCCAATCAAATTGCCTCTTTCTGTCCCATAACTAGGCCTGATCCTATATACCTAACTATATATCGTAGCGCACGTCTATTATTACATTTATTACATCGTAACAGAAAAAGAAGGAAGGTTCTATCTACCGCGTTGGAAACCTTTTTGTGGTAGGCGAACGAAACCATTTATCAAACACCAATTGATCAGTTCACTTTACAACGCTTTGCCAAATTCATTCTCGATCGTGACACCAACTTCAGTGTAAATACTCCCATATGATAGCACGAGCTGCCCACTATAGAGGCAGTCACAATCACCAACAAATAGGCTTACTGTATATAGTCTGATTGGTGTAACGAGTAACTAGTACCCATTCGGAAATCCGTTTAGGCAATAGTGAAGTCGAATTTGAGTACGAGGTGTGGGTGATTCCTACTCTGTTATGCCAGCAGACAAACGCATGGTCTCCCTAGAGATTCCCGTACTCAGCCCTGGGTTGTAAGTCTTCATTCTCATATCAAGTATTCTCGTAATACGAAGATGTGGAAAGGTATTCAGAAGAGGAAGAAAGGACAGATAAATAGAAAGAAGATTCATACCCAGTTATTGTACACTAATCTCACTCCATTACCCATCTTGTATTTGATTATTACTGAAGCCGGAGTAGAATAACAGATGCTTTTTAGTCCGTACCTCGTCATAGGCACCGCATATACGCACCGTGTCTCGCAGCTGGTGCCAATAATTGTGGTGCTTCGTATCCTAACTCAGTCATTGGTCGAATTCTGGTTGTGTATTCTTCTTGTGTTATCGTGATATGGGTTTTATACAACTAGTGAGGTGCCTCGCCAGAGTCGCGTCCCTTCAGCTGAGATACGCGCTCTTGCTTGTTTGGCCATAATCAACAACTGTCCTAATTGACTGACATCACCCTGCATCGTCTTCACTCTCTCCCTGCTCGACGAAATCCAACTCTTGGCCCTAAAGTCAAGCCCCTACCGCTTCATCCTTGCTCCGTAAGTACTCTCTGCGATCTGTGTCAGTATACGCTGCTCACTTAGGATGATGCTAATAGCCTTGACGTCAAGAACGACCCTCTCATGATGTCTCGTCCAGCGCTCTATATCGGTCCCGAGATGCTGATTGCGTCCGCGCTGCCGCAGCTCCCACTTGGCCCATACCATACACAACACAGCGCCTTACACGACCTCAAGTTTACTGGTGTCCTTCAGCCATGGCAGGGCTTTTTGAGCTCTGTGCAGGCGGCACACCAGAATTACACTTTTCGCAGTCAGACCCTAGCCCTGAGACTTAAGACACGAGACCCTTATGCCCAGGGAAACGTCGAAATTGGTGATGAACATGGTCTTCTGGGCCGTTTCCACAAGCACATTGGCGACGTGCTCAACTCTGTCTTCACATCGCACTCAACCGGAATACGCTTTGCAGATTTCAAATGCGTACAGTTTACCTTCCATGGCACGCCTGATGTGATCCTGAAGGACGACAATCACCATGTGAAGGTCGCTGGAGAGCTCAAGGTGCCATGGATTGCAGATCACTGGCTAGAACATAAATACAATGACATCGACCAGCTAAGTAGAATACTTGCTCAGCCGATCAAGTACATGCAGGAGCTAGGGTGTGTGTATGGATTTATGAGCAACTACGACGAGACAATTTTTCTCAGACAGCTAGTGGATAGCCAAGGGGCATGGAGGATCGAGTTTTCTCCCGTGGTCCGGTCGTCTGACACTTACGACAGGCACCGGACGAATCCCCCTGCTGTCTCCGCTAGGCAATGTTTCTTCTATGTAGGGTGCGATGCGTTGAATCATGGAGTAGTCAACAACACCACGCCGAGATGGGTTGTGCCGAGATAGGTTGTGCCGAGATAGTGTGGAACAAATTCTACTGACCTCGTTTGTGGCCTCATTCTGTCTCAGAGATACAAAAAGGTTTCCAGAACTGACCGAACTTTCACTTTGACTTGATTGGGAGGACACACCGGCAGTCCTGTACCTATGATTACTCTATATGATTGTAGCATCATGGGGTTCTAGGGACGAAAGCGATCACTGATATTGCTTGGGCCTAATATTAAATACTAAACTAATGTACTCTCCTCATTAGTCCTGAGACACAGTCTCACTTGCAAGATCCACCTTGGTCTTCACAAAGTCTCGCGCCTTCACCTCGTTCTTAAAAAGAATATCCATCTCAGCAAAGGTGCGGTTCTTGGTCTCAGGGAGACGGAAGTACGCCCAGATCAGACCAAGGCCCATGATAGATCCGTAGAAGAACCCAGACTTTGCTCCCCAATTCCAGGCCGCCTTTTGCATCATATGCGGTACAAGCTGACCGTAAACGAGAACGGCGACGTTGTAAACTGCACGAGCAAGAACAACACTCTTGTTTCGCAGGAAGTTGGATGGAATTTCAGTCACAATAGTGTAGATGATGGGACCGATGGTGATGAAGAAGACAAAGTATTCCACGAGAAGAATGGTGCCAATTCCATAGCCGATATTCGGGTGTGTCTTGATGCTTGGAATACCCAAGAAGCCGATCACGAATGTCGTGGCAGTCATGAAAGCCGTACCACTGAGCAACAAGGTGCGTCGACCCATTCGAGGAACGAGAAACCATGCGACAAAGACACCCAAAATAGCCAGAGAGTATTCTCCCATGCCAAAGTCAAACGAGGCAGTTGCCTCGAGACCAGCTTGCTCGAGGAAGTACACGATATAGGCAACAAGAGGAGCACACAGCTCCTGAATAAGATAGGTGAAGACAGTGATCTCAGTACGACGCAGGTTAACACCCTTGAATAGGTCCCAGTAGGTGCTAGTAGCCTTCATTTCATTCTCGATCCGGACAGTCTGTACCATCATGGCCACGGTATCTTCAATCTCATCCTCCGGGCTATCTTTTGCCCGCAGTCGACGGACGACTTTGCCTGCATCTTCAGTGCGACCCCTGCGAATAAGCCACCATGGAGATTCTGGAGCCAAGTAGATACCAATGGCAAGAGGGATAGGAAGAATCCACTGCAGCGCAAAAGGAATGCGATAAGCCCACTGCCCGGTCGAGGAGAGGAATGCACGAAGGACACCGGTTCCAAGTAGGTAACCAATACTCCAGCAAAGAGACACCAGCATTGTCAGATAGGGCCGCAGGACGTTTGGACAAACTTCAGCCGCATATGTGGTCGTGAGCGTTTGGAATACACCCCATGGTAGACCGAGAAGGATTTCAGCACCGAGATACATGTAGATGCTGGTGGCGAAGAATTGTAGGAAGATGAAAGCCATCATGAGGAACAGGCAGCCAATCATGACCCAACGGTAACCGAAGTAATCAGCGAGGATACCGTTGAGCAAAAGACCAATGATCTCTCCGGCATTGACACCGTTGCCGATGGCAGACTGCAGAGTTGCGGGAACTTGATAGGTTCCATCCTTCTGCAGTGTGCCGTAGTGCTCTTGGAACGCAGGAAACGCAAAGAAGCCAGTGATGAAAGCGTGGTCAAAGCCTTCCATGATCAGGGCCGAGGAGAACCAGATCGACCAGAAAACAGCCTTGGGGTACTTGCGAATACCCTCTCGAAGGCTCATTCCATGTTCATCGGCGGTGGCCCTCTGGGCGCCCTTGAGAGTATCGTCGACATTCTCAATTATCTCTTCGTCCTTTTCACGAATCACCCTTGTGGTGGCCTGATTGTCGATGTCTTCCTGATGCTCGGCCATCTCGATAGGTGATGAGAATGAAAAAGGGCCAATATGGGGAGAAGAGGACAGGTCAAATCCAAATCAAGATGATTGAATGTCAACTCCCCGCATTCCGGGGAATGCTCCGGTCTCTTTGTAGGCCCACGGTTCCACACTCTCCACTAGTTTACTCCGCAGCCCCCGACCACATGGAGATAGACTTTCTGGGGGCAGGCAAATCTTCCCCGGATGGGGGGTCAGCACCGTGGTTTACCCGGGAGTGCAGGCCAATTATCGACCTAAACTGAGACATATCCCGGTCGATTCGGGCTGGTATAGACCGAACCTTAGTGTCTGATCGCTATGAGCTGCCCCGAGTGGTGTAATCGTATGCCACGGGTCATCGACGAGCGCTAAGCTGTCTGGTTTAGTTCCTCACGATGTCGGATGACCGTTGTCATTTGCTTGGTAAGACGAGACTTGCGATGCGGACCGTCTCTCGCTTCCTGGCCCCGCTCCAATTGCGTGATATGTTTTGTATAACTATCCAGCTTTCTGGCTTCAACCCGCCACCAACTTCCCCTATTCCATACCCCCCTTGTCTTGCTCTCCACGCCGTGGGCTTGGCTTTCTTGTCCCGCATTGCTTGATTCACGAGGCCCGAGCGCCACAAAACGCCACGAAGGATCACAAGTCTCTCCACAATTGAATTCGAACCTTCCTTTGTTCACAGCGATGTCGCCGGGTAATTTACGCTGGCTGATGGGAAATGCCCCCCACGCCCTGTCCGATGGCGTTTCATTTGGAATGCCGTGGCCGCAGGGTCTGTACCGGCCGGGCCAGGAATTTGCGATCGAAGCGAAGGATGCTCAATGGCCGGTTGACTCGCGTGAGCTTGCCTATTGGGCTGATGGATCTCTCAGATGGACGGCTCATTCGGTTAGTGGTAACATTGGCTATTCCAATGAGTACACTGTCAAAGGCGTGTCGCATCCACCCGAGCCAACTGCCAGCATCACGATTGGACGGCAGCAGTCATCTCTGTCGGTGACCACCCCAACTGGACTGTATCTGAGATTTGCGGCACCCGGAAGCACATTTATTCTTGAACAACTCGACATACAAGGGCAAACAATCTGCTCTGGGGCCACGGTGGTCGCCTCTATCAATGAGAAACAGTACAGAACTCGAGTGGATACGGTGGATGTGGAGAACTCCACTCCAAGCCGAGCTCTGATCAAAGTATCCGGTGTTGTGGAAGATGGAACTGGCAGTGCCCATCTTCCCTTCGACATCCGATTCTATGTTTACTCTCACAGCTCTTCGGTCAAAGTCCTCCACTCATTCGTCCATGACCTAGATTCGGACAAAGCTATCACGTCCCTCGGCTTACGGTTCAATGTTCCACTCGGGCAAGCTGAACTCCACAATCGCCACGTGAGACTGGGCGGGTCTAGTGGAGGTGTTCTGAAAGAAGAAGTGAAGGGCCTTTCAGGATTACGGCATGGTCCAACCGTTGCAAATCGAACGGATCAAACGGCGGGACGAGAAGTAATTCTACAAGAAGCCGAGTGGGCTAGAACCAAACTCGCAGAGGGGCTCTCGTATATTCCGTCGTGGGATTCTTATTCCCTTGCCCAGCTTTCTTCTGATGGCTTCACGATCAAAAAACGGACAAAGCCGGGTTGCTCCTGGGTCAAAGTTACTGGTGGTGGACGCGCCGACGGAACTGCATACGTTGGATCAGCTTCGACCGGAGGTCTCGCAGTTGGCATGTCCGACTTTTGGGAACGATATCCTACCCAGCTTGACTTGGACAACTTGACCGCCGAGGAGAGCTGTATAACTGTGTGGCTATATTCACCACTTGCAGAGCCTCTGGATACATCTCCGTATCACGACGGACTAGGTCTCGACACCTATGAGAAGCAACTGCAGGCTCTTGACGTGACGTACGAGGATTTTGAACCGGGATTCGTCTCTGCTAATGGGATTGGAAGAACCAATCAGCTCTTTCTGAGACCTTTCCTTCATACCCCATCAAACGAAGACTTCAGTTCGTTCTCATCCTTGATTCGCGAGCCACCTCGCCTGATTGCCACTGCAAAGCACTTGCAGTCTTCGGGCGCGTTCGCTGGATGTTGGGCCCCCGATTCTCAGACCCTGGGCTTGAAATTATCGCCCCAACGGGCCGAGATCGAAGTCAAACTCTCTTTCTTGTTCGATTATTACCATGCCCAGGTTGAGCAGCACCGCTGGTATGGCTTCTGGGACCACGGAGATGTCCAACATACTTATGATCCATATCGACGCGCTTGGAGATACGATGTCGGCGGATATGCGTGGGACAACTCTGAGCTCTCAACGGACCTGTGGCTATGGCTCTACTTCCTCCACACCGGGCGAGCAGATGTGTTCAAAATGGCAGAAGCGATGACTCGACACACCGGTGAAGTTGATGTCTATCATTCGGGAAATTTCAGAGGCTTCGGCACCCGGCATGGCGTGCAGCATTTCAGCGACAGTTCGAAGCAACTCCGTATTTCCAATGTGCTTTATCGCCGGATCTACTACTACTTGACTGGCGATGAGCGCACCGGTGATTTGATTTCGGAGCTCCAAGATTGTCAAAACACATTGTTAGTGCTGGACTCACATCGAAAAGTCCAAGAACATGCCGGTATTCCCCCAGGCTTTGCTATGACAAACATTGGCCTGGACTGCGGAGCCCTTATCGCGGCTTGGCTCACGGCATGGGAACGTCGCTCTGAGGGATGGGCTCACTACAGGGATCTTCTTATAAAACTACTTGATGGTATTTCAGGACTCAAACATGGGATTGGGAATAACGCAATCCTTCTGAACCCGACAAGTGGAGAAGTGCAAGAGTGCCCTCCTCCGACACCCGAGTATGCCATATCTCATCTATCTATGCTGTTTGGTTTCCCAGAGATCATCGCCGAGCTCTACCATTTTGCTCGAGTAGAGGTTCCAGACACTGTTGGAAGATTCATGAAAGTATGGCTTGCATATTGTCGAGCTTATAATGGTGGACCAGACGTCCAGCGCGAAGAATTCGGATTCGAATTCCCATCCCATGCGACATGGCGACAAAGCCACTCCACTCTTACGGCCTTTGCGGCGGTTGAACAAGATGATGAAAAGCTAGCACATGCTGCGTGGGACCAATTCTTCAACACTGATGGATATAACGCAGACCATGTTTGGAGTGTAATTAAATGTACGGCTCCTGAATACTTCTCAGAGGGGGAAGAGGCGCCATGGGTTACTACTAACGAAGCTGCTCGATATGGGGTATCTGCCATCTCCAACCTGGCGAGCATTGGGAAATTTTTGAAATAGACAACTAGTATCTATTATCCATTCATATTGCTCTACATGCTTTTGATAGATGAATTGTCCCCTGTGTACAGTATATGCTCGGACATAGGCAGTATCCTATCCTCACATTAAACCTATCCTCAATTAAACCATTCAGTCAAATACGTACATCACTTACAGAAGTTCTTGAACCAAGCTTCGCGCCAAGTAAAAAGCTAAATAGTTTCCTTAGAGCCATATCTATGGCTTAAACCCCCCAAAGCCACCGAATGCCCCAAAATTATGGCGGGAAAATCCTGTCGGTTTTCATTGACCCGTAGCCCCGAAACCATGATTCGAGCGGGGGTCCGATTCATGACCTCTTTCGGGGTGGACCTTGGAACCCCGGCTGAACCAGAGATAGTTAGTCAACTATGGTATCTCATTGATGGAAAAATCATAAGCCACTGACTTTCGCGGGGTAGATCTTTTCTGAGTTTGTGAGGGGTATAGCGTGACCAACAGATGCCGAGGGTGTTATGTAGAAGTCGACTAAAAAAAGTGTTTGGCTTGCTAGAGAGGTTCAGATTCCATTCTTCATTCTTTTTTTTTTCTGGGGTCTCAATATCATTGCTCCGGAGATCTTTGAGAAAAATCATGGCTCCAACCAGATATGCCGTCGTGGGCACTGGAGGCCGTGCTTCGTTCTTCTACAGCGCAATTGTTCGTGACTTCAAAGACACGGCAACTCTTGTCGCACTTTGTGATACCAATCAAACTCGCATGAATGTCGCCAATGAACGAGTGCAAGACTTAGGTCTATCGCCTTTACCGACCTTCAAAGCGGTTGATTTCGACCGAATGATTAAAGAAGCCAAGCCTGATACAGTCATTGTCACGACGATCGATCGAGCTCACCACCAATACATTATTCGAGCCATGGAATTGGGATGTAACGTTCTTAGTGAAAAGCCTATGACGGTAGATGAGATCAAATGCCAGATGATCCTTGATGCTGTCAAAGCCACAAATCGGCAACTACGCGTGACCTTCAACTATCGATATGCGCCCCACAATACCAAGGTTCGAGAGCTGTTGATGGACGACACTATTGGAAGAGTTACGTCTGTTCACTTTGAATGGCTGCTCAACACTCAACACGGGGCGGATTACTTCCGTCGGTGGCACCGAGACAAACGAAACAGCGGTGGCCTTCTGGTACACAAGTCTACGCACCACTTCGACCTGGTCAACTTTTGGCTGGGGAGTCGTCCCGCGACTGTCTTTGCCCAAGGTGATTTGAAATTCTATGGCAAAGAAAATGCTGAGCTCCGCGGAGAGACCAAATTCTATTCTCGTGCGCACGGTAGTCCTGCCGCAGCACACGACCCATTGGCCCTCCACATGGAAGATCATCCTCAGCTCAAGGCTATGTATCTTGACGCAGAACATGAAGATGGATATTACCGGGACCAGAGTGTATTTGGTGACGGAATCAACATCGAAGATACCATGGGTGTCTTGGTCAGCTATCAATCTGGAGCGATCCTGACATACAGCCTCGTCGCCTACTGCCCCTGGGAAGGCTTCCGCGTCAGTTTCAATGGTACCAAGGGTCGCTTGGAAATGGATGTATTGGAACAATCGTACGTCAATGCTGGCGGGGAACAAGCTCAAGAGGGCGCCGTGGCTCATACAAAGATCAATGTACATCCTATGTTCGCGCCACCTTATGAGGTTCCAATCATTGAAGGAGAAGGGGGCCATGGTGGTGGAGACCCTGTTTTGCTCAATGATCTTTTTGGTACGCCGACTGCTGATAGACTGCATCGTGCTGCCTCGCATGTGGATGGGGCAATGTCGATCTTGACTGGTATTGCTGCGAATAAGGCCATTCGTACTGGACAGGTAGTTCAAGTCAAGGATTTGGTGCAGTTCTGAGCGAAGAGGTCAGACAACTAAGTTGTGGTCAATTCGAGATAGAATTATGAATTTGAAAATAGAGCTGCATGAAATAGAATTTATTACGCGTCCTCTAACCTCTAATACTGGCTTTCAATGTCCTTGGATTGATCCTAACCATATTTGGGGTTATATATCTGTATCGCTTCGTCCTCACGGCCAACAGCCAATCTCGTTGCAAGGTTCTAAGTGTGAACAAAAATACTCTTCGCGATGAGAAGTAATGTGTGACGTCCGCTCCACAAAGGATAAAATCCGACGACCAGCAACGTTACCCACAGCCAGATCTCGGCAATCACAATCCAGGCAATGAAGAGCTAGTGATTGTTAGCAAATTATTCGGCTTTGTGGTTTGGTAGTCACTTGCTCTTTTGCCGAAGATGAATTTTGCAGCATACATCGGAAGCGGCCAGAGAACCCAATGACCCAAGAAGGTAGCAATGGCCCAGAACAGCGCATATCTTGACCACCTTCTTTGAGTAGCCTCAGAAATATCGACTTGATCCTCGCTAGCTTCATTGACTTCGGGTTTCTCACTTGCTTCTGTATCACTAGAGGAAGTATCATGACCTTCACTACTCTCAGATATCTCATCCACGTCGGCGACAGCCAGGTTCGACTTGCTCAAGAACGTCCAGTCAAAGTCCTCCGGGCCGAACAAGGTGATAATCACAGAGTACAGCAAAGGGCTGAATGCAGATGCCACTGTACCGTACATGCATGGAAGTGTCTGTCCTGTGGAAGACACTGTAACGGAGCCAAAGAATCGATGAGCCGTTCCAAGCCAGACAGCGAGGCCCGTCACAAGACCCAGATAAGCGGATGCAATGACTGCCAGGCGGCTCTGCTTTCTCCAAAGAATGGAAAGAATGAGTGGAAAGATTCCAGGACAAGTTATGACTCCTATATAATCAAGTCAATAGATATTGATAGATTGAATCATGCCAGAGCTTACCAATCATGTAAAGCGTCCAGCCCATATCAATTCCAACATAGTGGAATAGGGCCGTAAGACCAGCTGCCACGAGACCAAACAGAACCACTCCGATTCTACTCCAGAGAATCACTTCGTTGTTTGTTGCGCTCTTGTTGAAGTAGGTCCGATAGCCGTCGAAAGCAACAATGGAGGATACGGCGATTACCTGTGCCGACAGCGTAGAAGTGACCGCCATGAAGGTCATCAAAAGTGTGGCCACTGCGCCTCCCTTGCCTGCTACTGCGATCGCTGCATATGGCAATGCTAGTCCATTCGTCACTTCTGTACTAGTCATCATCTGATTATTGGCTGTCAGCTTGCTGAATATGTTTTATTGACTGGTTGGACTCACCCTCGGGTATGTGGGGAACGCTTTTGTGGTCTCCAGGCCAAGGGCGACCATACCCATCACAGTTCCAAGGGCCCAAGGTACACTGAAGTACGATATTCCTCCAATCACGTAGCCTGGAACAACACCTTCTGGAGATGCGGCAAAAGCCTTTGTGAAATACCCGGTGTCCATCTATGTAGATTTAGTCTCAGTTCAGCACAGTCTCAGTGGGAGGAGCACCAACAATGACGGCACCAAAGTTTGACACCAACAGTATAATTGCGAAGAAGATTCCCTGTTGGGATGTCATAGTCAAGAGGGATCCTTGGTAGTTTCCATCCACAAAGTGATTCGGCTGAGCTTGAACGACAAGATCATAGAGGCCACCGATAGAGCCCACCTCAGGGCTGGTCAAAGCTTTGATGGTCAAGTAGCAGCACAAGATCAGAATTATGAAAGTGTGTATATAGTCTGTTAGAAATCTATAATATCGTCAACATTATGGGCCCGCTCATGGAAACAGGATAGCTCATACGTCGCTTTGATACCTCCTGTCAGGGTATAGACGACCACTCCGAGTGGTAACAAGAATGTAGATGCCATAATGTGCATGCCCGTCCTTTCTTTATTAGCGCCTTTGCAAATATCGGTCGAGTCTCCTTGACAAACTTACAAATATGTGATGGCCGATGAAGCCCCGAGAATCATATTAATGGTGTTAAACAGGTTGTTGACCAACGCCAAAAAGGTAAAGCTCAGGTGAGCTAGGGTCCCTGTTCAATATGATTAGAACAGATTGTACTCCAGAACAAGACCAATACAAACCATATCGAATTTTGATGATTTCCAAAACGGTATGCGCACTAGGAACACGCCTTTTGCAAACTGTTCCGAGATATGCGAAACAGACAATCATGGGCGAACACCCAGCGGCATACCAAAATGGTCCACTAATGCCATATGAGTAGGCTACCAATACGGCACTGAGAAAAGCTGTGCTCCAAAGCCAGGACTATTCAGCAGTTAGAATTGATCCGGTGTAGCTATCACTGAAACGTACCGAGACGACCGCCGACGCTACTAAACCGGTACCAACCGACCGATTGGCAACGATGAATCTGGTCACGATCAGATGGAATCCTATTTAAAGTGCGTAGTCGAACATACGTTTCCGCCTTTGAATTATCTTCACCAAGCGTCTTCTTCAATAGATTGGTGACCACCATCATTCCTTTGTTGATTTAGTATCTTTCTCAAGGGTCGTAGATTTACCACCTTACCTGCCGCAAATGCCAGCCCAACTCCAATCACAACCCCATATCCCACGCCTTGCGATAAAGGGGGAGCCACCTGAGACATGGCTTTTGATTCTGGATGGAATGAAAGACAAGAACTGATAGGGATTCTAATACCAACGTTCCAGCTACACTACTTATCAATGATTCTACACGGCGGACAGCCAGAAATATCGGCCGAGATCAGTAGTGTATAAAAATGCAAATTTAGTTCCACTATGACAAGCTAGTCTTACACAAATACTCTTTCCAGTCACTAAAACGAGAATTGTCTAGTCGTGGGCGCGCCTAGCTTTCCTCGAATGGATGCAGCGGAATGGCGTGCTAAGCGCACTTCGTGGCGATGCCTTCTCGTAATTGCTGCTAAGAAGCCACTCAAATGATGCAAGCAGGGGTGGATAAGGTAATTTCGCATTAGGTCATTTTTAACTTCACTTGGTGGAGAGTTTGAAAATGATTCAGAAGGGTCTATACCCAGGAAGCACACGTTGAGCATAGATTTACACTCAGGGTCCGAACTATACACTTTGTTTGGGCTTCGCTGACACTCCACCCTCACATTCAGGCGATGGAGAATGCCCCACCAATAACACCCAATTTCCGCATTGTAATTCCGAATATGTTTGTACAGTTCCACTGCTGTGAGATAGACTCTCTGTGCTCGCTGGGTATGGCTCTCTTTACATACCTCTGTTGTGGTGGAGATGGACTGAAAGCTTTGCTTTCCAATGATGTGGCTTAATAGCACAAGGTCTACTCTCTAATGTCGTCCTTGACATGTAGAGCAAATGGACGAGTGATCAAAGAAACTTGTACCGCACTTCTGAGCGAAACATTTGAGCAGTCTTCAATTCTTCATGAGTCGATGACTGGTCTGGTTACTATCACCGTCTCAGGTCAGTAACCCTCGCGCTGCTCCTCATTGTGCTTGATATGTACCGACGGAAACATAGTGCAGTTGTCTGAGGAGAGCTTGTAAGCTATTCGCCTTATGCACCTTGGTGGTTCGTCTGGGGACAAATCCTCGGTACCACCCCCGTGACATTGTCGAGACAAACTAAACAACCAAAAGGAGGCTCTTGGGGCCTGCAGCCTTGTAGGCTAACAATAAGCCGCTCGGCAGTTGTCCGTGAGCGATGGTGCCTGGAATTCGCGAGTCATTAAACGAATCAGACCAAGGGGATGTTGTGGGCTAGCCATGTAGCCACCTTGGAGTTGGGGCCCACTAACGTCTCTACCATACAACGCAGATGATCAGATTGATAATTAATTCATTGTTTCAACTGTTGCTCTGAAATGTGTAGATCAGGCCTTAGTTATATTGTTCCAGAATACGGACTCCACTGGGTGAGAACCATCGGCTCACCCGAACGGGCAGCGGCCGATGCGCCAACCTTTCTGCGTTTCTGGGACCGCAGGGTCACCGGTCTTTCCTCCTTGCAATCCCCCCATCCGCCCATTCGCACGCCGTTCTTTCATTCTTTCATACACGAAAAACAAACTCAAGGGCAAATCCGAATCCAACTCCAAACCACGCCACCTGCAGTGGGCGACGATCCCCAGTCCTGTCCAACTTTCCGCCTCCCCTTAACGTCATTTCCCCGCAGCCACCTCCGACATGTTTCCCGCCCACGGTTAACCCTGTCGTTGCACGCGCATTGTGATATTGTATCGTCTCTCCATTGATGTATCGCTACCTCTTGTGTGCTTGGTCCGATCTGTGCCGAGGGCCCTGGTCTGTCAAGACCGACGAGAAAACGCCCTATACCGATTTTCCCAACACGGCACTCGATTGATTCCCCGTTACGATGAGCATCCACTCGGTCGACTATGCGCAGCGCACCCCCCAACCAGATACCCTTCAAGTGGTGGACCTTGAGGCTGGTCCTCAATCGCCAAGCTCCCCAATTTCGCCCATGAGAAGAGAGGGGTCCATCACAGACGCCTTCACCACCGCGGCAGCCAGAGTCAACTCCACCGATACGGCCAGACGCCGAGCGCGACGCTCTAATACTGCACGATCATACCATCCCGATGGCTTTTTGAGTGAAGTGAATTGGCAGCCAGGTACAGAACCGGGTATCGACCCCACCAAACCTCTGCCACCGTACAGCTCCGAATGGTCGTCGAATGTGCCGGGCGACCTACAGCGAGAGAGTGAGATTACAGTGGTGGACTTTTCTCAACATGAAATGCGACAATACGAATTAGACAACGAAACACTCCCGCAATTCCTCTCCCGCGAGCGAGAGCCTTGGGTACAGTGCCGGTGGATCAATGTGAATGGCCTAAGCTGGGACGTGATCAAATGCGTCGGCAGTCATAAGGGGCTCCACCGACTGGCAATTGAGGATATCGTGCACACTAGCAATAGGACAAAAGCCGATTGGTACTCAGACCACGCTTTTGTCGCTCTGACTCTGCAGAAGCTAGTGAAAATGCAGGAGGCCGATAGCAGTGACTCGGAGGACGAGGGCAATGGGCAAGAATGGGGCGGCAAGGAGCGTAAAGGCTCCGTTGTGAGCGATAAGAGCTCAGTGTCGATGAAACGTTTGACCAAGCGACGTCTCATCTTCGAGGCACTGAAAGACATTTTTCGTTCGAAAACGACCTCAAAGAACCAAAAGGAGAAGACGACGGTTGGGTCCAGCGTTCGCCCTGGTCCAGGACATTCAAGCTCAAAACGGGCCTCCCAGTTTGGAAATGTTGCTCCTCCCCGAGCAGCTACGGCCAGAAGCCTGCAGCGATTTCGCGGTGGCCCGAATGAAGATCGGATTGATTTTATGGAACGACACGCTGTGCTAGCTTCGAAGGGTCTCTGTGTCACGTTGGAGCAAGTGTCGGTCTTTCTACATGCCGACAACACCGTCACGTCATTCTTTGAAACTAGTGCAGACGATATCGAGGCGCCTATTGTCCGACGCCTCAGTTCACCAGAGACAATTCTTCGGCAATCATGCGATGCTAGTATGCTTCTACAAGCCATTCTCGATGCCGTCATTGATCTTGCTATTCCAGTCACCATGGCTTATCAAGATGCGATCGGAGACCTCGAGCTTGAAGTCTTGACTGATCCGGATATCGACCAATCGAAAAGCCTCTATATTTTGACATCTGAAATTGCGGTGCTACGTAATTCGATGCAGCCAATGGTAGCCGTGATCAACGCACTCCGTGATCATCGATCCGAACCCATTGGTACCCCAGGCTTCGGCGCCCTGCGAAAAGGGATGTTCAGCCCGACTCCTACACCTGGTGAACCTGACTTCCCACCACATCCTGCCACAATTGGGACCATCACACCCAATCTGAAGAGTTTCGGAGGCTCAAGTGTCACGATTAGCTCGATGTGTCATACCTATCTCGGAGATGTCCTCGATCATTGCATCACTATTGTGGAGGGATACGATCAAATGCGGCGCGCCGCAGATAATATGATTGATCTCATTTTCAACACTATCGGAGCCTATCAGAACGAGAGCATGAAGCAACTGACCATTGTCACTTGTCTGTATCTTCCAATGACCTTTTTAACGGTACGGCTTTTCTTCTCACTTCATGTTGCCATTACAGTCACTGATCACGATTATAGGGATACTTTGGAATGAACTTTACGCACTTTGCAGGCATCGAGAATAGTGACTCGTAAGTCTCTCTAGCAAGGTCAGCCTGATCTGAATAGAAGCTTACACGTTCGATAGATACTTTTGGAAAATCGCTGTTCCCTTCGTCTTTGTCACGACTCTTTTCCTCATGTAAGGCCCAACTTTCCATCCAACATCAATACCGTCAATACTAAACTCTTTACAGGCGTGATAAAATCCAACGTTATGCTGTCATGCTCGCACAGAGACGACTCATTACAAGCTCCAGGAAGCAGAGACGGGAGGGAAAGAAGAGGTGAATTTCACCTTGGCATTGCGTACCCTTTGCTGCTCCTACACTACTACTACATCATGCGAGAGAGAGAGAGGAGAAGCGCTTTCGGTCATTTGTACATTTGCTTTGCCACCAGAGACTTTCATGGCTTGTATCTGATAGTACATGTATTATACACGGCTTTGCCTATTAATCTATCCAATATTCTTTCGTCGGAATGCCATATAGGCCTTCCACGGGAGTCTCCAGTCTCCACTTAGCAACTCCGGACGGAAAACATCAAAGTCATACTGCTGCAGGCGCTCAAGCCACAGCCGTGTGGCAATTGCAGGCATGAAGACACCAAATGCCCTGTTGACTTCATCCAGGGGCGTCTCATTGCCCTTTGGCCCACCTATCACGGAAGTATCATATTCATGACCCTCTTCACCCTCATGCTCAAAGTCGTGCCCAACGTCCTTTCCAGCATGGAGATTGCTCAACATCTGATCCACGGTAATCAAATGGTCACTCGCCCGCGTAGCAACAGCAAACACCGCATCACGAAGTCCCTCGGCATCGGCGCCCCGTCGCAACACCTCTTCCTCCTTGACACCATGTTGCGCCATGATATCTAGAGGCAGCATCACCGCACCCTGTTTGGACCCGCCCCCAATACCGGGAGGCCCACTAGGAGACTGAGGCGACGGGTGCGGAAACGCAACCAAGGGTAATCCTCGCAGAACAGCCGCAATACCGACCGCCTTGCCGATATGCGATGCCACATGATCCGCCGTCACCGAGGTCATCGGCAGCGCCGCCAGCGTCAGGTACATCAATGTGGAGTAGGTGTTCTCAGCATACGACTCGAGGGCCGCAATGTTCGGATAAGGATCATTAGTGAGCGTTTGTTCCCGCGCATTGATCAAACGGGTTAGCCAGCCCTTGGTGATCCTGGCGCGGCCTTGAGTGCGCTCCTTGAGTTCAGAGATGGAGGAGGCGAGTAGGATCGCGACAGGTTCCTTGGGCGGAGCGCCGGCAAGGATCTTCGTAACTGCGTCGCGCCAGAATTGTAGGCGCATAAGGCCGATTGTGGGCGAGGAGGTAGTCTCTGGGATCATGGAGAGGGAGACGTTCAGTGCGCGCAAGGCGATGTAAAAGGATTGGGCGTGGGGTGGGATGAAGGTGCTCAGGGTATAGGAGGGTCGGTCATATTTTCTAGCAGATGTGTAGCTTCAAGTTAGCCTTGTGGTCTCTCAGTATGATTGGATGTCAATCAAGTAATCATTTCGGTGTCGCATACGAGAGAAGGGAAACGCAGTATTTATGCGCTCCTTTGACTTCCTCCGCGGTGAGAGGTGCAGAGGCCGCTGCGGTCCGACTGAATTGCCTTGTCTGAGGCCAAAAGCCTCTTGAAGCGAGTCGGCATGTCTTTGTGGTCCGACATGGCCGGACGACTTCTCGGAAGAGCGACATTGGAGGTGCGTGTAAAGGTGGAGTTGAAGTTGAGGTTGCGACGCTGAGAGAAAATGTAATCCACCCGATGGTATTGGTCCACAGTGCGGGCCTTTTAACCCGCCAAAGAGAAAGTATAGCAGAAGCTAGAGCAGGTGGATGGGAATAGATAAAGCTGATTACGGTGTATTGACTGACGGCATTAATGAAGCCATCCTGCTAATCCAGCGCAGCTCCATTGGATCCGCGGTTAATTGAAATTTGACTTTTTTGGGAAACTGACGTCGATCGCGCCGGTTTCGCGTTTCTCGGCGCGTCTCCCCGACTCGACTTTGACTCCTTCTCAACCCGATCCGAATGTATCAACCACGAGTATGAACGAGGATCTGGAGCACCGGCCAGCGAAAAGACAACGCTTTTTCGTCGACAGCTCTGTTTCCCCGCAAGATTCGACTGCGGGGATCGGGGACGCGTCTTTACCTCGCCATTGTCCTGGACTGGACGACCGTGAAACGGAGCAAGATGAACACACTGGCCTCCCAGAGACTCCTTCTAAGGGTGAATCAGCTGCTTGTGGACTGACGAGTCCTATAAACGCGCTATCATCCACGCAAACTCCCAGAGGTGAAGGAGCCAAGGGGGGTCCATCGACGACCTCTCCGCGGCACAACGGAACGGTTCACCCAGCTGCGAGCGAAGCGACCGTGCCTACGACGCCACAATCCTTATCATCGCACGGCTTCGATGCAGAACTATTTACCAGCATCATTGGCGAAACCTTGCCTGCCGAATCATTGCGAATCATTCAATCAGCCTCCTCCAACAATGTCGAGCGAGCGGTCAACATATTTTTCGACGGGTCCTGGAAGAAGCCGGCGAAGGTGACCCTCAGTAGAGGGACTCCGACTATACGACAAGCCCTTCCATCAGCTTCTTATCCCAGTGAAACATCGACTACCCTTCCGATATCGAACACCGAGGATACCCCAGCCGAGCAAGTCTCAGTTCTGCGAAAACAACCGGCCGCGCGGTACATCGGAGCCTTTGGTGTAGGAGGCTGGGCCACGAGGAGTGGACTTGCTCTGCTCAAGCATGGGGATCCAGTCAATATCGAACGTGCTCGGTCTCAGCCGGTCGCAAAACGTGGCCGAGGAGGCAAGCTCTTCACGAACAATAAGGGAGATGTTTTGACGCGTTTCACGAATACCGCTGGGCAGGAAATTGGAAGACTTCCTCATGAAACGGCCGAGTGGGTCTCAACTCTCATTGACCAGAAGATGTGCCAATTCGAGGGAGTCTGTGTGTTTATCCCAGACCGAGTACGAGTGAACGATACCATATACTTGCAGCTGAAATGTTATCTACGCAAGGAAGCGTTCATGCGCGGTCCATTCATGGGAAATTCGGATGACAATCGATCCATGGGTTTGTTCGAAGAGAAGGAAAGTACTGAAGAAAAGAACCTACGACTTCGACAAGTAGCCCTCGTGAAACTTTTTCATGAAATCAACCTCCAGCCGACTTCTACCAACCCCACGACGCAAAAGCACAAGCGAGATGGCTTACTCCGCGCGGCTGAAATGGCGGAACAATATGACGGCGTCAAGAAAGAGAAGGAGAAAGCCAAATCTAACAAAGATCCCAATGATTCTTCCTCTGAAGAAGATACCACCGAATTGGAAGAAGATCAGCTCGACACCCTATATAGCAAAGCTCAGTCTTTCGACCTCAGTATGCCAGAGGCTGAGCCTGCCTCGACCTTCAAAATGAATCTCCGCAAGTACCAAAAGCAGGCTCTTTTTTGGATGCTGTCGAAGGAAAAGGATAAGAAGGAAGCTCGTGAGCGGTCCATGCATCCTCTGTGGGAAGAATACACCTGGCCCACGAAGGATGTTGATGACAAAGACCTGCCCTCGGTCAAGGGGATAGATCACTTTTATGTCAATCCTTACTCCGGTGACTTGAGCGTGGACTTCCCTGCTCAAGAACAGCACTGTCTTGGCGGCGTTCTCGCTGACGAGATGGGCCTTGGAAAGACCATCGAAATGCTCAGCTTGGTCCATTCTCACAGATCTGAGCCTCCATCCGGTGCTTTGGATGGTATGAACTCTGTAAACGACCTTGCCAGAGTGCCAACCTCATCCGCTGGCGTGGTTCCCGCGCCCTACACCACCCTTGTGGTGGCACCAACCTCACTATTGGCCCAATGGGAGAGCGAGGCGTTAAAGGCTTCAGAGCCAGGTTCCATGAGAGTCCTCCTGTACTACGGAGCAGACAAAGCTGTCAACCTGCGCGACCTCTGCTGCAAGGCCAATTATGCATCCGCGCCTCACGTCATTGTCACCAGCTACGGTGTTGTACTTTCAGAGTTCCGTCAGTTCGTGGCACAATCTTCAACGGCATTCAGTTCTCCTGGCGGTCTCTTCTCTGTCGAATTCTTCCGCGTCATTCTGGACGAAGCCCATATGATCAAGAATCGCCGGTCAAAGTCTGCCAGAGCATGTTACGAAATTCACGCAACACATCGATGGGTTCTCACGGGTACACCGATTGTCAATCGCCTGGAGGATCTGTTCAGTCTAGTGCGCTTCCTCAAGGTGGAGCCATGGAGCAACTTCTCCTTCTGGAAGACGTTCATCACTGTGCCTTTCGAGAACAAGGAGTTCGTTCGTGCCCTGAATGTAGTCCAAAGTGTCTTGGAGCCTCTTGTGCTTCGGCGAACGAAAACGATGAGGACCCCCGAAGGCGAACCTCTGGTGCCCTTGCCAAAGCGTACTGTCACTATCGAAGAGGTTGAGCTTTCCGCACAAGAACGTGAAATCTATGACTGCATTTATACTCGAGCCAAAAGAACCTATAATGACAACGTCGAAGCTGGCACACTTCTTAAGTCGTACTCCACCATCTTTGCGCAGCTGCTTCGCCTCCGCCAGACCTGCTGCCATCCAATTCTCACCCGTAACAAGGACATTGTCGCCGATGAAGAAACGGTTGCGGCCGCTCTCGATGCTACCAATAGCCTAACGGATGATATGGACCTGCAAGAGCTAATTAATAGATTTACGGCATCGACGGAGAATGCAGAAACCGAGGATCGGACTGTTAAATTTACCGCGCACGCTCTTCGGCAAATTCAAACCGAGTCCAGTGGAGAATGTCCGATTTGCTGTGAGGAGCCGATGATCGATCCCGCAGTGACAGCGTGCTGGCATAGCGCATGCAAAAAGTGTCTCGAGGATTTTGTGCGCCATCAGATGAATAAGGGTGTGAAGCCTCGCTGCTTCTCATGCCGTGCAGATGTGGATGCGAAAGATATCTTCGAAGTCGTAAAGCATCCACTTTCTCATTCTGTCACGCCCATGGAGAATTTCGCTGCGAGTGATAACCCACCATCAAGCTCACTGCCTGCTCCGCGCATCTCTCTTCGCCGAATCAACCCTTTGTCTCCTTCCGCCCATACGTCAGCGAAGATCCACGCACTAATCAACCATCTCGCACGCGTCCCACCGAACACCAAATCTGTCGTGTTCTCGCAATTCACCTCATTCCTGGATCTCATCGGTCCCCAGCTGTCTAAAATGGGTATCTCCCATCTCCGCCTCGACGGTTCCATGCCTCAGAAAGCTCGCGCCGCAGTCCTGGCTCAATTCACCAAAGCCGAGGAGTACACGGACGAGATCATCGACACCGAGGACGAAACACCATCGCGGGCTGGCCCCTCGAATTCGAAATCACAAACCTCCGAGCCCACCCCGAGAGTCCTCCTTATCTCGCTTCGCGCCGGTGGTGTCGGTCTCAATCTTACCGTCGCCAGCAACGTCTTCGTCATGGATCCGTGGTGGAGCTTTGCCATCGAAGCGCAAGCCATTGATCGTGTCCATCGAATGGGCCAACTGCGCGATGTATCCGTGACGCGGTTCATCGTCAAGGATTCGATCGAGGGTCGAATGCTTCGTGTGCAGGAACGCAAAATGAATATTGCTGGGTCGCTTGGCCTACGTGTTGGTGGTGACGAAGGGGAGGACGATAAGAAGAAGGACCGCATTGAGGAGCTGAGACTGCTGTTTGAGTAGTGATTTTGGGCATTTCAACGTCGATGGCATTTTGGAAACCATAGGGTGTATAGGGGTTCTTACATATGGGTGTCGGATGATTTCTTCTTCATGGCTTTATACATGGTGGACCTCCGTTCAAGGTTGTTCTAGGGTAACGACACTAATAGAATATACTTCTTTCCTTTGGGATATTGATCACTAAGCGTCTAAGTCTGCTCATCCAAGCAACTAGACACCGGCTTAAGAAACAGCGAGGAAAACGTTATTCAAATTGCCTAGTAATACATCCAGCCAAGACGCAAAAAAAATATCATGGCGAGTAAGAAACTAGAACAACAAGACCGAAAAGGTATGATATAGACGGTAACAGCCACAACAGCAGAGCTCGGGGATATAGTTCGAACAAAAACCCATCAAACACAAAGATAACAATCAAATGACAACATCAAAAAAAACATTACCTACTAAGCCTTGTTGCTACCATGACGCGGGTGCGCAACCTTGCTCAACTTCTCCTTCATCTTATGCAAAGGACTCTGTTTCCCATTCCCATTCCCCTTCTCACTCCCTTGAGAGGACTTGTCGGTACTCTTCGACGAATCATTCTCGCCAGAACCACCCTCCTTCTTCGCAGGCTTGATCCCCTTGGCCTCTTTCTCGAAGTCCTCCGCATGAGCGGGCACTGGACCTTGCGGACCCTTCAATGCCTCCTCGCTCACCTCACGATCAGCGGCATTAGATGTCTGACTACTCTGTCCCTCGCTTGTTTCAGTGGAGCGCTGCTCAGTCTTGGGCTCGCTGGTGACGGCACTGCTTCCACCTGCTTCGACCGGCGTCAAGCTTAATGGTGCATCCGCTTTGGCGGTCGTTGAGCTTGATGGTGCCGCTACTTCAGCTGGTGTCGAGCTTGATGGTGCCGCTGCTTCGGCTGGTGTCGAGCTCGTTGGCCCCCCAGCGACGGGAACGGGAGAGAGTGCGGAGGACGTCAGAGTGGGCAGAACGAGAATGGGGGCGCTGGGAGCGCTGGGACTAGTCGTTTCTAGATCGACGTCGTCGGTCTTAGTATCCGTGACCAGGTCTTTGCGAGTAGGATCTGTCTTTGCGCCGTCGAGTCGTGGCTCTTGCGGCGCGGTATTTCCTTCTGAGCTTGGTGCGTCGGGTTGTTCTGTAAGATGAAGATATACAATTAGCTTGATTCTGGTTATATCGATTCGTGGCGGGGGATGTGTAGGTTTCGTAGAATCTATATTCTAGGCCTAGATCGATGCTCTTCAGGCGCCGGATGTACATGTGGATATTCACGACTTACCCTCGCGGTTACCGGCATCAAAGGGGTCATTGAAGTTGCCCTTGCCTTGAACACCGGCGATGGGCTCTTCGCCGTGTTGCTGCTGGACTGTGCTGCCATCACCCCAAAGGGCGGTTGTGGCTGCATTGACGACTTTGCTAACTGCTTCCATCTTAATGGAGTATTTGATAGTGGAAGGTTGAGAGAAGTATACGGGGGAGGATTGACAATTGTAAAGATAATAGGATATAGGGAAATGTTCAGAGGAGCGGGAGGCTTGAGTGGAATTTAAAAGGATGAGCCTTGGTAGAAGTAGAGAAGGTGGAGGGGAGTACAGATAAAGCACAACTGCTTCCAGTAGGTCAAGATGTCATCAATGGCTGGGGATAGATTAGCTGGCGTCTGCAGTAAGGGAGTGGGACGGGGGCATAAGTAGGCTCTCGTGCAGAGGACTACGTCAGTGGAGCCCAATATATACGGAGAAGACTGCGGATGAGAATCTTATTGAAGGAATTGACCAGTCCAAGGATGACAGTCATTGGTCGATTGGAGCTTGATTGGATGGCGACGTCGAGCGGATCCATCGAGAGAGGCATGGCATCATCTGACGTCATGTCACGGGATAGAGATATAGATGGAGAATCATCGAGACTCCTCCTGCGTGCTTCCCAGCAAGACATGGGGATCGGCGTAGATACGGCTGTTGGTCTAGCTCTGCAGCGGCCTAAAGCAAACAAGGAATTATAACACATTGGTTATTAACAAACTAAGTAACAAACTACCAACCCTATAATGCAGTCATTCTTTACGCCGCTATTTCAGCTTTCTCTTTCGTTTCCTCTTTCCCCTTCTCCAAGTCACCCTCATCCTCTGGTTTCGCTGCATTGGGATCCAGAGGATGCTTGGGGTCATAACCAATGCTCTTCACAATGCCCAGACCTTTTGTCTTACCTTCCCGGAACAGGACACGATCGCCTGGCGCCAGGAACTCGGGCCGCTGGATGAAGCGGAACGCCACGAGGGCGCGGTCGCCAGTCCTGATGAAGGGGCGGTCAATGTCGATCACTGCACAAGTTTGGCTGACCGCTCCAACGTGCAACATGGCCTGGTACTTGGGCTTGATGGTAGTTGCGTGAGACAGGATCAGAACTAGGATGGCAGGTTAGGAGGGTTGGTTTCAAACAGGGATCATAAATGTAATCTACGCTTACCCTCGGCCACGAACTCGCGGTACACTTTGGGGGGATTCTCCATCTTCTTGAGTACCACCATACCCTTGCGGACTTCCTTACGGCGGACGCGCTTAAGTGCGAACGATCCAGACTGGCCTGCAAAGCAGGCATTGACTTGGATTCGTTTGCGCTCGATAGACTTGATTGTAGTAGTGGTGAATTGGCCGAGGGAGTCGGGTCCAACGACGACCGAGTCGCCCGCGTGAATCACACCGGATTTGACGACCCCCGACACCACCGTACCTACGTGAGGCACCGAGAAAGTGTCATTGATGAGGAATTCAAACGGAGCTTCTTGGTCGTAGTGGCCTCGATGAGGAAGGATATTCAAGAATGTCCGAACAAGCTCCAAATTCTCGCCGGTAACATTCGAGACCTGGAAGATGGGGCAGATCCGCTGGCTGACGAACTGGGTTGCTGTATTGATAGTCTCTTCCATGTCCTTGACAAAGATGGGAATCTTGCGCGCACCAGGCGACTTCAAAATCTTTGACAATTGAGAGAGCGTCTCCTGCAGAATCTGCGGCGGACAGATATCAATTTTAGTGACAATCACCATGACAGGGACGTTCAGCGCGAGGGCAATTCCTAAATGCTCCCGGCTCATGCCAATCAAGCCATTATTGGCGGCGACCATAAGCAGACAGTAATTGGGGCTGCTGCTCAGCATGCCAAAGACCGTAGTGCGCAGGTAGCGCTCGTGGCCGGCCAAGTCAGAGAAGGAAATTACTTTTGCAGAGCGCTTTCCAATCTCTTCCCAAGACAGTTTCCGGCCTTGAGTATGGCCAACGACGTCGCCGTGGCTGTCAAAGCCCATGATCTCCATACCGACGGAGCTGGTTCGCCCACTCTCAATCTCGTGCTTGTGACGGAAGAGGTTCACTCGTGCCCGGCCACGACCATCATCCAGCGTGCCTTTTACCAGCACACCAAGCATGGTACTCTTCCCTGCGTCGACATTACCAACAACCGCAATGCGGAGCTCCCCTACCTCCTCTATATTCGTTGCAACCTGGCGAATCAAGACTTTGCCCCTTGCGCCCTTAATGCGGTTATTTTTGACTGGACATTCCTGAGCACCCCCAACATTATACGTGAGCAGTATTCGGCAGTGGGCGGGGATCGTCTCAGCGGCTTCACGCAAGCGCTGAAACGCCATCTCCCATTGCGCAAGGTCAAAGCCCATCGAATCGCCGCCATCTTCAAGTCCTAGATCGAGTATTGTCTCTCCATGGCCTTCGTCAATTCGCGTTTGTATCGTTGCGGCAAGTACCTGCAGACTGTCCTCAGTTGTCGAGTCCCCCGTCCCGAGCAGGAGCTCCTTCAGCTTGACGGTGCGGGGCGCATCGGAAAGACCAAGCTGGTCGAGGATCCCGAGCTCAGCATGATCCTCGACATCGCGCGACACGCTGCCGGTCTCATATCCGCTGTCGCTAGGCGGGACCGGCACGGCCGAGCGATGCGCTTGCTGATGTTCGGCGTACTCGGCGAATTCGCTCAGGGCCTGGTAATCATGTGAGTGAGGGGGGCGCTTGTCGCCACAATCATGAGACACATACAATCTCGCCTCGTTTTCTCTCCTCGGCGTTGGTTTTCGGTTTCAATTGGGGCATCTTCTTGTAGGGTTGGATCGGAAAGGAGGTAATTATATGGGTTCGTGTCGAATGACGGTGAATCGCTCCTTGGGAGTAGTGACGTTGCAGGCGGTTCGGGGTGGATCTCGCCTTAAGCTCTGGCGCAGTTCAGACGTGTATTCGAGGGATCATCGCTTGACACTGCTCTTTGAATTAGAAGAACAGGGTGTGATTGAGATTGATATTCGCTGACAGAGTCTTAAAACATAGCAGAAGAGGTAAAGAACGAGGATGGGAAAGGTAGATCCATCGCAGGGGCGGACCCAGCTTTATCGATAAAGAAGGTCGAGTCACTTGCTTGAGTCATCCATGGGCCGACTGCCCAAAAGAGCGCCCGCACCTTGAGCTTGGCCCTCATGCGCTGCGCCACGGTGGTCCCCCTAAGGGAGACTAATTTAGAACCCAAAAAAACCATGCTGTGACTAACAGCGGGGTTGGGAAAAGATGCTAGAGTCATCGTCTAGAGAGTAGTACAGCCTTGCGGCTCTGCGAGGGGGTCTACGGGAGGAGTCCTGGTGGGCGGGGTCATAAACCAATTTCATGGTCTCATATCTATGCGACGGAATTCGTATGTGGATGGTATCTTGTTCCATTCCTCCCAGCTGGTATCTTCTCGCCAGACGCCGATTCCTCTATCAATTTCAAGGGAGGCTGATCAGGCCTGGGGAGAGATCAAAACGACGGAATCACCTAGGGTAGATTAAGCATGTCAGTATAACTGGGCTTCGATCCAAATAGTCTTGAAAAAAGACTCCAAAAGCAAACTCACCTCGCACGAACAGCATCTCTTCTTGCTTCTTAATTGTCTGTCCAAGTCTCTGATTAGCAAACCATTGCCCACGATATTCACCATCTATCCACGATTGTGCCCTACCCTTGTGATCTCCTGCTCGTTCTCGTCCTCTTCCACCACGTAGATGGTCTCTTCCACGTCGCCCAAAACAAGGTTGCAGTGGCTGTCATATGCCTAAAGAGTCATCGCAATCAGTCATCAGGCCGGGATCATTGGGACGTGACCTTGGGGGAGGGAAGGGCTCACGTGAAGGCGGCCTTTAAGTTCACGGTCTCCGCGCAACTTGACGAACACAATCTCGTCTAGCGACAGACGGACAAGGTCGAGGGGCTCCGATACGGAAGCACCAACATCTTCGGTGTCAGCCATTGTGAGTGGTGGGCAATAATGTTCACACTGGCCACCGAGTTTCCAGCTTGCGCGGGAGATCAGAATCGGCGAGCTCTGTCCGCTGCCCGTTTGGGACTAACGCGGCTATGGGGGCATGCTGAGTCATCGTCATCTACCCCGGGTTTTAAGTTACTCTAATGCAATTCAAACATAGGTACAACCTGGAATTCTCCAGGGCATGACTTTCTTTTTGTCGTGCAGTAACGTGAGTCTCATCAATTATAGTACTATTTGGGATCCTTTCCCGGTAATGACTTTAAATTTCCCATTCAGTCTTCATACTGCAGGCTGTCGGAGTGCTAACGATACTAGAGATTGAATTGACCGGACGACATACAGCTCATGAACAGTTGAACGTCAGGTTAGCTTGCCTAGCATTTTGTCTGAGAAGACAACCCGTGGACCTCATATGCTGAACTAAGCAAACAGTTTTTTGGCGAGGACCGTGAGCACTGGTAGCCAGACAATAGAGGTCGTCTGCTTCACTGATGTAGCTGCTCCAGTACTTGAAGTCTTAGAAGCCCCAGTAGCTCCAGCAGTCTCAGTTCCAGTCGCCTTCACCGCGTTGTTCTTCCACGGCGACGCAGTCACAGTGTACGTCACGGTCGACTGGGACCAGGAGAACACCGATCCACTAGGTGGCGCAGTAATTGCAGTCACAGCACCGGTATTATGCAGCGTCTGGGTCCCATTGGGAGGGATATTGTTCGGCTTGTAAAATCTACTAGAATTGGACGATGGAGGCGCAAATCCCAGATTCTGGCAGTTATAGTTGTTCAGAACACTCCCGCACGTACCCCAATCAATCAACGTGCCATAGGCAGTCGCAGTCTGGAGCCAGAGGTCTGCGCCCATTTTAGCCGGGATTGTATCGGGGCAGGTCTCGTACATGCTGAAATTTTTCTATAAGTATGTCACGCGCAGTAGCGACAGATTGAAACACGTACCTAGATAGTCCAGCACTAAACTCGCAACATCCACATGCAGTGTCTGTGTTGCTCAATTGAATTACCGAGGTTGACGTACTATTTGTGATGCACGAAGTATATTCCTTCTGCGCTTTGATGACCGACTGCAATACCTTGCCAAGATTGCACGAGCAGCCTGCAGGGGCGTTATCTGGCGCTGGCCAGAATGGGATCGTTTCGGTGGCCGTGGGACATTCGAGGAAGTATTCTGCTACCAATTCATTGTATTGGCAGGAATATGCCTACCGACATGGTCAATTGAGTCAAGGAAGGTGATAGCTCAATTACATACCTGATTCCAGCAAGACTCGGCCACACAGTTGATGTACGCCTGGTACATGGCACATCCGCAGCCAAGAACACAAATTTTGTTGCCGGCACATAGATCCATGCAGCCCGTACTGGCTGCTGATGTTTTTGCCGTGCAGTTAGTAAAGGCAGAGGGGTCTGCACAGGCGTCAGCGGTGACGTTGATCTGTGCATGGGCAATATTAGCAGCCCCTAGGGCCGTTAATGAGACGAAAATCGTCCTAGAGAGCATTTTCAAATTGGCACTGCCTGTGTTTAGGTGGACTTGCTGCAAAAACCCTCAATTTACTCCGTCGCGCAGTGTAAATAAATCCCAAACTCCGACGGGATAATTTGAAAGTACTTCGTACATAAAATGCGGTATCCAGGACAATTATAAGGCACACTATACGGGGCACCGGGCACGGAGCTAAGCTTTCAGCTTCCCCGCTTGGTCCAACCAAGCCATTTATATAGCGGCTTGATTCGGCCCGCCATGAAAGCAAGATGCGAAATACGAGCACGTTGTTCGAATTGGCTGGAATTGGTAGTTCCGTTGATTTAGTCCCTGCTTATCACCTTCTTTCGGTTGTAAGCGACAAACTGTGTCAGAATGGGCCTTTTCATCCAATTACTTCGATCTGCGGATCTTGCGATCAAAGGGTGGAGCATTTGTGGCGTTCCAACGAAAGCCAGCCTCGCCTAAGCTGTACTGATTCAGAAAAGCGCCCTATCTTAGTCAAGTAGACAGTTTCACTCATTTTGACTATCACAATTTTAGACCCTGAATTCATTCGTGCTTAGCGTAGGATCCTGGACTTGTCCGTTCAGGGTCAGGAAACGCGGTATCGTAGCCTAAGCGGATCAATGGTCACTTTTCCCAATCAACAAAGCTATTCCTCAGGTGTGTAACTTGATGGGAGAAAAAATGACGTTCGGCGATGGGAATACACCTTGGCCATCCATATCCTTCGCTTGCCCGATCATTTCTGACCCCGTTAGAATTCGTTAGTTGTGACTTGCTTGCTTCGGTGATCCTTGAGATCGAGGGCTGTTACATCCAAGCTTCCTTCACGTAAATTGAGTCTGATTAAAGTTCAGCATGCGCCTCATAACTAGTGCCAAGGTACCTTGCAAATGCGGCCCGAAAAGTTTATCTTCCCCGGGGTGCCTGAATACCCATCAGCAAACTGATCAGAATACTAACGGCTCAACCCCGGTGGATTAGACCCTCCTTTAATACCAGAATCTGTTCCGTTGACGCCCTGTAAAGAATTAGCGCTGTTATACCTGAGAACTGGCACCAATTGCCCCCTCAAGAAACTTCAGCTTAAACCCAGCCATCAAATTTAGATTGTTACACACCGTATCCATAACTAAGTTTGAGGACACCCGCAACCAAGTAATTTTTCACCACCTCCCATCTTTCAACTTCAAATATAATTTTTTACACCAACCAGATGCTTTACCACAATAATTTTATCAATAAAATCAACCGAGCTCAATAGCCTCTACTAGGATGCTCTACTATATAGTATACCACCCCCTTCCCTTGAGAAGCCCTCATACACGTTGAGGCATACTAAGAATCAGGCTCTCGTTCTTGCTCTAGTCTAATCCATGTGTGTCTGCCGGGTTTACTGTATCCACTCGGTAAAGCATTGCTAATCTCCATCAGGCCTTCCTAAACTAATTAGGTCTGGAAAAATGCCAAGAGGTTTTGGTTCTGAAATGCGCCAGACCGGTTCAATCGGGGGTATATCAGGCGAGTGGAGCGAGCACTTATCCACCTTAACCTTATACATGATAAACTAATCTTTCACCGCGCCCGCTGGTTGAATTCGCATATAATCTTGATAAAGTCCCGGGAGTGTAGTAGTAGACTAGACCCGCTGCTTAAGTATAGTAGTATAAGAATTCCTTGTATGCCCGTTACGCGCACTAGTTTCATCACCTTTCATGATCACTAATTCATAATGGCCACTAAGCCAGCTAGTCGCCTAGTATATCTACCAAAAAAAGATCACGCCTATATACTTCCGACTAAAATATGTCAACCTAAGCGCCGTCAGGAATAAAAGTTTTTGAGTGCCTTTAGATAGATATTCGTCGACAATATAGATTGATCTCACGCTTGTTTACGGCGCTATTTCAACGCGGATCAGTAACGTTCACTTGCTCTAACGAGGGTTAAAGAAACTGCTTATCTCGAACGCCGATTCCGAAGGCCTGAATTCATATTGGTCAAACGAAATCAAGATCGAAACGTCATATAGCTCTAATTAGAACTGCCGGGGGTAAGCTGATAGACCCAGCAATTAGTACGAGGGCTAATTGACGAAGGACGACCACTATGAGATAAATATTGAACGGTTCAGTGCTGCTGGAAGGGTTCCTATGTCAAATATGTTACGCTATGTGCGCAGCCGGATTCAGCCGCAAGCGCAGTACAGTTGGTGATTCATCACCTTTAAGGGCAACGATAATAGCCGACCGCTGCGTGGTAGATAGTTCAGCCCTTGGCCCTCGTTTCTCACTGATTTTGGTGTTAAATGAGGAAACCATGGCACAACTCTTCACGAGAATAATTCACGGTTTCAGGCTCGAGCCATCGAAGCTGACATGCCCAAGACTCGGAATTATAGATTGACCGAGTCCTTTCTCCCCAGGTAATTCACCGTGGATCTTCCGCTCTCCACTACGGGCCAGCCCCAGTGGACGTGTCATCCGCAGTCGCTCGTGTGTCTCGAGTTGCAAACAACTTAAAGATGGCAATCATCAGTCCGACAACTCCTGTGACTAGGGCGGACGGGTAGTGTAGTGCTCCATAGTTAACAGCTGCTAAAGTACCTCCCATACTGTACCCCCTCACTCGTGCAGGAGCAATGCGCACAAGTACCAGTCCACAACTTAGTCCACGTAGTATTCGACACCCCCTCCCCCGGACTGGACTGAATTGGCGTGGCCGGGGTCGATGCGCACCCCCTCATTCTCTCCCCCCCCCTGCATTTCTATTTCTTTCTACGAGCGTTGTGATTGTGCCACCTTCATCTTTCTTTTGTTGTCTCTCTCGCACCCATGAGGAGGGCCATCCGTGCCGGCGAGAGGCTATCCTCTCCCTGGCTACACCAATCGCAACCCGGAGCATCATACAGTCGTCTCCATCTCTCCACCACCACGCGACACCAGACGCTCGATCCCACCGGGCGCACCAGATCGCTGTCCTCACTGAGGACATTTCATTCTCAGCCATTGTCCTCCACTCGTCATCAACGCAGGCGCGAGTCACATCCTAATGACACCGTTCGTGAGTTCAATACCAATAACAACCACCTTGGCGCCAGGGTGGTCTCCACACGCGAGGCCATCGAGCAAGAGGGACCGGACGAGGCCTCCCTTTCTGAAGCGGAAGAGATTTTCCCCTCCTGGGAGACCCCCGAACAAGAGCACGAATATGCCGAGAAATTCAATCGTGTCATTCAAAATGGCCAGCCCGATCAAGTGATGAAAGCCATGACCGACCCACGGTCGGCGGGGCTGGTTGGGTCTCTACCCCAGACTGTTTTCCTCGAGGCGCTCCACCTTCTGTCCCCGACCCATTTTGTGGAGCCCTTCCGCGACCTCCACCACCCTTTACACACCTGGGCCGTGCTCGTCAATGGGCTCCGGCGCATCGAGGAAGTTTTCGATACTTTTGTCAATAATTTGTTTACCGTCATCCGCTATCGGACCGCCAGCGGGCAGTACTTGCAATTGGCGGAATACACCCACCTCCTGAATTGCGCTCGGGCCATGGGCAATGGCAACCTCGCGGATCAGGTATGGGACACCATGACGAAGATGGATGTGGTCCCCGACACGGTGTGCTATAACCACTACATGGAAGCGAAAGTCTGGGATCGTTGCTATACTGGACGAGAAGCGTATCGCATGCGCATCAGTCCGAAAAGTTACCGGAAGCGGCGCAGTGACGAGCCAGCCCTAGGATGGCAGGGCTTTGGGACTGCACAGAGGAGTATTCGGAAGCTTGTCCTCCGTATCTATGGCCAGATGCAAGACGAGGGTCACCTTGGTGATGAGCGCACGTTCATCAACTTGATGCTCGCTGCAGCGCATGTGGGCCATGACCGGGCGATGAAACACATTTTGAAGGAAGTTTGGAATGTGGATACGGAAGCTCTGAAGCTGGAATCCGACGACTCGAAGTTGCCACCAGTGACAGCCTATGACCCGTGGTCCGCGCTCTATCCGACTGAGAATCTGCTTTTCGCTGTGGCTCACGGTCTTGGGGTGAACAATGACATTGCCGGCGCGGTTCGAACAGTGCAGTTCATCTCATCATCGTACAACATCCCCATTACCGCAAAAGTCTGGCATGAGCTGTTCGAACGAGCTTACGTACTATCCCGTCACCGATGGTCGGCCTCGGAAACAGAGAGATCTGAGAAACACACCGAATGGGCAAATACCATCGGCCGAGTCTCCGTTGACGTTGTGCGATCAATCTTCGACACCATGACCTCCGAACCCTACAACGTGACTCCAACGCTACAAGAGTGGCGATTCATGATCAACACCAGCATTGACAGTGGTCGACTGGAGGACTGCAAAGACTACATCCGTGGCGCATACAATCTTCTCGAGGAAACTCGAAACAGAGAGGCCGAAGCTCACATGGTCGTGATGCGCTGTCTCGCGCCAGCCCTCGAAGCCGCGCGTCGACAACTGAGGCAAGGTGCGGCCATGCCAGACCCAGAGTTATTCCGCTCCCCCATTCTCGCTGAAGCCATTCAAAACTACGAGATTGTCCGACTCGAGGTCTGGCAACAGGTTTACCTTCTCCAGCGGATATTGTACCTCGTCGTACGTGTGCCTAGCTGGAGAGACATCTCCGACAAAGAATGGCACCTCCAAGAACGACCCAAAATGCTAGAAGAATGGGTAGATTTCATCCCCGGCAAGATCCAGCTCTTCTACGGCGAAGACACGGGTCTAATCGAGATGATGGGCGCCAAGGGTTTCAGCAGTCGCTCCTACAAAATCGACGTTCGATATGTCCCCACGCGCCGACAATCCGACCAGAAAGAGCTGTTTGACCCTGGACGCTGGCCCCGCTGGACCGAGCAAGGCAAATGGGACGATCTTGCCGTGCGACATCCCTACCTGGACCGAACCGCGGCACCGCTGGATCGGTTATTCATGTTCCAATTGTCCGCGTCAGGGGAGTTCACCGAGACTTTGAAGAAAATGCGTAATACTTGGACTGAGTATCCGGATGACCATGAATTGTCGACGAAGAAGAACCCGCATGCGGGTCTCTATGGACGCCTGGCGGCCTTGGATATGCTCAAGCCGGGGAACAGCAACAGCGTTTTCTTGCTGGATGAGCAATCTTGGATTTAGGAGATGCGCTCAATGCACGTGGGGTGAATGTTGCTGGCGTCATCCATCCTACTTATTTGATACCCACTTTGGATGGAGTATGGGAGTGAGGACATAGTCAATGCTGGGCTTTACATTTGGTTTTGGCTATTGATCTTTCTACCACCAGATATATCGAATAGAATATATCCCTCATTGATATTTCATGGCTGAACATTGACACCTTCTCGCCGTACTTGGCCTTGTCGAGGGACATATGTATGCCACAGTACATTCAAATCTCGGGTATATCACTAGCTATAGATTTACACAACTTAGGAAAGCTATCTCTAGGCATATCATACGACCCTCGGCTACTTACCTCACTCAATGAAGCGTGGCCGATCCCTCTGTGAGACAGAAGGTCCATGTATATAGTAGCATATTATGTTCATTATAAACTCCTCGAAATGTCTCTCCGAGAAGCAAACTGTGTACATGAGTCGCAAAGAAACGAACTCGAATCAAATCATACAAGGTACGTCCATCTCACCTCACCACGCCATACAGCGCAGCAGAGCAGAGAACCACCTTTTAGGCCAACGCTAGACCTTCTCGCGTTTCAAATCATTCACAGTCATATACCTCCCGATTGTAATCCATCCCCAACGGAACCAGACCATCTGGCTCTTATGCCCGATGACCATAGCCGACTGCGCAGTCAACCAGTCCCCAACTGAGCTAACGAACAATAACCGGGCCGGCCCCTCATCAGCACTGGTCTTCTTGCCGCCGAACAAATTGCCCAATACCCCCAGTAACATGGAGTACGGCGCATCCAGGACACCCGCATACTTGCGCAACATCGAGGTAGACGTCAACGTGTACATCGTCACGGGACAATTAAAGCCCTCTTTATCCGTCATCAGGGTACGCAGGAAATGCACCGCACCATGATACAGCGAGCGGTGGTTAGGGTGATTGCTGATGCCGTGTTGGTCAAAAGTGAGGATGACGTCGATAGTAGCAGTGGGCGCCTTTTTGGGATTCTTCTTTGCGGTTCCGTTTAGGGTTGCTGCGAGGTCTGGGGAGAAGGCTGAGGCTAGGAGGGAGGTGACATGGTCTGCGGTCCAGGTTGCGGACATGCTATCTGGGAAACGGGTGGGGTCGTCGACGATGAAGACGTCGGATTCATCGCGGACGCCGAGGAGGAGGGCGGATTTTTGAAGTTCTTTTCTACGGGTTTCGCCGAGGCCGTCTGCGTCGCCTGTGAATTGATCATGGTTAGACTTTATTGTCTGCGGGTCTTTGTACTCGATAGATAGAAATAAGATTGCCATTGACATGCTTGGGCGAGCCAAATGGCGAGAATTGGTGCTTGTAGTGACGTACCGGTACTAAAACAGAGGATCTTCAGGTGATTGCCGAGCTCAGGCTTGGTGAGCGCCAGCACCGTGGGCGAGAAGAACATAGCCTCGTCATCGGGATGCGCGATCAACAAACAGATACGCTTGTTACGGAGTTTGGGGAAGGAGCGAGTGAAAGGTGACGAGGTGGAGGAGATGGTCCAAAAGAGGAAGACTGCGGCGACGGCAACCGCCAGTGCGGTCCAATTGAACGATGGCGACATGGCGGAAGGAGAGATGGTAGATATTGCGAGACGAGGAGAGATCAACGGCGCGATAATCTCTTGCAACTGGGCTGTCGGTGCTCAGGCGATGGCCGTGTCAACAATGACTTCTGCGTCTAAGGGTCTCGGATCCCTGAACTTTCTCAATTGAAGCTTATCTCGACGACAGATCGAGACGTAAGGGTGGGTGAGTTAGGCTCGGAGTATTGTGGATCAAGATATGCACTTTTTCAACCGTTGACTCTGACTGGTGGGGTTCAGCCCAACATCCCACTCGGTCGACGTGCTTGAGATGGAATTGCGGCGGAGGCGGAAGCTGCCTATCTTCGGGAGACACGCGAGATAATAGTCAATTGTATGGGGATAGGTTGAGCAGGTACCGGACCCATAGTTCCAAGGCCATAAAAGAGTCGGGAGGATGAATCAGTCGGCCATGTTGAAAGAACACGGTGGCCGAAACTGTGGTGCCGGAATAGGGGGAAGCTCAGATGATGATTCCTTTTGCGGGACGATCCCCCGGAGTGGTGGTCACGTGCCAGGGGCTTCATTGAGGCGATTGAGAAGAGAATAAAGTTTGAATTGATGAAGTCATGTCCTCTAGATACAGTATTGGTGTCTTATCTATGCCTCCGTAGATACAGGCAGCATGATCGACTAGAAAAGAAACAGCAAGTGGTTGTCAGTGAGAACCCTTATCAGAGAACGTCACAAGGTCTGCGGGGGAAATCTGTTATCAGGCCAATTCCCTAATCGCGCGTGTTTAATGGCCTGCAGATTATGAGCACTGACCCTGAATACCTTAATTTCAAGTGCACGCCATGAGATGCCGCTCAGTCAGCCGAGTGGCATCGCTACCATTGATCGAGGAGATTCTAAAATCTAGTCGTGGTGCCCGCCTATCGGCCTTGTCTGCTGTACCTGCCTATTTGAGTATATGGAACTCTTTCTAGCGGCATTCCCGAATCTTCTTCTCGAATCGAGCCATAGTATGAGTACAGTATGGATGAGCTGCACACAAACGAACCCAGTTTACATGTGAGTCCAAGCAATGCCTTGTTTGTCCCTCATGCCAGGTCACTTCTTGGTCTGTCTATCATGGCGAACAATAACCAGTTGGAATCACCAAAGGTATCTTGAAGATGACGCAGCAGAACTTGCGGATTAAGTCATCTCGTCTTACGCCATCTTCCTAATTTCATCCTCACCCCTTGACGTCAAGATGGCGAAATATCGCGGACCACATTGAGTCAATCGCCAGCATCCAATCAAGGCCCTTTCTGTGCGAACATCGAGGGTCCAAATTTGTCTTCCATCACCCACAACTCCATCCCCCGCTTGGTAGAATATATTGAAACGTATCATTAGTACAATCACACGCCCCAAGCCGATATACTGTAGTTCCAGCGCAATCAACATCGAGACGAATCATCTGCAAAAATACATACCGCACACCAAGATGTAAATAAACAATCCACATCAACCTGACGACCCACAAAACCCACACCTAAATCCACCCGGTACACCGAAACTCCATCGGCCCGGCAAATTACTCATAAAGCCTCACCCAGACCCTACGAGTTTTCCGATGGACAACGTCCAAGTACAACACGCCATCGGGCTCGAACCAAATCCACTGCCCCATTGCGTGACCGCTCTTGTATCCCATAGAATTGCCTACCGTGTACTATTCTAACGATTGCACATGATACAGACTCGTTTCGTCGTTAGAAAGAGGAACATATGATAATCACTACCCACTAGTAGCTCCGTATTACATATTCGTGAGTAATACACTGCGATGTCTTCTTCAAAGGTCCTCAACCTTCGTACGATACTACCTATCCATGGCATAGAGAGCAAATGAGGGTCCCTATCCTGAAATGCAAACCAGGGACAAACACACGTAGACCGGGTCCGCCGCCGCCACTGGCGGACCTGTTAAGCATCACGTTTCGTCGGGCCGAGTATAAGGTTCTAGGCGTGGGCGGTAAAAAAAAAAGCCAAGATAAAAAAAAAAAAAAAAAAGAATGTGCCACACTGATTGAAGGGGGAAAAAGAAGGTGAGAAGGGGCCAAGTCCTGTACCAGACTATGGAGTACTAGTGGGTGAAGAGACGGTCTAAGAAAATTTCTGCGCGGCACGCTTCGTTGCGTTGCGGGCGGGGAACCGGGAGTTTTCCGGGTTGGCGAGAACGCTAGGAAAAGTTTGATGGTGGTATGGAAAATGGAGGATGGAAATCGGAGCATGTTCCTGTTCTTGGGCTTATTTCTTTTATTTTAATTCTGAGTGATTTAATTACTAGACTGTGATATTGTACTTATTAGTTGGTTTAGAATGGTGCAATTGGAGATTGATGGAGTCGGGAAAGATATTGGTCCTGTATAGTATGTAGGATGGGAATATCGTATGGTACACGCAATTCCTTGGGTGATGATGAATTCTGACAACTCTAGAGCGTACTTATAGCGTGATAGGTGCAGGGCCGAAAGTTTGAGGGAGGTGATTTGGGGTTAGGAAAGTAATGCACCTTATGTGCTGGATTTAGAAAGTGATGAAAAGGGGGAGGCAGTAATTAGCCTAATACATCAATCAAGATTCAATTCGTACCTCCATTCGACTGTCATCGCAGGCGAAAGCATGGTGGTCCATGCCTGTCCTCATTCCACGATAGAAGGCGTGACTCAGTCCTGAATCCTGATCGGAGGGCGTCTCCGAGATCGACCCGAAAGAGGAAGTTCGCCAGAGAGCCGACAATTTCGATCTTCACGGCAAGCCACCTCGTTTGATTGGCTTAACTTTCCGATCCGTCGGTGCTTATTGTAAGGTGTTGGGTGTAGGGCGCGATGAGCGTAGAATGGGGAGTCATGTGGGACACTCTCTGCACAGCCGAGCTAACTGTTAAGCACCTGGGACAGAACGCGGCTGTGATTTGCATATCCCAGCGGTAGTTCTACCGAAACGGGCTTTGATCCATCTTCGCCAATTTCTTCCCATAGCTTGCCTGTTCTTACGGGCTACCTCAAATTGGCTATTTTACGCAGAACTGGAGAAGTAGAAGGAGCCTTCTTTTCATGGTGGATCGACATACCAATCCTGCTTAAGCCGTGAGACTGCTACCATACAGCTAGGGCGAGGGCGACCAGCACCAGGGTTTTGCGGGCTCAAGAGGGGCCGCGCGGACGACTTCGACAAAGTACTCCGTCCGGGGCTCCTCCCATGTGCTCGACGACTGGACCGCCTGGATGACTTCCCTGGAGGAGCACATCTCCATGGCGTGATCGGGTTCCCGGTCGCTAGGCGTCTCACCGCAAGGAAAAGCGACGGCACGTTGTTCTGCGGCCAAGGAGAGAAAGCGAGCTCGAGAGTTCATGCCGTCTACCCGGGTACGCACGAGCCCTAAAAGGTGTTTCCTCAGCATACCAGTCCGACATGGGATGTCGGCCACAGGTTCGGAGTGTAGGTCCTTCAGCTATGGGCTCCAAGGAGGAGGAGGAGCAAGTAAGAAGCCGACGCAGCTTTCGTAGCTGCAGGTCAAGAGGTACCTGATACTAAGTGGACACCGTCCATGCCTTTTTTTGATTTTCTTGTTTGTTTTTACGAAAGAAAGGGCGATCCAGGAGGGATCTCCCGCAACAGGGTTGACAGGCGGCGCAAAAGGAGCAAACTGTTATGTAATTAGTGCGGGCAGGGGAATTGATGATTCGCCCAGGGCCCTGTTCAAGAAGCACAGAGCAACTCTTGACAGCTCCCAAGGCTAGATTGGGCGTGATGATCAATTTCACACATTATCAATCGTACCTGACCCTAATTCTAGGTCTTAATTTTCCCATAAAATTGACATCACGACGAGGTTCTCCTCTGCTGAGATGAAAAAGTGCGACAGGGCAAGTGACCGGGCTACGCCCCGCAAAATGGCGCCAGCGTGCAGTGCGGGGGGAAACCAATGCCAGCCACTAATCCCGAAACGGTGAACCGGCGGTGGTGGTGGTGTTGACCGCGTTGGTGGTGGTTGTTTGGCGACGAAGCCGGCGAAGCCACAAAAAAAGAAAAGCAAAGAGTCAGAGGCGGCGTGCTGCGTACAAGGGTCGCGTTTTTATGGCCCAAAGCGGATAAGCGGGAAAAATTCTCAGCGCAATCGTGAGGATCTGCCACTAGCGGGTGTATTTTATTCTGGTATTCGACAATTACAGCCCCCGTAATGTGACAGTAAAAATGACCCAGCGGTCGGGCCGTCACTGGTCCTCTGATGGCGCCACGTGATGGTTCAAAGGCCTTGAACGGAGTTGTTTCGGAGCACATCATCGTGTTACTATGGAATCCACAGTACTAGTGCTATTAAGTATCGTTTCTTCTATAGAGAGATCTAGCTATGTTACAGTCGGGAATTAAATTGCAGCATACTACTTAGGCTGAGGTGCATTGTACGGCATAATGGGCATTATGCTTACCTTACTAAAATTATTAGTTAACTTAGTTCACTCCCCTGTTCTCATACTGACATAATACTAGATACTCCATGTCAGAAATCCGGCTCCAAGTTCCTACTTGAGCGGCTCGGCTCCGTGCAACGCGCCCCTGTCCGGGGAGAAGTCCTACTATCTCCTCGGGTTCCGCGGGCAAGGTTCTATAGCGGCAGTCACAAGCCAGCAGATCCGAACTAGAAGACTTCCGGGGTAGTCGCTGCATTACTCTGGATGACACACGGCACCACAAAGCCGGGGGAATGAACCTGCCCAAGCCTCAGCTGATCGGGCAAGCCTCCGTATTAACAAAGCGTCTTGGGAAAGCCAATGCGCCAACAAGAACGGAGCAGACGCAGACGGAGACGCAGACGCAGAAGCTTGGAACTCCGTGACTTGCAGAGATGGCCCATGCAAGATGCTCCAACCAGGTCGTGCTTAGTAGTATCCGGGGTAAATGAGCCCAGTATGATCCTACAAGGTTGATTGTCAGGCACAATTAGATGGGGCGATGACACCATATTAAGGCCTAGTGCTATGTTACTGGAGTATATTCATATCACAGTAACAAATCTGATTATAATTGCCTCTATGGATTTCTAGAATCTCTATCATGTGATACGCAATCTGTAAAAAGAATGCCTCTTAACCTTCAACACGCCGAAGGAGACCGCGATGGGCCGTGCCCCACCATATCCATCGGCCACATACCTCCCGCCCGAGTGGGAAGGGCCTTCCTGAAAACCTTGGGGGAAATGCTCATCCACCGAAACCATGCCGGGGGTCTAGCCGACCGTGAGTCACTGCGCACGGGCTGTCTTTGCTGACCCCCAGGAAGTTCGGACATCGAACATCCATACTTGTTGAAGAAGCAGGGAGGGGTAATCGACACCGAAGGTTTCCAGGATGCGCACCATCAGGTGGTCTGTACAGTATTGACCCGATGGAGACTAGATCGGTCGAGAATTTAAGATGATCCCGACACGATGCCCACATCTGCCATCAAGGAAAGAGTAGGATGTGGGGTAGTGTGTCTGGACTGCTGGCATCAGGCGATCGCTGGATCTTTGCTTCGCTCGGTCGAGAGAGTCAGGAGTCGATGTGTTTACTGGCTCTGCCGGCACACCACAGCCGAGTTGAAGAGTCAAAGTTCCTGGCCACCACACCACAGGTCGATGAAGTAGCTAGAAGGGATAAAGTAGGATAAAGTATAGAGTCATCAGGAAGCCACGATGACGTGCGAATCCAAAGGGCGGCTCACCCTCGACGAGGATATGAAATCCAACTTCCCCTACAGAATAGTCAATAATTGGATCACAAAGAAAGGTGTGCTTGATCCCACGGCCCTCTCAACAAGGATGCACTCATTCTCGCTTGAAATTTGCTTCGGACGGTCATCAAGCCATCTGAGAAACACGATGTGCGGTGTAATGAGGTGGTATTGCGCCGGTACGCGTATGGTCAGGATCCACTATGACGATGGGCCGTGCCCCACTTGATGACTTTTTTTTTATAATTTTCCAATTTTTTGTCTCAATTTTTTCCAGTTAGTCAATTGAATTTCCCGTTTCAGACACTTCTTTTCTGGTGATGGTGGCCAGACCTGAGCGAATGGCCGCTCAGTACCTGGCTGGCCGTATGGGACGGAGTGGACAAAGTGGGAACCGACTAGAAATTTTTCTTTGGTTCCAAGAAGTTTTCCACGGATTCGGTGGCTTTTAGGCTCAAGCACATGATCTTTTACAATGATTCAAAAAGCAGCGCAACCGCCGCCAATGGCCTCCTTTTACCGTTTCCTTCCCCTTCTTACATACAGAACTTGAAGACTGGATTATGTTTTGGTTTGCCGGATCTACTACTTCACAACTCTTCCAGCACCGCACTGCTTCCTGAACGTCAGCCAAGCCAAATCTATATCAGCCTAAATACTTCTTGAGATCGTTGCCACCATCTCATTGCTCCATTGACACACAGCATCAACCACAATCAGCACAGGCGCTTTCACAATGCCGGGCCGTCTGCTCCCCAGCTTTGTTCGGGGCTCTGGCTCCCTGCACTCGTCGGTCTCTTCGACTCCCATCCACTCCAATTCGTCGTCGACTACCTCCGTCAATGAGATCCCCCATCACCCTGGCAAGAAGCCAGCACATGGCACTCCTGACCGTGCTCGCTCACCCGAGCGTCGTCTATCCTTCTCCATGGACCACCTGATCCACCCCCACCGAGACCACAGTAAGGACAAGCGCCGCAGCCTGGGACGCGCCGGCCGGTCCAAGGAGCGTCTCGGCAAGGACGAGCTTGCGAAGCCATCCGCCAAGCTTGAGGTCCTGGTCGAATCGCCTCCTCTAGTCTGCTATGGCAACCCCAGCAACTCCACCGGTGCTCTGTTCTCTGGTCGTCTGCGTGTGACGATCCCCGAGAGCGCTGGCGAGGTCACTCTCAACCAGTTCGACGTTCGCCTCATCTCCAAGTCCTCCACCAAGAAGCCCGTTTCTAGCCACTGTCCTAGCTGCGCTACCCGCACTGAGGAGCTCACTCGTTGGAACTTCCTGACATAGACTCTTCACTTGAAGCCTGGCGCGCACGACTTCCCCTTCAGCTACTTGTTCCCGGGCCATCTGCCTGCCACCTGCAATGGCGCCCTGGGTCAAGTGGAATATTTCCTGCTCGCGCATGCCCAGAGCACTGTCGGGGAGGAGTTCAGCCTCAAGCTGCCTCTGAACGTCCGCCGTGCCCTGATCCCCGGCAACGACAAGTCTTCTATCCGCATTTTCCCTCCTACCAACCTGACTGGCCGCATCGTCCTGCCTTCCGTTGTTCATCCCATTGGGAACTTCCCTGTGGAGATGACTCTGAGCGGTGTGGTGGACAAGGGTGACGAGACGCAGACTCGCTGGCGCCTGCGCAAGATGATGTGGCGCATCGAAGAGCACCAAAAGATTGTCTCCACTGCTTGTACGAAGCATGCTCACAAGATTGGCGGCGAGAACAAGGGGGTCCTCCACCAGGAGACCCGCATCATCGGCCACAATGAAGAGAAGAGTGGCTGGAAGACCGACTTTGACACCGCCGGTGGTGAAATCACCATGCAATTCGATGCTAGCATCAACCCTAGTACCAACCCCGTCTGCGACATGGAGGCTCCCGGTGGCCTGGAGGTCAAGCACAACCTCGTCATTGAGCTCATTGTCGCCGAGGAGTTCTGCCCTAACCGCAACACCCGTCTCATCACCCCCACCGGCGCTGCTCGTGTCCTGCGCATGCAGTTCAACCTCCACGTCACGGAGCGCAGTGGCCTCGGTATCAGCTGGGACGAGGAAATGCCCCCTGTCTACGAGGCTGTCCCTGCCAGCCCTCCCGGCTACTTTAAGCTGGATGATGCTCGCAGCGTGATGGAGGACTACCAGGGCTCCCCGCTCCCATTGCCCGACTATGATGAGCTGGAGCGAATGGAATCTCTTCGTCTGGACAGCGACTCGACCCACTCCTCAACCAACTCTACATCCAACAACCGCGGGCGCATGCGTTTCACAGTGGATGATTTGGTCACTGAGCAAACCCCGCCTCCCTCTGAGCCTGCCTCTCGCGCTCCGTCGGTTGACTCTACCCGCCAATAATCCCTTCAACACTACTATTATGGCCTCGCCTTCTCATCTTACTTCCCATTCTACCGCCATGACGTTATGATCTCCACGACCCAAAGAAAGATATCCCAAAGTCACGGACTTGTCACTGCCTTTTTATTCCTTTTTTATTCCCTTTCGAACGATAATCAACTTCTCGGGGGACACATCATAGCTCATGATCAATGTCTCCGCATCGTGGTCTTTTTCTTTCTCTTTTTTCCTTCTATCATCAATGGCGTCGGCGCGGTCTCTCAACGAAAAGCACAAAAATCTGGTACTACTATCATACCGGAAAGAATGAACGGCAACACTGATCTACTCGGTTGCATGCATCTCTTAGATAGGACGGACGGGTTTCGTTCCACCCCTGCTTTATACCCATCAGTTCATATTCCCCCTCCTGTTCTAGAAACACACCATCTTCTTGTGGTTGATAATCTTTGTTTGCCAATAGGCTCTCTACTCTCGATATCTTAACTTAATGTATTGGCTTCAATGGTCCATCTTTCCATGATGAAGTAGATCGTGTAACCGGTAGATTGGTAGTTCGAGCACGCAGTTGAGATTGTAGTCGAGATATGCTCACCAGCGCCACACACCATCTTCTGACTGGGTTCTTGGCGTTGACAAACTATAGATTGGCCTCTCTTCCCTAAAATGGTAAACTGATGTTAATCCAGGGTTTTATTAGACCAAGATAAAAACATTGACTCCACCGCTGACCGTCATCTTAGTGGCCTTCTAAGAGGCCCATTAGTCAATAGTCTGAGTGGCCGAGTGAAGAGTACCCTATAAGGAAAGACCGATCAAAGCAACTAGCGAGGGCATACAAACATCCCCAAAAGTGAAGCAACCCCCCGTCAAACATGTACTCAAAGTAACTTAAGGTTAATAATCAAGTCTATTCATAGCATGATTCACATACTCGGCCGGAACCCTCGGAGGTCTCGACCCGGCTTGTCGACCACGGGTCCCCTCCGATGGTGCCATGTATTTCCCGAACTCAAAACTTCATTTGCTTGATACCAGCTAATTATTGGCCATGGGAGCTGAATTCGTGTCCCAGAACTTGAGCTACGACTGACATGTCGCATGACCAGCCGAACAACATGCTTCTATCAAGCTATATGACATCATCCGCTGGAAAGAGGTGGCTATATACGAGGATGCTGTACAGGAATACGTGGGTCTACATGAAAGAGTTGCATATATCGCCTCATTCAACTTATTGAATATCCCAACTCATCGAAAGTCATGTCGAACTTATTCCGCAGGGCATCTGATGCCTTCCACCACCACCAGCGGAAGGACTCTGAGGATTCTGCAAACCAGGATACCCTCATATCTCCATCCCAGGAAACACGGGAGCCGCAGGAACCGCAGGTGGCGCAAGTATCGCAAGTGCCACAAGATACACAAGAGTCCCAGGTTGATCCTGCAACTCGGGGTGACTCCCAGGGCAGTGATAAGGACAAAGTTGGTGAGTGTTGTTTATTGCTGGAAGCTTATGTTGTGATTCGTGCTGACACGACCATGGTCGATGTAGGAAATGGCAACTCTCACCACCATCACTGGGGCTTCCTCCATCGTCCAACCGAGGAAGAACGAGCGAAACGCCGATTGAGTCAACAGGAGAAGGAGCGAGCCGACTGGGCTGCTTCGAAGAAGGATGACCCTGCCCGACGGTCGAGCCAAGGGGCCAGTGGTGGGTCTGAGGGTAGTTGGCAGTAATTATTTCAAGTTCACAATTTGTTCGATGTTTCTTTGATATTGCGACTGACGGGAAACACAATGAAATGTAAATTTGCCTCGATGTCACCTACAGATAACTCTTTAGTCTAGTACTATATGTCTATTAACAATTCCAATACTTGATCGTACAGCTCTATATATCGACCACCAGCCCTTATCCTAAATCTTCCATCCTTCGCCCTGCTTCCACTTCAGGATCCGCAACAAACAAAACGACCCCGTCCCAACAGCAACCATCACAGCACTAAACAGCTGTCCCTTCCAGAAAACCGCCCCTTCAATATTCAATAATGCCCCTGCAATAGGATTTCCAATCAACAACCCCAACCCCGCAAAGGTAAAAGACATACCCATTCTCGTGCCCAAGATACTCAAGTTAGACGTGAGTCGGGCAAGAATAGTCGCCGGCAACGACACGATCGCCCCCGAAGCGAAACCATACAGAATAGCGAAAACGATAGTACCCGCCTCATTTCGAATTCCAATCCATGCAAATGCTAGCACGGCTGCGATCAAGCTTATCGGTATGATGGTGTTCAGGGATCCGAAGTGATCGGCCAGGATGCCTGGCGCGATGCGGCCGAAGACGGAAGCCGCGTTGAGAATGGCGATTATATAGAACGCGATATCTCCGTCGGAGTGGAGGAAGGAGGTGAAGTAGGTTGGGAGATAGAAGAATGGGAAGTATAAGCCGGCAAAGGAGAAGAAAAAGCCCAAGCATAAGAGGAGGAAGGGCGGTTCTTTAAACGCGGACATGTCGATTAGAGATCGAGATTGCTTTGGTGGTGGGAGACGTGGTTTAATCACAGCAATGGAGAAGATGAGTGCGCCTAGGGTGACAAAAGCGATGATTCGGGTTGTCCAGCCAAAGCCCAAGGGTCCGATTAACTTGTGAAACATAATGGGATAGATTACAGATCCTAAGCAGGAGTATTAACTTCTTTGTCTCGGAGCTTCTCTTATTCGTATAGACTCACCGATACTACCACCCGAGGCAGTGATACCAGTCGCTAGTGCTCGCCGCGAAGTGAAATAAGTTGCCACGATAGCAACACTCGGCAGGAACAAGCATGCACAGCCAAGACCAACGACAACGCCCTGTGCCAGAAAAATCTGGTAGTACTTCGTCGCGAGCGAAGTCATCATTAGTCCAAACACGACTAGGAATGTGCCCGCCGCAATGAGGGATGTAAGATAGCCCTTGTCATAGATAGGTCCTACGACTACCCCTGCAGTTAGGAGTAGGAAGCCTTGGACTGTGCCTATCCATGAAATCGAAGATGCGGAGTATCCAGACAGTAGGTTGTCTTCGTAGTAGCTTTGGTAGACGCCAAAGGTGTTGACCACGCCCCTGAAATATCACTTTAGTGGTGGTCCTGTTGATGTTAAAGGGCCTGGTGACTGACCAGCAATTGAAGAACAAGAAGAACGCTCCTGCTACTTGGAGCCAAGCAGTAAGACCTCCATTCGGAGGTGGAGGTGGTGTTGCAGGCTCTTTGGGCGGTTGATTTTCGACTTCTGATCCATCAGACTCGGGCAGTGGTGCCGGAGAGAACGCATTATTCAAGACACCTTCTTTTTCCTCGTGTAAAGACATGATATACGATATGAAGACGGGAATATGGAACAGAGGTATGAATACCTTAATATATACCAAAATCCATGACTGGTGTATTTAATGATGAGCGATCATTAAGGCGAACAAAGCCTCCTTCTGTGATCTCGGGGTTTCGGCCTTATTCCCTAGAAATCGAATTATTAATGATGTAGCTGTTTCTTGGAGGAGAATAGTCGTTGTTGGCTGAGGGGATTTTGTGATATTATCATCAACCCCCACTTGACGGGTATTCGACGGAAAATGGGGGCCGCGCTTTGATGAGATGTACGGTCCGCCACACTTGTAGGCCTTTTTCTAGGGGCAGCAAATATCTATGGAATTGAGGTGAAGCCAGTAAGGAATGATTGAGAGTTTGGTTTGTCGTAACTATATGACTTTTCAATACTCACAAGCCATTCGGCGCTCGTCATAATTGGGTCGCCACGTTGGTGGCAGCGGATGGCGCAATACTCATATAGACAAGTTGTTTAGAAATAAAAGGCCAGCCATGAGAATGCTTTTGAATGGAGATTTGGGGACAAACGACATGAGAGTTTTGTTGAGGCTAAAGCGATACAGAATAGGTATGTTGCTCTTGCCTGTCATGACGAAGCGTTTCCCTACCAAGAAGATCATTTCACCAGCCCTGACAAAAGAAACACTAGACTAGGTCCACTTTATCTACATCGTAGACCAGATGTCCCTGCCGCAGTCCTCTCTTTTCTGCGCCAAAAACCCAGGAAAGAGTTATTGCCATTGAGAATAGAATTTCCTTGAGCCACAAACCCCACGGGCCGGTCTTCTTTCGCACTTCAGCGTTCTTTGCAGCCAACTTGAAAATCTCGCTGATGCGAGGTCGGCGAATTCGATCGTAGCTCTGAAAGGTCTCGTTAAGTGGCCGTTTGGGGTCCTCAAGTAAGCGAGAGAGCAAGAAGATATCCTCAAGAGCCATCGAGACACCTTGCCCAGCATGGGGGGACATTGCATGGGCAGCATCACCAAGCAGAAGGCATCGGCCCTTGAACCAGACACCACCAGGGCGCAATCTGTAAACAGGATAGAAGTTCACGACCGAGATTTTGTTCACGATCTCCTTCATAGCACTTCCCCATTCACCCTGTGCACTCTCCAGAGTTTCCAACATGGTGGACTTGAAGCCATCCACTTCCTCCTTTCCGTGCACTGCCCAGCCGTCACGGCTATCCCCCGATTCTGGGAGGGCGACCTCCTTCGAGAAAAAACAAAACAGCTCATCTTTCCCTGCCGAACATGGGTTCACGGCAAGCATGCCATCTTCGGTTAGGGTAGCATCTAGGCCGGTGATCTGGGCAGCTGTCGAAGGAGATAAGATGCTGGTGGGTATAATAGATCCAAGGCCCGACATGCCGGAGTACTCCAGACTCTTTTTGGAGTCGACGTAGGCACGTCGCACAAACGAGTGGATACCATCACATCCGAACAACATGTCAGCAGAATCGGTTGACCCATCCCCGAAGGTAACCTGCACACTCTCGTCACTCTCCTCAATATTCGTCAACCGCTTGTTAAAATGAATCGAGATCTTGGCCTCCTGCACCGCCTGCAGCAGGACATCCACCAGATCCGTGCGCTTGATGCGCATGTACCCAAATCCAGTCTTCTCCCGCGCCCAGGCGATAAAGTCCTGTTGAGCCACAATGTGACCTTGCATGGAATGCAAAGTCAAGTTTGAGCTGGTGAAGCCACGAGCTGCTGCTTTCTCGTAGAGGCCCAGGCGGTCCAGGAGGCGAAGGCCGTTGGGCAAGATACCAATGGCTCCACCCAAAGTGGTGGGCTCTGCTCGTAGTTCATAGATTGTGACTTGGATGTTTGTTTGTTGGTGTAGACGCAGCGCAGCTGCAAGGCCGGCTGGACCGGCGCCGATGATGATTGCCTGAGAATAAGTCAGCTCTGAGGTAGAGTTTCTGGAAGCGCATTGCGGCGGTACCTTTCGACTCTCAGACATTTTTGAGGGATTTTAGGTCAAGGGAAAAGAAATCTTGGAACTGAATCAGAGGTGTCAAATCGTAGAAATCCACGCTTGATCCAGTCTTGATATACTCGCAGATGACCCGTCGAAGTCCGCGAGGACTGCCTGTTTTGGAAGGTCAGCCCGCGGAGTCCGCGGAGCGGGAAGGCAGCATTTCTTAGCAAAAGCAGAAGCTGCAAACTTCTGCTATAGCGGGTATATATTTGACGGGAATGTGCCATGCTAAAGGAAAATACAGACATCAAGCTTGAGTGGCGTTTGATTTCTGCGAAGACGCTGGTCGGTTTGGGGAAACGTTTAGATCGGGCTCGGGCTACAGCCTCCTCAATTAAGACTCTAACCCAACAGCCTCCCACAACAAATCATATCTAGAAACAAATTAAACAAAACTATCCCTCAGAGAGTTTGGTACATGATTTATTCTTTGATCTTGTCACGCATGGACCTCGCACGTTACAGGAGGCATAGCGGGAATTCTTCCTACGATTAGGCACTGTAAGAAATACGATAATGTAGTTTGGAGAAGAGCAGGACAGGAGTGACCTGGTGCAGACAAAAGCCCCTTGTGGGAATTCATTGGAAACATTATGATCTGCAAGTCTTGGGGTAGTCGCGCCAAGTCACTTGTCAGATTTCAGCTTATGTACTGACTGGGAAAGAACTTTAAACCCAATGTTCTTCCTCGGGGCCTTAGTGCCTTATCTACAAAATTATACATACTATCCCATTCCAGCATCAGCGTGAGACGATGCTTGTACATTGAAAATCATATGATTCTGTGGGATCTCTCCAGGGATACGAGCTTATTGTAGGTTGGCGACCTGGCCTCGGCAGACGTTGACGTTCGCAAGTGTGCGTCGCGACATTAGCGTGTTATACGTTATCTAGCTCGTATATGCGAACCATTCTGCATCTCATCCTTGGCTTTTTTGATTTAAGGACAGGTGATCAGCATGTGAGGTATCGAATGCAGACAGGGATCTAAGAGCTTTTCATTCCCCGTTTTGTCAATGGTATACTTAGTCACCCTTGGGACTTGAAAGCTCGTGAAGTATGTACATCAACTTGCATTTGAAATACATGTTCAAGTGTGGTCAAAGTGCCAGGTAAACCCTAAATGCTTGCATTTATATCATACACTAGATTTTAAGATTACGATGGGGGCTGCTAAATGGGTAAAATGACCGCTAGACCAAAACCATAACAAAGGCAACACCCCTGGATGGATTGACAATAATGACCACATTCAAAAGTTCCTTTGTGGATGGTCCGCTCAGCAGTCCATCTTATCACGAGACGTGGAGACGTGACCCCCGCATCCCGCCCACTATCTCCCTACTTTCTATTAGTGCCACTCTACGGTCCACCGCAATTCCTACACAATGGGTCCAAAGTTCCGAAAGGTTCACCCAGCTACTATATATATTATGGTGAGCCATATTGTGGACTATGGTAGTATTTCTCGTTGATGAAGAAGCACATTAGGCCCCGGTGGAAATTGGTGATAACCAGCGCGCATGAACCGAGTGTGATGTGCGTATTCATGATCGGAAAATAGAATATATTGGCTGCAAGTTGCCAGGCGCGACACGGATTCAAAGATTTGTATTATCATTTTCAGAAAGCACAGCACCCTATCGTTTGGCTTTTCGCATTATTTCCTCTCCTTCTACTTGACCTTCTCGAAAACGTCAACTCTTGGCGAGTCACAAATATGTCAAGGTCCCACTATGCGGAGCCAGCAGCCAATCACAACACGTCTATCAGAGATAGTGGATCTAGGGAATTTGGAATTTGAAGCAGCACACCTACCATCACGCATTAAGGTTGCGGGAATTACAGGACTCTCATTGCCTGCATGGGTTGCCTAACTGCACGGCCCTGGGCCCGAGCGACCCCTGATGACAGATCCCAAGTTCCCACCAGAGGAAAAAAGACGCTGGGATCCATTGCAGAGAGCTCCAAACTCTTCCCCCACACACAACATCCCCTCCATTTCTGATGAGAATAAGTGTACGGCAAAGAGATGCACAAAGAAGCTCCGCTGGGAATTACTTGAACAACAAGAACATGATATGATTCAGACCCTGGAAGAAATGTACCTAAAAAACGCCTGAGAGATCCCAAGGGGGTATAAGAAGACAAAAAACGACTAACAAACATCTAGGTACAGCAATGCGAGAGCAGACCGAAAGCACAACAAACCTCGACACATTCCCCATATCTGGGGACGCACCAAAAAGACCAAAAGCATGCTCAAGAGTCGAAAATTGGACCAAATGCTGGAACCCCGCGCGCTTCGAGTGCGTAGACGATTCGGCGAGTCAGTCCAGGGTTACTGATCACGCACACCGCTTCAGCATCGAATTCGGTAACTAGTCGCTGCACAATTGGGACCATATCAACTCGTCCTGTCTGATCGGTATCCATGATCATTGGGTGATTGTCCATCCGGTGGACGAGGTCAATCACCTCCTGCCCGTACGTCTTGAGCGGAGCACGTGTCTGCCAGAGAACGCGCAGCTCGGGGCGATTGTCATCACCCAGAAAGGACAGACAGGGGCCAATACCTGATCCAGTCGTAACCACGATCACCTTCTTGAACACGCGCATGGAATATGCAAAGCCATAGAGGAGCACGCCACGTTTCCAGAAATGGGTAGGTGGGTTCTTAATGGTGTCGCTGGTCCAGTCGCCTGCCTTGGACACCAGGCATGAGAAGCTTGGCGTGCCACGTGTGCCTGCTGGACTGGGGTCGGGAAAGGTGGCAAAGCCATGCCAATCTCGCAGAGGGTGCTGCGCTAGTTGGGTGCCCTTGCCAAACGTCGTGACGGCATGGTCAAAGTGCAGACGCACCGCATGGGTAGACAGGACCTCTGCGCGGACGGGGACCTTTCGCAACATCAACCATGGCTGAACGATAGCAGCTACCGTCAAGACCAGGAACCAAAATGCAGGCAACTTGACGAGGAAAAGACCCAAGTTCTGTCCCTGTGCCTGGCTGATCTCATGGGCGAAGACCAACAACAAGGCAACGAACAAGCTCACAATGAGCCACCCCGAAAAACGGTGGGTGAGCTCGAAGTAATCATGTTGCTTCATACGGAACGTGGGGTGAGCCACGATGATGATGGCTAGCAACAGCACAAGGATGATATAAGCTAAGGCCACCGGAGCAGCTGAAAAGCTGACGACCGTTGCAGCGCTAACGGAGGAAGGCGTCCAATACTGACGCGACATAACTCCGACGAAGCCTACGTACCAAACTAGGGCTGCAACGCCGCACCCGCTATGTACGCCACCATAGTGGTAGACCTTGGAAGCGATGCGCCGTAATACAAACGGTGCTGACCTCGGCACGGATAGCACGATGCGGAAGATGCTGTTGACAACGAGTGGCTGCCGGGCCAATCCACATGCAAGTAGATTGGCTGCAGTGGCATTGACCAAAGCGAGGAGCTTCTGGTTGGACCACATCACCCAAATGAAAACGCCAACGTTTGCAAAGAAGACCAGCGTGAAGAGGCGTCGATATAGAGTGAGGATGGCATACCGCAAGAATGCAAATCGCTTTGGATCAGCACTTACGGTCTGTGCCTCGAGGTCGACGGTATGGTTGGAGTCCGCATCAGCAGATCCCATCTCTTGGGAGATGACCTTCTCGACAATGTTGGCATGTTCGCCATCAGTGAGGGTCACCTCACTTGGACTCGATGAATTTGTAACCATCTTTGTCATTGCAGGCTTTGGAAGAGTGATGGGGGGTTTCTCCGAGTCCGACATAGCGTGGATGTATTGCAAGAATGCAATAATGGATTCAAAAGATGACTGAATGCAAGAACGGGCGAGAGATTGACAATTTGACTAGGACGAGACTTCCTGAAAGATCACAAGCAGACCGGCATGTGGATCATAAGGGTACGGCAATGAACGGGAACGAATGATGGAAGGATTCCGGCACTCAGCCTAACGGACAGGTTCGTGCTAGTGAGCGAGCCCGTAAAGAGTGGAGATACTATCCAGCTGTGATGCCTTCCCCACTCATACGCTGAGAAAATGACGAGAAGTAGATCGGGAAATGCTCTCCAGGGATTTAACGCTTCGGTGTCTCCGGTTCTGGCGGTCCTATCATCTTTATCACTACTTGGTCACTTCCATTGCCCCGGCTCGTTCTACATCCTGAATCCCTTCGAGGACCCCCTGCAATGCCCTTCTTCGATTCCGGTCGAAATCGGATCAGATGCAGAAAGCGCAATATTCAGTCACCGGACGATCGTCCTCAGATGCTTCACAAAATCTATCTCAATGGTCCCTCCCCTTGCGGATAGTGTGCATCCTGGCTTCCAAAGTTCAAGAGTTGTATGACACCATCATGCCGGCTCACATCCCGCGTCAACTAGCGGAAATGGGTCATTGCCAATGAATGTGCATCCTGGACCTCCTCTACCGTCCCTCAGCTCACCCTTGACCCCCGGACGAACGGCCCTGATGTCCGGATGGGGTCTTAATGAGACCCGCTATGTCTAAGATAGTGTCGAATGTGGGCACTATCCTCAAGAAGCACGGGATAGACGGGTTGGACCGGAATGAGCAACCATGCCAGCGAGGCTCCATCGTTCGCCCAACAAGATGTAACCCAATCACGACTCAAAGTCTATCTGATCATTGACCGATGGCCAGACCTCAACGGGCAACTTGCTTTATTGTCATGCAAGTTGCCACCATTATCGCGTTCCTACAGGATCCTGTTGCATCGAAGTGACCACCGCGAGCATTGGCTAATGCATGATGACCCAATAATGCCCATGGCGAGGGCTTATTGTCTGGACGATCCTGGTCACAATGTGTGAGCCCCGCCGGGCGAAGCCAAATCCCTGGGAGCGGGGGTTGTTGTTCTCATCAAAACGAACTTTAAAAAAACTCCCCCCATTATGAAAGCCAGCCTGATACAATGAGGCTTTCAGTGCCTTCGTCGCCGAGGCTGTTTCCGCCCTCCTCATGTGCCTCGCATCCCTGCAATGCAAGTTACCTTTTTTTCTTTTTCTCTGCACGGTGCGGTTGATCCTTGCAGCGGGGGGAGACTCGGGACCCTTCCAGATTCGATGCGACCAGACCCAAGTCCATGGGAAACAGGGCGTCAATCCCAGGAAACGCAGTGGGCCTTGCGCTGCACCACGAGCCTGGAAGGGGGGCGCATTGCATCCGTTGTGGCGCGTCCTTATCGCTAGTTGAACCAGATCTGAGCAGAAAAAACAGACTTTCGTCTCATTTTCAGCCGGCATTTGGGGTTGTCACACGGAATGGAGAAACTTAGGACTTCGGGTCTCGAAGATGCTCCACCTTGGGCGGACCGAAAGCCCTTTGGAATGTCCTGCAACCGATTGAAGGGGCAAGGCAGGAAAAAGAGACTATCGGACGGAACATAGACACCCATGAGACCCATGAATCCTGTGGACGGAAGATCTGCCTCTCGTACCCTGGTTGACACTGTCAAGCTAATTATGACATGAGTGGGGGGTTTAGACCAGATTGATGCGTTTGCATTTGTTCATTGGTGGGAGACGGGACGGGAATTCAGCTGTGCACTACATCATCGAGAGAGAGTGGTTGGGCCGCAGTCTCCCCGGTGCCGCTAACCAGCAACAATCCCTGTTTGGCGCGATCCGAACAGCACGGATCAGCCTTCACTCGTGGGGAGAGGGGTAAGTCCCTTCAACTAGCGGCCAATGGAAGTGGGCGCTGCGAGGGAGGGCTACATTGAGCGGTCGACGTGCCGGTCCTCATGCGGGCTCGCCGCAATTTTTGGATGAGTTTTAGGTTATGGGGATTTGCAGGCATGCGATCTGCTGCCTGTCGATCTGCGATCCTCGATCGGAACCCCCTTCCGCTGGATGGAGACCCGTGATGCATTCTAGCGGCAGTAGTAGTAGTGCTGTAGTACAAAAAGTATGTAGTAGCGGTTTCCTGTGGCCCGTACACCCGGGCCAACGCAATGTAGCAACCTTGCTAGTGCTAGAAGGCCAGCTGTAATCGTTCAAGACCAGTGATCCGAGCCTGTGGCTCAGCTGGTGTTCAGCAATGCATGCTAGGCGACGATCCATCGAATCAACGAAGAAAGGGGCCCGTGGCGGGAGTGTTGCGCCACTAGTGTTAGTTCTTGTAGGGTTAGCGCCGAACTACTCTACTGTAGTGGAGACCGTCCCAACCTGTTCGCGATCGTTTCCAGAGTGTGTCCACCCGTCCAATGACACATACATTTGAGCCGAACTGATTTGCAATATTGACCCAATGGTCCTTGTTGCGATATTGCTGAATTCGGAAATCCGGATCCCTCAACCTATTCTGGACTATCTCGATCCCTTCCTCCGCTTGTGATTTCACATTCATGGTCTGATGATCATGAAAATCACCAGTAGTTATCGTCGGCATGATGAGACAGCCGAGGACGGGCTTCTTGGAGAGCCCCTCTGACAAATTCTAGAAAGTATAGAGTGGTGGACCAGTCAAGAAGCAGCGGCTGACAGCTCCATGATGAAGCCAATGGGTGAACCCTTTTGGAGCTCCCAAGGATGCGCTTATGTCAGCACGAAGTATTCCAAATCAGCCCTCCACCGACTTGTGGCAGGATCGCGCTTGCTTCAGGAAATCAAATTGGGTCAAATTGCTATCTAATTGGAACTGGGCTCCGCTAGAAATCCCTAGCTTATATAAAACCCCATGGCAGGGATCTGTTGGCTCCCCCGCTGTGTGTGGCGCTGTCTTCCTTTCATCCCATTCACTCCCTACTTATTACGGGGACTTTCTTCTTTTTTTTCACATATATAAGCCCTTATCGCAGGCCTCCTGAATATTTCTCCATTAACAATGAGTTACTGGAATCCCATCATGACTGCACCGGCCAGTAGAGCCGCAGATCCACTGCTGCACCAGGATTTATATACAGACCTTTTGACCTTTACATTCTGCGGACCGACACCCTATAATCAAAACCAGCCCTTATTTATCGATGCCGAGGATCCTTCCCGTTCCTTTACTGCGGCACAATTCCGACAATTAGTCCGGACTTTGATTACTGGTTTGAAGGCGCATAATGTGCGACAGGGAGATTGTGTCTTGCTGCATTTGGGGAATAGTGTAAGTGAGACATCATGCCTATCCGGCCATTCGGACTGGCCGAGAGTCAGAAAAGGCCTTTCGGAGATGATGCACAATACTGACTCGGCCTGGTTGGTTTTTGCATAGATCTTGTACCCTGCCCTGTTCTTCGGCATCATCGGCGCTGGAGGTGTGTACATGGGCTCGAATCCTCGCAGCCAGCAACAAGAACTGGACCATATCGTTGGCCTTGCCGAACCCAAATTGATACTTACCACTCGCGACGCATTGCCAACGGTTAGAGAAGTTGCCGCTGCCCGTGGAATTGCCCCAGAACAAATATGCGTGGTCGATGATCGTGCCGTCGACCATTGCGCCCAGTTATTCCTGTGGTACGAATTGGGATATTCGGCGGGCACGGATTTCTTTGCCAATGCCGGTGGTGATAATGGGCGCAACCTCAATTTTGCCAATATGCTCTGCTATGGTGAAAGTGACTGGCTGATGTTCACGGATCCCATGTCGGCACAGAAAACACCGGCCGCCATGTTCTCGACTTCCGGCACTGGAGGTCTGCCCAAGGCGGCCATTCTGTCTCATCATGCAATTGTGTCCCATCATCGATCGATACACTATGACGTGCCTTATCCAGTCAGCCGCTTGATGTCTCTTCCCATGTTCCACCTCTTTGGCGCACTATGGACTCATCTTTTCCCGGTTCGCTATGGCCACCCGCTCTTTGTCCTGTCGCGCTTTGAGACAAAGCAATTCCTGGCGACAGTCCATCGATTCCAGATCTCCGAGACATACCTAGTCCCCGCTATAATTCATACTATCAACCGCTCCCCTTTGCCAGTCTCTGACTATCTTGGCTCACTACGCTACGTGGGTGTAGCGGGAGCCCCCATTGATGCGCCATCGATGGTGCAGTTCCGAAGTCGTCTCCACCCTATGGCATATGCATGCCAGCTGTGGGGAATGACTGAGGTCGGTGTTACGTTCCAAACCCGCTATGGTCAGCACGGAGATCCTGGCAGTATTGGGACTTGTCTGAGAGGATACGAGGTGCGCCTTGTAGACCATGACGGCAACGTTGTTCGGAGTGATGAGCGTGCGGGTGAACTCTATGTGCGGGGTCCTGGCCTGCTCATGGCATACAAAGGCCGCACCGATGCGAAGGATGCACAGGGCTGGTACCGCACCGGCGATGTCGCCTACATGAAGCAAGGTCATTACTTCATCGTAGGGCGGACCAAAGAACTCATCAAAGTGCGAGGGTAAGTTTTCCTGTTCCTCTTCATCCTGTCAAGAGATACTAACTGTCTCTTTATAGATGGCAAGTCGCCCCAGCTGAGGTTGAAGGTGTCCTGCTCCAGCATCCCGGAATTTCCGATGTCGCTGTCACTGGTGTGAATTTGAAGGACGGTAGTGGCGAGGTGCCCCGAGCATTTGTGGTACGATCTCGCGATCCATCTGTGAGCCGCTTGACGGCGGAAGAAGTGTATAACTTCGCCCGTGAACATCTGGCCAGTTACAAATCGCTAGACGGCGGTGTGGTCTTTGTGGAAGAGATTCCCCGTACGGCGAGTGGGAAAATCCAGAGATTCAAGCTCTCGCAGATGAATGACTACAGGGAGATGGTTGCCTCATTGCTCCAACGCTTCGAAGGCGAAGGCACCTCGGCACTAGCTCGTGCACTACCTACCAGTGCGGACGTTGCGCCCGTCGGCGTTGCTTGAAGGCGTGTCATCAAACTAATCTGTTTCTTTTCTTTATTTTTTGCAATTCGGAGGTTTCGAACATCACAAATTTCTCTCGTTCGATTTTGTTATCAATTATTAGGTGTTCGATGGAATTATTGTTGGTGTTGGGTCTGTGGAGACGGGCGTTTTCAGTCCTCTACTTTTGCTATTTCGGGCGGTTTATTGGCACGCATGGCCCGGTGGGTGCTTTGTTTTTTGACATGTTTCTTACGATAATAACACATACGATTCATAATCTACTGCTGTACCGGCTGCTCCGGCGGATGCAATCTTGGCAGTCCTATACATCGAGAAATACCAGATTAAGTGTCCAAAAGCAAATATTTCATCGGTGTAGAACTTATGAATCTAATCCGTAACATTGTGTAATTTACCCCTCCCTAGCCTAACAATAACTGCCCAATGATACATGCATGAAGACAGTGGGGACAAAATAAGCAATAATGCGCCCTGGCACACTGCACTCTCCTTGATGATGTGCCATCCACGCGGCCCTTGTTCGGGTGCTGATCCGCCGAGATCGAAATCTTGTGTCACCTAAGCCAAGGCCCTCGTTCCTGCATCCAAGATCCATTTAATGCTCACCTGGCTACTTTTCAATTTTCGCACCATTATCTGCAAAACAACTTGTCGGTGTTCTTAATATGATGCCCTTGCGTCTTGTTTCCAGTGGAGAGTGTTGGTGTTGCACAAGGGCGATATTGGCATTCTGGAGAGTAGCTTAAGCCAGTAGTCAACTGGCAGTTAAGTAGATGCGATCGAACTCGTTCAGGGCTAGCTCGCCCTTGCATTTCGATTCAATCTAGACTAAGGCCCATATATTTGTCCCACCGAGCCAATATTTTTCTCCAACACCTAGCAAAAGTACTCTTTTAACCACCATACCATGCTTGCTAACCCCTTCTGAGCTTGAGGGGACAAAGTGCTCTCGGGGATACCTAGACGCACTCTGAAACAAAATTGTTAGGACTTAGGCATTGATCCCCCCAAGCCTAACGCAGATGCGCTACTTATATCGGTCCCAAGCATGCTAGAACATAGCGTTCTAGCATATTTGGTCTTTTTGGCTTGTTTGGCTAGTGCTCCTGGGCACGTGTCGTGACACAAAATGAATCTCCCTAGGGAATTAGAAAACTATACTGAATCATGGAATTCTGATATACTAGTACTGAAGGAAACAATTGAATGAGTCCCTTGAAATCCGTCCCGCAGATCACTGTGCAGAGCGTCTTATGGTCCAAGGGGATAGCGTCAGCGAGGTCACGCATTCTGATTTAACCCGATATACCATACGAAGAAACAATGTATGAGTGGACAGTCGCTGAAAGAGCCAGATTCCAGCAGTAAGCTACTACCTCTGAGCTCGGAGGACTATCCTTCGTGCTCACTACGCCGTTGCACTGCGTGGGTGCACTCAACTGCAGGGGCATCACCTGGCTAGTTTTGGGCTGGCCAATTGCTGACCGGGAATCAGCTACCTATCACATGCTTTGAACCAGCGGTCGCTGACTTTGCTTATTCATATGAGATTTGCCCTGCTTGCCTGAGATTTGAGGCAACCAGAAGGAGTACATCTGCGTAAGAACTAGACTCAAATATCTGATATAATAGACATGACCGATGTGATAATAGGAATGACTTTACTCCATAAATTATGAGCGATAGGCTAAAACGTGGCGTTAGCCTCTTTCTCACCCGCGCGATATGCTTTAGTGGAGGAGGTAAATGCCTCATACGTGTGGAATCTCGCCCCCACGATTGACTGAGTATTTTGTAGATAATTTCAACAAAATGAACTGTTGCACTATTCACGTCTCTCGGGGAGCTATACATCCTTGAGAAGGTGTAATTTGGCAATGATTTCTACTGTTCGGTAATCTCGCTTTCCCCTTGGCCATGGGCCACGGAGAGGGTATTGTTTAGTGTGGTTTATTCAGACTGAAGGACAGGGTCTAAGCCTCCGTATCCAGGAAGTATATTTGTATATGCGGCATTTATCTGGTTCCTCTTATCCTTGTTTCCCTAATCTCGTACGGTTGTCTAACTTCTCACTCCAATTAGCTCATTCCCACGTGCTCTTTGACACACTCTACTATAGGTTTTGTGTAGAGATAAGAGATGACAGCCATGAATCTTAAAAGAGCAATCAGTAGACGAGCTTAAAGACTGACCTGCTCCCGTGTACTTTCAAGACATTTCATTACATATAGCAGCACGCAGGGCAAGAGAAAAGCCAACATGTCTACCAGCACCGAGGATGAATCCCCAGAGGATCGCATAATGGATATCCATACAACTTCCAGCGCTGGTGGTGTTGTGTCTTCTCGCGTAATCCAACGCAAAGTTCCCCTCCATGGAGGCAGGGCTACAAACACGAAGGAGATGGACCTGGAGATTGCATCCGTCTCGGATTCGCCCGAAGTGGAGGAGAGGGACTTTCACAGCAAGCAGGTAACTTGGAATCGTCTGTCTTTTGGTGTTGCAGGTATACTTATTATCTGAGAATAGGTTTTCAAAGGATGGACTCTAGCATGGTTGGTGACTCCAATTTCCAGGGTCAGCTTATCCCTTCAGTGCTTACTCGACGCTTCACCATACACAGGCTCGCTTATCAGTCACTCGGAGTGATCTATGGCGATATTGGGACAAGTCCTCTATATGTCTACTCGTCTACATTCAGCAGTGAACCAAGCTATGAAGATATTCTTGGGGCCGTGTCATTCGTCATATGGGCTCTCACCATCATGGTCACCATCAAATATGTTTGCATCGTGCTCAATGCGGACGATGAGGGCGAAGGAGGAACATTTGCTATATACTCACTCTTGTCACGATATGTATGTGATGCGGTAATCTCACTTAAGAGCTCCATTAACATGCTTGAATCACATTTAGGCAAGACTCGTTCGACACGACCCTCGCCACACCAATCTCCTCAAAATGCAGCGGCATAATACCAACGACCTGCAGACTCCGAACCGGATGACTCGTAACATTATGGAGAAAAGTGCAGTCATTAAATGGACGCTCAAGGTTGTCGGCGCATTTGGAGTGTCTCTGCTTCTTGCAGGCAAGCAAAAGTCGTTACCTGGATATATACATGTTCACATCACTAACGACTATCTATAATTCAGATGGAGTTCTTACCCCTGCGCAATCTATTCTCGGTGCAATTCAAGGGTAAGTTTGGTTTGACTACCAATGACAAAATAAACCCCCTGGGACTGATTCTGTCTAGAATTACTGTCGTGAATCCGAACATCTCTTCCTCCACCGTAACCGGTGTATCATGCGCAATTTTGGTCCTTGTTTTTGTGATTCAGCCATTTGGAACCAGCAAAATTGCAAGCAGCTTTGCTCCAATCGTAATATTGTGGATGATTTTCAATCTGTCGTTTGGAATCTATGTAAGGCAGAAGCACGAGATATGGAAATCTCATAGCTAGCGATGCTAATCTCTTACTTTATTATAGAATCTGGTCATGTATGACGCGTCTGTGCTCAAGGCATTCTCTCCTTACTTTGCGGGCTCATTCTTGATGCGCAATGGAAAAGACGGATGGTTACAACTAGGGGGGATCTTGCTCGCCTTTACCGGTGTCGAAACCTTGTTCGCAGACTTGGGAGCGTTCAGCCAACGGTACGTCTCCGCTTCCGGTACAATAGCTTTCGGCTTTAGTAACGATTATGCAGGGCCATACAAATGTCGTGGCTTTTTTTCGTCTATCCCTGCCTTCTACTGTCGGTTAGTTTCCACGATACAATCTGCATATGAGGGAAGAATATTCTACTCACTGCCCACTAGTATATTGGTCAAGGCGCTTATATTAGCCGAGTGCCCAGCGCATATGCGAATCCATTCTATCTCACCGTCCCACCTGGTATGCTATATCCAAGCCTCGTGGTGGCAATCCTAGCGTGTATTGTGGCGAGCCAGGCCGTTATTACTGGATCGTTTCAGGTATGTGAAGAGCTCAGTTTGGTTGAATGGGATTCTAATCTCTCTTAGTTGCTTTCCCAAATTATGAAGTTATCGTATTTTCCACAAGTGAAAGTCTACCATACTTCAAAGAGGTTCCACGGGCAAGTGTACATTCCTCTAGCCAACTGGCTCATGATGATCGGAAGCATCATTGTGACAGCCGTCTACAATAATGTATGTGCTCATTGACATTACCTGATAAGGATCTTACTGACTCTGCTATAGACTACTGCCCTCGGTGAAGCCTACGGAGCATGTGTCATACTCGTCTCGTTCCTCACAACCTGTATGGTGACCGTTGTTGCACTCATTGTGTGGAGGCTGCCAATGTACCTGGTCTTTCCAGTGTTCCTCATTGTCGCGCTGTGGGATGGAATGTTTCTCTCGGCCGCCTTGAGCAAGGTTCCACATGGTGCATGGTTCACGCTGATGATAGCCGTGGTACTGACCTGCATTTTCGTTCTCTGGCGATATGGAAAGGAAGAGCAATGGAAAGCAGAAGAGTCCGACAACACACCTCTATCCCAGACAACTGCGTTGAGAGAGAACAAACTCGTGCTGAAGGATGGGCCGGGAAGTTCTACCATTACCTCAATCAGTGGGCTGGGAATATTCTTCGACAAATCCGGCAGCTCGACTAATACACCGACTGTTTTCCTTCACTTCCTACGAAAGTTCAGCGCAGTACCTGAGGTTACGGTGTTTCTTCATCTTCGCCCCCTGTCTGTGCCCATCGTCGCTCCTGACGAACGGTATTCGGTCGCTCGTTGCTATACGTACGGCACTGGTCCGAGCAAGCAAGCCATCCCACATTGCTACAGATTGATAGTCCGCCATGGATACACGGATGAAATTATCACACCCGACCTAGGAATATTAGTTCTCGATCTTGTTCGGGGCTATTTGACCTCACAACAGACTTCCAAATCACCAGAAAGTGATACGGAAAGATTGAGCAAGCTGCATCGAGCTTGGAAGTCTCAGGTCATCTACATTGTGGGAAAGGAGCAATTGAAAATTCCGGCAAAGACGAACTTCCTTCGCCGTGGCTTCTTGTGGGCATTTTTGTGGATGCGAGATGCTAGCCGGACTAAAGTTCAACATCTAAATGTCGAGACCGACCGGGTCGTGGAGGTTGGCTTCGTGAAGGAAATATGATGTTCTCCTGTGAACTAGAAAACACTAAGGCAAAATCTACATATTTGTAACTAATTGGAAGCCAGATTGACGATTCCATGATTTTACAAAAGGTTCTTTAATTGCATCGTGATAAACCGTACGGATCATTGGTTTAGTACATGCCCAAAAATGGCACATCTAGCTGCTTCCATTTATAGCACTCATCATACATGCTCTTGTTCAACTTGATGTCGAAAAGAGCCAAAGGACAGTTTTTGAGAACCGTCCAAGACTCCAAGGATTGGTCCACTCCAAAGTTCCGAGATTGGAATTCGAAAGCGATCCAGATGCGAGCTGACGTGTTTTCTTGGCGCTTTCGGCCACCTGCCGATTCGGGATTTCTCCACTTTTCTCATCGGCGATTTTCGATCCGACGGACTTCAACCTCCGAAGTCTGAACCCAACAACCCGTATGAGGTTGCAAGATGAGCCCGCCAGACGAGAGCACTGAGTCTCCGAGGAAGAGACAAAAAACACTATCGTGCCAAAGATGTCGGTCTCGAAAACAAAGGGTATCTTGGACTGATCACCGTTGGGTGCAGTTCGACGCGCTGAAAAAATTATAGTGCAGTGACACACGGCCATGCCACAACTGCGTTACGGCAAATCAAGGTTCGAATGGAGTCTCACATCACATAAAATATTCTTACTAACATCTTTCTGCAGAATGTAACTCCGGGGAGCCTGTGTCTCGAAAGTCTCGAATCAGTGCCGAGTGAGTGATGTTTCCATTGCCATAGTCATGTATCCGCTAATGTTCATATGTGTAGATATACTAGGTCACTCGAGGAAAAGGTAGCTGAGCTTGAGGCTCAGCTACTAGGGGTCCACCAAGTTGAGGGCTCTCACTCACGCCGGCAGGCTGTCCTTCAGCCTTCTGCGGGCGATAATCCAGCCTTATTAACTGAAACGGTCAGGAGTCATGAGCGCGCAGCATCCGGGTCGGAGGGGAATTCCGTGCCATTAATCGGTTCCCGAAGAGACTGCGGTTCAACAGAGGGACTTTGTGATGCTGAAACTGAGCGAGCTCAGCTAATTTGTGTTCCTGTTTGCACGTCCACATCTAATATTTTAGTTTCTTCTCCACTCCATTCCACAGGTCTCATCGGATCACCAATTGTCGGCGATAAATGCGGGCATACGAGTCTCCTCACTAGCATACTAGCGACTCTCGCCAGGGGAAACCCATGCGGGGTCTCTACATGTGGAGATGGAGATCGCGCCCTGAGGAATATCTATCTGTCTCCACACATTACAACCCAGCTGCTAGACCCAGATCATTCTGTCCGACTTCCTACCGATGTTGAAGATGCCCTGATCAAGATATATCTAGAAAGAGTCAATCCTCGATATCCCTTCCTTCATGTGAGCACTTTTCTGGAATGGTACGAGACTTGGAAAGCTCGTCCGAGGGAGCGCTCTGCAGGGGAACAGAATGCCAGGTGGAAGGACTTTTTTGTTATAATGGTAGGTCCGTTGACTAATTTCTGCTTGTCTTCCCAGGTTGCTCACCTCCATCCCAGGTCCAAGCAGTCAGCATCCTCCTGACTCCCCAGGTATCTCAGAATGATATCGCCACCTCGCAGGTACGCTGACTAGAAACGGAATTCAAGAGCAATTTCTGACAATTTAGATTCTTTACAACACCGCAATGAAATATATATCCTTTGTTTTCACTCAATCAGATCCCGTTCTCCATGTTCAAGCGCACCTTCTCCTGACTTTACATGCCCTCCACTCTCCCTCTTCTCAAATGATCATTACTATGATAGCGGCGACAATGCGGCAGTGCGTCATTAGCAGCCTCCACCTATCCGAATATGAGCCAAAGGCTTCGTTCCCAGAGTTTTCACAAGAGGTACAAATTCGCCGCAGAGTGTTTTGGTCCGCTTATGCAATAGACCGACTTATCAGTTGGATCTACCACATCCCGAACAATTTGATTGATGAGCACATTACTGTTGAGGTATGTCCGGAATTGTCTCTCTACGCTCTACCTAGCTGACGAGAGAAGCTTTTCTCAAATGTGGATGATGCAAGTCTCTCTCAAGACACTGCCAACTTGGCGGAACCACCTTCTCGAGATTTGCTTCAAAGAACTCGTATCTCGCCAGCGTTGCACCTAATACGTTGCAGATGCATTCAGTCTCGAATAATCACCACCATGCTGCGGTCGGACTTTCACAACATCGATGTATCGCCCGCATGGAGAGAGCACATGTTGGAAGAATTGGAGACGTGGAGAACTCAGGTCGAGCGATTAAGTCACAGAGCTAATCGAGGGTACTTGAGTGATCGGTGGGTTGGTATGGCTTACAACTACACGATCGCATTGCTACACCAGCCCACCAAAGATAATGTCTGCAATGGCTTTGGCGACCGGTCGGTCTCGGCTTCTGTTAAACTTGCATTGACATTCCGAGCCTTTCAGAAGGATCGACAAACAGCTCAGCTTTGGCCCGGGGTAGGTGTTTTGAGCGCTCAAAAATGATCATTTCGCTAATTGTTCCATTCAGCTTCTGAGTCAGTTCACTGTCGGCGTCACACTTCTCTATTGCTTCTGGGCAACACCACCCGCATATCGTACGCCCGCGTATCGAGGGAGAGAAGTCTCAGAAGCACTGCGGGCTTGTTCGACTGCCTTGGCCATTCTTGCCGAGCGATGGACCCAAGCCGAGCCTCTACGCGATGTCTTTGATATACTTTTGAAGGAGATTCCAATACACGAAGGGCCCGATATGAGTATCTCTTCGAAACATATAGCACCCGATTCGGTCGCTCTGCTCAAATCGCACATGCAAGCGGTACAAGAGATCTCGAGGAATCGAGTGGTACTTCGCATGTTGCAGCAGATTATGACAGATGACTTTCCATCCAGTCCCCAGGACTATTTGCAACAAACGAACTCTCCAAGAGGGAATCATCTATGCTCTGAACATTGCGCGATGTTCCATGGGACGGCATTTTTTGACTCAGTAATGAACCTGAGCTCTGACGCTCATAATTTCACGGGCGGCGAGTTGAGCGACACATATACAGCATTCGACGATACTATCATATTTCCCGCCTTGTTTGGCTCGGCCGAGTTCTAGGATCTCGAACTACATTGATTGGGGGGTGGAGCCTCCGTCGGCCTTTTGGCCCCGACGATCGGAATGTTCGCCGATGATGACTCTAATGATCAGATCATTTAATCCACCTCGGCACTCGTGCTCGCCCAATCTTTTTTTCTTCTATAAATGTAGAGTCTATCGATAATTACAAGTCTCAAACTTCTTGCATTCTTTTTCTCTTGCATAACATAATGCCTCAAAAGTTGAAGGTCGCCGTGGCGCAGGCCCGCACCGGCCCTTCCCTCTCCGCTACACTCTCTGCGTTGGAGCGCATTACTCGCAATGCAGCTTCCCAAGGGGTGAGCCTCGTGCTTTTCCCCGAGGCATACCTGGGAGGCTACCCTCGTACCTGTGATTTCGGAACGGCAGTTGGCGCTCGTGCTCCTCATGGACGAGAGCAATTCCTGCGCTATTTCCAAGATGCGGTAGATCTTGGGGATACTCCTACAGGTGCTGGAGATGACTGGGTGGAACGAAAATTGCCCATTGCTAAGGGAGCCGATCGTCGCGGCGATGGCACGAGAGAGTTCCTTGAAAAGGTTTCTCGTGAGACCGGTGTCTTCATCGCCACGGGTGTGATTGAGAAAGCCGGTGGTACCTTGTACTGTTCCGCGCTTTACGTGGACCCAACCTCGGGCGTCTTGGGAAAGCGACGAAAGGTGATGCCGGTAAGTCTTCTATAGAAAGAAATTCGACTGTCTTTTTGTGTGGAAGAGTTACTTACAGTTCGTTGATAGACTGCTTCCGAGCGTCTCATCTGGGGCCAGGGCTCGCCGTCTTCCCTAAAAGCTGTCACAACCGTGCTGAACGGAGTGAAGCTTACCATCGCTGCTGCGATTTGTTGGGAAAACTTCATGCCTCTGCTTCGACAGAGCCTGTATTCTCAGAACGTAAACATCTATCTTGCTCCAACTGCCGATAGCCGAGACACTTGGCTCCCCCTCATGCGCACAGTTGCTGGCGAAGGTAGAACTTTCGTTCTCTCTGCCAACCAGTGCGTACGGTACCGCGAGTTGCCACCATGGATTACCGATCACGCTCAGAGGGAAGGAACCGCGCTAGAAGGTATGAGTACTTTCTATTTATTCTCGTAAGCATGAGGCTAATCAGTTTGACACTACAGGAGACCAGTATATTTCCCGTGGTGGATCAAGCATTGTTGGCCCCTTGGGAGAAGTCCTTGCCGGTCCTATCTGGGAAACCTGTGTTGATGATGCACTCGAATTTTCAGACTCGGGAGAAGCCTCTGAAAAGGAAGGCCTGTTGATTCAGGAAATCGATCTGGAGGATTGCGAGCGAGGCAAGCTTGATCTTGACGTCGCCGGAAGCTATTCAAGGAGCGAGTTCAAGCTGACGGTAGAGGGACTCGATTTGAACCCTCCTCCATTTTGATTTTATTCTATAGTTCCTGACATGATCCCCGGCTATGGGTATAGATTTTGCAAATATATGATATCATTCAATGTGAAGGGGTTTCTTTCGAATGAGGTCCTCGGAAACTCCCCAACAGCAGAGGCGCAGCGAAAGATCTCCGTCATTCCGGAGACTGATAATCAAGAGCCTTCTCACATTTATGTCTATTGGTATTGGCACGATATTTTTCAGTAGATTTTATTCCGCCAGGCTCATGACTACTTACTTTTCAGTTGTTTATATATTCTCGCCATGTCCATGTAAGCGTTTGCACAAACGAGGATACCTCGGCGCTGAATCTTGACATAGCTTGATGAGCGACCTGGGTCTGCATGAAACTAGACCACCCTTCTGCCAATTTTCTCGATTCGCAATCTTCCCAAATCTCATATCCGGCTCTGAGTAGCCGTACTGGAAAGCCTTTGCGTGAGTGGCCCCCACTCGGAGTCGGGGGTCTCCACTCATCTCCGAATCTCCATCCACCAGCTACAGTATCTGCTTATGCGCCGACTCCGAACATTTGATATCTCCCAAGCACGATGCTGAATCATACATCAGACAGCATCGGTAACAGGCGCTCAGCTTGTGACCGGTGTCGGCGCCACAAACTTCGCTGTGAAAAAGGTGGTACGGGGCGCTGCCACCGATGTGAGAAAGCCCACGCCCAGTGTGTTATGGGCCCTGCGCTGAGGTCCGGCCGGCCGACGCAAATATCGAATAGTCCACTGCTGCCAGTACTTTCGGTACCAGGAGAACATGCAAGTCTAAGCTTGGCTGCAAATATCACACCAGATGTCTCATTTCGACAGTTGGGCACACCCCCCGAGGTCCCAAGCTACGCAACTGGCCTAGAGGCACAACCTCTACTCTCACCAGCTAACATCGACGAATTCAACGATATCTGGTCTCATCCTTTCGCCTCTGCAGAAATGACGGGCGCTTCGAATGAACGTCTCCCAACCACCCCAACTTTCGCGCCGCCTAATGAAACCATGAAGAAATTAGCCGATCTCCAAACCAACATTCTATCTGATCTTGAGACTGTGAAGTATTGCAGAACTGCAGACAAGTGTCCCGAGGTCGTTGATGCCACTTATTCCATCACTGCCCAGAACGTCATGGTTGGTCGTATGCTAGATCATTCAACGGCTCTCATCGGCATCTTGGACCACTTCCAGCCAAACTGCACCGATGCCGATTATTTCAATCTGTCATGCGATACGCCTATTCTCATGACACTCATTTCATGCTATGTGTCTCTTGTGCGCATCTATCGAACAATATTCTCGTGTATTGTGGACTCTTTACCGTTCCTGTTGGGTTTTCAGCACCCTGCTCCACAATTATTTCCAGGCATGCACCTCGGCGGATTCAAGCTTGAAGCTCGAGTGGACCTCCAAGTGCAGATCCTGGTGAAGATCAGTGAAGATATGCTGAGAAGCATTGAGACTAGGTTCGGTCTTTCTGACGATGCCCCCGAGGCTGGCGCGAAGATTCCCCAGCCTGGGAAAGCGGCTCAGCTTCTACGAATGATGCTAGAAGAGGAGGCCCGTGAACAGCCCGAAATACATGAGCCCCGAGGAGACTGCAAGCCATTGAAAGAACTTCTTGCTGGCCTTCGCGATTCGGATAGAAAAGGCCGAGTTCGTTGATGATAAACCCCCGGAATGTGATGATCGGAACGTTTCTCGGACGTGCCACGCCGCTTGTATAAAGGGGACGCAGTCTGTCAGACAAGCTGAAAAATTCCCTCTACAATTTTCCTTCTAAAAGCTTCTGAATTACTCGGGGCATTTCAATCCAGAATTCCGACACCATGTCTTCTACACCACCCGATGGAGAAGGCCTCAGTATGATGTGGTGGGCAGCCCGACACCCACCAGCTAATCCAACGACCTCCTTCGCCGGTCAAACCGTGCTAATCACCGGTGCCAATACGGGGCTAGGCTATGAAGCTGCTCTCAAATTTGCGGCACTGGGTGCCTCACGCCTCATATTCGGCGTCCGATCGCTTCGCAAAGGCGAAGAAGCCCGAGCTCAAATATGCCAACAAACCGGCTACGATGCAAGCGATATCCAGCTTTACGAACTCGATATGAGCACTTTTGCGTCCGTCAAAGCCTTTGCCGAGATGACTGCCAAAGAACCTCGCGTGGATATTGCAATTCTCAATGCTGGAATCATGGCAACGTCCCATGGTCCGAGCCCTGAAGGATACGAGATGTCTCTGCAAGTCATGGTTCTCTCAACCGCACTACTGGGTATACTTCTACTACCACAGCTCCAAAAGTCAGCTGCGATATCTGGCAAGCCGGCACATCTTGAGCTTGTGGGGAGTGTTGCCGGTCGCAATGTAAAGCCCGATACCTTCTCGCGGTCCGACGCCAAGATCCTGGACCAAGTTAATGAGCCGAACTTCTTCGGAGTGCAGAAGCAGTACAACGTCGCAAAACTGTTGCTCTTTTATGTTTTAGCTGGCTTGGTGGAGTCAACAAGCAGCTCGGAGGTGATTGTCAATGCTGTTTGCCCGGGGCCATGTCGAACTGATCTTGGCCGAGACTTTTCGAGCTGGTTGAAGATGCCGATGGCTCTCTTTCAGTCTGTGCTTGCCCGCTCGGCCGAGGAAGGGGCGAGAAGCTACGTTAGTGGAGTGGCACTTGGTCAAGAAGCGCATGGTCAACTCTGGAGTGCCGATACGTTCTTCAGGTATGTCTTGCGTATCCATCGGTTTCAGTACGCTGTGCTAATTTGGGGTACAGCAAGGGAGAGCTTGCTACGAGTCCGCAAGGCAAGACCTTGCAGAAGAAAGCATGGGGCGAAATTCTTGAAGTACTGCAACCTTATCTGCCCAGCAAATAGGTTGACGGTCGTATGAACTTGGCATCAAGAGTGTTGTACATTTGGTCCGAAATATGGGAGTTCTCAAAATATTGAAAATAGTGTCGGTATCGGGTCGCGAAACGCTCTTTTCACGGATGCAAGCCCTGTAGACATTCACAAAATGCTATACCCCATATAGTAAACACCCCAATACAATGGTCCCAGCGCCCCAAGAACCGCCGGCCCAAAGGACATCTCCAAGATACACCATATCCACATAGTGCCATAAGCAGGCGCCTTCTTCATAACAGCATAGTATGGCTCCCCGTTCGTAACGGTAATAAGATGAGCTCCCAGTATCACTGATATGGGAAGCAGGATTATAGTTCGGAGTGTTGGCGGGAAGAGCAGCCGTCGGAGGAAGGAAAATGTGAACTTGTCGCGAGTGAGTGGGAGAACCGAGACTGGCTGGGCTGCGAGGAAGCCTAGGCTGGTATGGAGGTTGAAAGAGACGATATGGCCGTGAACGAAGTGGACGAGGAAAGTGAGGAGAGGTAAGGTAATAAAGATCGATTCTTTGATGAGGCCGGGGACGTTGGTCGATTCGGCATACTGGTGTGCGGCGAGGTAGGCCAGGGTCAGGTGGAGGGTCGTGAGAGGAATAGCAAGGAGAATGGTATCGAGTAGCGGGGGTAATGGCTTGTCTATTTGGAGTTCGGGGTCGTCGTTATTGTCTTTTGGCTGTACTTTGCGGCCTGGTTTGGCTTTCTGTGCCCCCGTGGATGTCGGGTTTTCCACATTGCCGTCGGTGTCCACCAGGTTTCCCGACGCGTCGACGGTCACATATCGAGTGGCTGTCGGTTTTGAGGGTAGTCCTTTGCCCAATGCCGGTGGGATTGCCTTCCCCAGGCTTTCTTGTTGTTTGAGAAGCTCTTTTTGGCGCTTCTCAATGATGTCATATAACGTTGGTTGGCTGCTCTTGCTGCTCGGATCGCCGCGTTCTGGAAGGGCGAGGGGGATATCCGGCTCCTCTGAAGCTGTAGTCATGCTCGCTGCGGCAGCACGGCGCTGCTTTCGATTTCTTGGAGCCTCCATGGTCTGGAAATGAGCGTTGTGGAGAGATTGAAGAAGCGGGTGAGCTGGCATGAAAGAGAAAACACGCGAGTGGGTCGCGCGGACTCGGAGGATCGGCCGATCGGCGAAACTGCCCCAGTGACAACGAAGGGAGATATATGCGTTGTGACTATTGCTTATCGTGCTAAATATAGAGGGCTGCGAGAACGCCAACTAAAGGCTCAGCAAGGCAAATATGCCTTTCTGCCCACAGCTGGGCCGAATAATTGCTTGACTACGCCCAAGAGCAGGTACTGACAACGTAAAATTTACTTTAAATCTCGATCGACACACTCGTGTTCGTTTCCCTCGTCACACTGCTCCCACCAACAACTTCCATTAAAGTACATTAGACCCTTCTAAGTGCCCTTCCTCTCTTTCGTCGTGGTTCGAGGCCAATTACCCTTTAACCAGCCTGGTAGATGGCAGGACCAGCAACAACGTGCGGGTTGATCAAGCTCAGGTTGAAGGGAGTCAAAGCCGGGTTGCTATCAGTGATAGCAATGAACAAGGTGCCATTGATGGCTGGGTCACCCTGGTAGGTCTCCAGGCTAGGTTGAATCGTATATCCGCGGCCAGTACCGGTGCCATTCCTATTACCAGTGCTGTTGATGACACGCAGAGGGGTGTATGTCACGTTGAGCTGCGAGACCCAGGCAACATATTTTGCAGTCTTTGCCTGAGTAGTAGTGACGTAGCTGTTGTTGGGACCGACTTCCTTGCCTGCGGTCTCCCATTGCAGAGCCACCTGGCGACCGGGGAAAGAAAGAGCACCGATATCACTGGTCACGTTGGCGCCGGTGTCGGTTCCAGAGCTAGAACTAGAGCTGGAAGACTTGACGACATTGGTGCCGGCGCTGATAGTGTTGTTGAGGCTAGTGCTGTTGGAACTGCTGTTGCCAGCCGCGGCAATACTAGGCTGGTTGAGGATTCGCAGAGACGGGAAGTTCTGCCACACCAGACGGGTCTGATTGCTAGGACAGGAGCTGATATATGGCGCCAGGAGAGTCCAGGCCCAGGACTGTGGGATACCGACTTCGAACCATTCGGGAACGGGGAAGAGACCCTGGAACTGGCGGAAGATCAGCTGCTGGCGCGCATCGGTCGCGGTGGACAGCGTCAACAGATTAGCTGCCTCTCGAGAGTCGAGGTGAGACAGGAAGCCATATACACCAGCCTCGCCGGACCGAGTCAGCTTCTGGCTGAAGTCGAGGAATTCATTGACGTTGGTATATGGATAGTTGTACGAGCATTGCTGCGGCGCTTCGGCACCGAGTATGTTGCTGATGAGAGTTGCGTGGCCAGCCTCCTGCTCGGCGAAAAATGCAATCAGATCTCGGTCTGCAGAGTTCAGCCCAGCGGCCTGGAAGTCCTCCGTGGAGTAGCGATTCAATCCATCCTGGAACAAGTCAAGCTCAAGCCAGCTTTGATACAGTGCCAGTGCCTGCAGGATAAAGTCAGCAACAATGCAAATGGATAGCCACTGGCTCGTAAAGGGAACTGCTTACCAGAGACTCATAGTCATAGTCGCTCTTGGCATTATAGACGGGAATCGATCCGTTGGTACCAACTCCTCCCTCGGGAACATATGGCGCTGGCTGGGCATCGTTAAGTGTTCCATCACTGGGATACGTAGTAGCTTCCGGGGCCACACTTCCGTTGGAAATTCCAGATCCAATCGATGAAGCAGTAAGTGCGCCCGTAATCGACGGGGTTCCGCTGAACGGAGTATGCGGCCCAGAAGACGAATGGCTTCGAACTGGCGGGGCCGAAACGGAAGCCGACGACGAGGTAGTTGCGCGAGCAATCACGATTCCATTAGGAACTGCAGAAGCCAAGGGCAGAGAGCCCAGTACGCTTAAAAGTGGAAGAATGTTCCACATTGTGATCGGAAACAGTTTGTCAATTCCCTCTCGAAGCTGATGTCTGGATTTCGGACTATATGATCGCGTATAAAAGGGAAAGAGTTGCAGGATTCGGGAACTCAGACAAAGTCGGCCATCGGAAAAGAGACATATAACGCCCCAAGGGGGGTGTCAATCTCCCATGAGCCCTACATTGACATCGGTGACGATTGACCCAGCAACCCTGACCTGACGAGGTCCGTATTGCGACATCACCCAGGTACGAAAGGTAATCAGGCTGCAAACTCAGCACATCAAGGATCCGGCGCCAGCGAATTGGACTCAAATGGCGCATCAGTCCGACACCTATGAAGTCAACGACCTCATCGTCGCTACCAAATGCGTCGGTCGACTATACGGCGAAGGGGCACTGTGGAGATGCCCACAGTTGAGGTCAGTCGTTGGTAATGAACGAGTGCGAGCGGAACAGGGCTCCCAGCCGGTTGAAAGGTCGTGATGGCGCGGCCTGTTAAAGTTTTACTTCCTGCTTTCTTCGATCAATCCTCGATGCTTGCAGCAACCGGTCCTGGGCCATTGGTCGAATAGCAGGCAATTTCCAACATGTTGTCATACATGTTACTCCACATGGAGAAATCAGATCTTGGCGGGTGGCAAGGGTATATAATAATCTCTCAGAAGCTACGGAGCTGCCGGATCTCAAGCTGACGTTGTGTTGACAGGCGGAGTTAGGAGTCGAATTACATTAATTGATCTAAATATCATGGAGTATCATGGAGGCAACAGGATTCGGCCACCTGCAAGAGATCAGAATACTAATTCGTGTATTAGAACTCTTCAAACTTCCCAAGTATTGAGACACGTTACCTGCACTTACTGGCATTTCAAAGAGCCCATGTTCTGTATAATCTACAAAACGTAGTGAGCGCTTCATAGTGGAGAAGGTGATGACGTCGACTCCATAGAGTCGGCAAATTCATTGAGATGGAAGTCATCTCCGCACCTCGGAGCCTCCGGGATTCAGCCTTGAAGAAAAAATAAATTATCAATTATGAAAAACGAAAATGGTCAAGAATATGATGAACGGTGGATTCCATCGTATAGCTGGGATACGTACAGTACTTGGTAAAAATCTTCACGAGCTGGCTGGAACGCGTCCCAAGTCGCGCACGGTCCAACGGTTAAATCCCAAGCTCTCTTGGCTGCGAGAGTCCGTCCCCCTTTAGGCTAGTGCGGAATATTTCCTTCATCATCTCATCTCATCTGCTTGTCCATTGCTCTCATCCTTCGCCTTCTAAACCCTACGTTCACCAGAATTGCCAGCCTTGTAGTGTCACCCGAATCATGGCAGGTCAATCGATATTGAAAGCGCGGGCCTCTGATGTGTACGCAGTCACCAATTGACGGCAGTTTTCAAGTTCATTGAAATGCCTGGCTTCTGTGCCACACTCTAAAGGTGATCGGACAAGAGAGCGATAGCCGACCACCTCGGAGGTGCGCCGAGTGGGGGTGGAGCACGACAATGTTGTGATCCCGGATTACAGTGATTACAAGGGTACTGGAATCCCCCACTTCCATACCTCTTTCAGGTTGCATCGATCTCGCAGTTTCAGCCCGCTCACATCACTCCTCTCCCTCACCATGTCAAATCTTCAAGCCTCGCATCTTTTCTCCGTCCAGGACCGGGTCGTGGTCATCACCGGCGGAGGCAGCGGTAAGACCTACCGAGGGGAATGATGATCCGGGGATAAACCCCACACTGATTGATGTCCACAACTGACATGAGACCATCTTGCTAGGTTTGGGCCGTATCATGGCCCGTGCCTTTGCTGCCAACAACGCCTCGAAGATCTTCGTCCTCGGTCGCCGGGAAGATGCGCTCCGCGAGACGGCCGCTCAAGCAGCAGACGGAGTCATCATCCCGGTCAAATGCGACATTACTTCGAAGGAGTCCCTGGAGTCGGCATATCAGACTGTCGCAGCACAGACAACCCACGTTGACATTCTCTTCGCCAATGGCGGTGTCCTGGGTCCGCTCATGCGCTCGCCTCCGCCCAAGGCCGACGGCTCTCAGCCTTCTCTGTCCGAACTCCGCGAGCACCTGTTGAGTTTCCCAATGGAGGAGTTTACGAATGTGCTCAACGTCAACGTAACTGGCGCATACTATACCGCCCTGGCCTTTTTGCCTCTTCTCGAGGCAGCCAACAAGAGACGACCCGCGCCGCAGGCGGGTGTGCTCACTGCGCCCAGCGCGCAGATTGTGATTACCACCTCCATTGCGGGCTTCATCCGAAAAGTGCCATTCAGCTATGCATACAATGCTTCGAAGGCTGCCGCCACCCATCTCGTCAAGCTCCTTTCTACTAATCTGGCCTCGTATAATATTCGCGTCAATGGTATTGCCCCGGGTCTATATGACTCGGAGATGGCAAATAGTGTCTTCACGGCGCAGGGTGCCCAGGGAGGTGGTATCTCTGAGGGTTCTTTCCCGAGTGATATGATTCCTCTTACTCGCGGTGGTAGTCAGGAGGACCTCGCTGGTTTGGTCCTTTGGCTGGCAAGCAACTCGGGCGGTTACGTGAATGGTACTATAATGATTACTGATGGTGGTCGGGTCAGTGCAATTCCGGCTACTTATTAAGAGTCGGGATATATGTGGAATACTGGTTATCATCCTGATCATCCCGTTTCTCGTTTGTGACTTCCTTTCAATTGATAGACTGGGACAGTGAGATAGACAGTTTATCACTTCATAGATACGAATGGTTCAATGTGACTATTGCTCAGATGATCAAACTCGCCGCAATAGCTAGGGTATCGGGCACAAGGGATAGTAACGAAGGCAAAAGACAAACCGCACGCAACACTATGTAAAAGCCTCCACCAAAGGTCGCCGATCAGTAGGTCGCCGTCAGTCGCTGAACCAGGTAATCACCTGCCGTAATACCGGCATATTTCTTGATCACGTTGATCTCGTCACCATACGTGCCCGGTAGCGCCTCGATCACCTTGTTGTTATTGGGATTGCAGAAATAAGCAATACTGTATCTAGAAGGATACGAATCCGACGTATCATCCACATCCTGGCCCTCCGGTTTGGGCGGCTCGATGACCCGATGGCGAGTACTCTTGATAGTATCATTTGACCACCGAGCTAGGAGATCACCAGCGTTCACGACGATAGTATCAGGGATGGGAGTCGCATCAACAAATGTCCCCTTGGGACTTCGCACCTGCAGACCACCATGTTGGTCTTGGAAAAGCAGCGTGATAGACCCATAGTCACTGTGTTCGCCTGCACGGACTTGATGCGGGTTCTGCTTGAAGACATCCTTCCGAACAGGAGGGTAGTGCAATAGACGCAGATTATTGTCCCCTTCATTCACAAAGTCGTCGAAAAAGTGCTCCGGCAGATTCATGCCCAACGCAATAGCACTCATGACTTGCCTGTGTAGATCCTTGCACATACCAAAGAAGGAAAGCATCGTCGCTTTGAAATCCTTGCCTTCCTCATCAAGATGATCCGGCCATTGATTTGGCAGACCGTCGACTCCCTCGCGACCTATCTCCATAGTTTCTTTGATATCAGGCGCAGATCCTCGCAATGTATCCATTTTCCCCGTCTCTTCGAGGGTAGCTAGCTTCTCGCGCCCGATCGCCACATAACCACGGTTCGATTGCGGGGTAGTCCAGCCCAGACCATCTTTCTGGCTTTGTGGTCTACGGAAGAATCCTGCAGATGAGGCGAAGACTCGTGATACCACGGAGGGTGGAATGCCATGATTCTTGAGGTATACGAAGCCGGAAGTCTTGAAGGCATTGGTGATAGATAAGGCGACAGCGTGCTTGTCGGACGGGGTGCCAGTGAAGAAGGGCCCGAAGTTGATAAGCTGGGAACTGGAGTTTAGACTTATTTCACCAGGATATAGGAGCTTGGACACATGTGACAGCGGGGTCTCTGGTGGGAAAGAGAGGACTGACAGGTATCACCAGATCGTCCTTGGCTACGGCAGTAGAGGCTGGGTTGATCTCTTTCAGGTTGCCCGCCATCCTCTCGCTAGATTCGGGGTTTGAATTTGAATTTGGCCGAGTCAGTAAATGCTAATGGTCGCCAAGGGCGATTCTTGAAGATAGAAAGAGAAGGGAAGTCGGGGAAGAAGAGGGGAAATGCAGATGTATGATGATGCACCCCTGCTCTCCAAGCATGAGACGAATGATAAGACCAAGAGATAAGCTCGAGCAACCCAGTGCTCAGACCCCGGCGCCTTGACGATAATTGATAGGTTAATTTAACCCGTTTGGTCCACGAGGCACGTTCCAGCTTCGGTTTGCGATAGGCTAAAAAAAAAAAGGATAGATTGGGCTAATTAGACAAATGACTCCCAACCATATGGCGCCTGGCCACATCACCCCATAGTACCTCAATCACGGTATAACATACACATTCCGGCCGAGCAGATTTCAAGATCGCTTTTGACATATACTAATACCCGACGAAAACACACCAGCTAAGAAAATGCGATCGGACTGAACATCGTGTACAGCCGTCGTGGTTGTTGACATGAGCTTTGCAGCTTCATCTTCGATCATCGGCAGCAGCACATACTGCTCCTCGTCCGATTTTTGTGATCGGCCGTTCTTTTTCTGGACCATCAGGACTGTTCCCGCAGTCACGGAGGCTTGAGGATTTGTCGATGCTTCTTGCAATTCGACAGGGTCTGTGAATGCAGTAATGAGAATGTTTCCTCGAGCATCCACGGAGAGGTGATCGAGTGCCGAGCCCAGCGAGAGAGCATCGATTTGGGTCAGCTCATTTCCAGTCATTTTGTAGACTGCTAACGTCCCGGTCGAAGACATTGAGATATAAGCTAAGCCGTCGTGGCCCATGGCAATGCTATTTGCAAGATCAAACCCCTGGCTGGCGACAGTCCGGCATAAACCCGTATCTGTTCGACAGTATGAGATGCTCGAGCTGCCAAATTGAAACGGACCTCCACGGAAAGGTCCCAGCTTAGTGCGACCGCCGTTGATCACCAAGAATCCCTTTCCATCTGGATCGACAGCTAAATTGTTGGGAGAATCCAGCGCTTCGCTGAGAATACTTTTGACATGCACCAGTTTGCCGGATTTCGGATTGAGATCGAAAATCTCGATACTCGATTCGGTCTGAACATCGAGGGCTTTGCCTGTAATTGAATCCAGGACTGGCGTATGGTTCGTCAGCCAGAAACGAATTCTGTTGCCGATACGGCGCGCATCAAAGCCATGTAAATTCAAGTTTTGATGGAAGTTGTTTGGGATGTCCAATCGCTGAATTCTGTACTCGTCCCGGCCGGCGGGATCCAATTCCAAGACCGCAATATGATCTCGACGAGATCTCGCCCATGTGGTAGCAGCGTCACCTCCAGGATTCCAGTCCTTTGGAGATGTAGCATTGGTACATGCACCGTAGAGTTTTCTGTCTCGATGATCTAACCAGATATGTTCACAGCCTTCCATGAAGGGGTGGTGAATTTGCGAACATCTCCACCACCAAATTGAACTCTCCTTAGGCCGAGCCGATCGATCAAAACTCAGAAACAAAGGAAGCCGATCGTTGAAGAAGACTCTGAGGACGATCGCTATGAGAAGCACTATTGTACCCCATGGTAGTAGGTAAAGATATCGCCGTCTTGGCTGGTCCACGCCGGTCGCCATCGAGGTTGTAAGCACCACGGAAAGACATTTTGGAGGCACGAGCCCGTATATTTCAGGGCCCTGTGCCTAGAGTCTGGGGCAGTCTTCGACCCTGCCTGCCGATCCTGACCCTGGAAGGGCCATGGCACCGCCTGGGAATTGCTGCCTGCTGTTGGCTGGTTCTGCGTGGGTCAGGAGGGTCTAGGCGGCAAAAATAATCATGGCTGACATGCTGACTTGGAATTGGTTGAACGTTGCACACTGGTGCTTACCGGATTTGTAAACTAATCGGGTGTTTTGCCCCTGAAATAATGAGAATGAGGGGCAAATACACTGAATATTGGCCTGTAGCTGTACGTGAATATACTTTCTGGAGTCTGTTCAGAAAAGCCGAAGAACAATGCAAAGTATACGGTATAAGAATGACACTGGAATTGTCATCGATCAACATATAATTGTACACTGCGGGAAACACTGTCCGAGACTACACCGAGGTTCCCTGACTGTCAGTTGGTCCAAGGCCCCACTTGTATGGGGGCCCAATCTGAAGGTGTTCAACGGACCTCTCGGACAGTTAAAGATCCACCTCGCAACAATTAATAAGCCGATGATGCTCCCAGTTCCAACAAATAAGGCCGCCCCTCATCTCTACTTAAGAAACCCCCTTCTGCACTCTTACAGTACCATCCTTGTTTCTATTCTATACGAAACTCGCCCTTTGTCAATCCGTCACAATGACTTTCACCGCTGTCGTCATTTACCCCAATCAGCCGGACGCCACGTTCGACACCGACTACTACCTCCAGACCCATATGCCTCTGGTGGCCAAGCACTGGGGTCCCCATGGTCTGAAGAGCTGGAACGTCGTCAAGTACGAGCGCGATCTTGCCGGTGCTTCTCCCAAGTACCTGATTGCCGCCACCCTGGTGTGGGAGAGCGAGGAGGCCGTCAAGGCAGCTACCTCTTCCGAGTCAGCGCCTATTATCTTCGGCGATATCCCCAATTTCACCAACACGCAGCCCATTACCCTCGCCGGTAGCACTATTGGAGGCCAGGAGATCTCTTGATTTGATTTGAGTTTCTTGAAGATCGTGAGTATCTTTGGATTCATTCCTGCCGGCCCGTGTGCTGAGGCTATGGACAGGTCTGGTCAACTGGAAATGATTTTCACGGAGAACCCTTCAACGGAGAATGAGGGGGCATTCAAGCACTTGACGATTTAATATATGACGTTATGTTATGGACTAAGTGACCAGCTCAATACAATTATGTAAATGAGCCAATCATTGGTTGAACTTGTGCAATTGTTCTATCCTGTAGTTGATTAACTCCAATTCAGCAATCGTATTCATTTTGACGCTACTTTGGAGCGGAGGCTCAGTATCCAAATCCCTGCGTCTGGCCAATGCATTCTCGAATGCCACCGGATTCTACAGAAGAGAAGGGCCCCAAATTGACGGACAAGACGGGTATTATCGATCGCTTTATCGAAGTAAAGATAAGCTTAGATTGCTTAAGGTAACATCGAGGCGATAGGGACTTTGGAGATCCCCGCATCTGCACCTCTTATCTGTCCAAAGGGGAAACGCCAAAGACTGCAGCTTCGTTTCCTGTACCCCTCACTTTTCCTTCCTTCTCTGTTATTCCTCTTCATCTTCTTCGTCGGCCTCTTCAAAGCTTGCAAACATCGTCAAAATGTCCAACCCATTGATCGTCGACATCCACACCCATGTCTACCCACCCGCATACATCGATATGCTCCGCGCCCGTCACAAGGTGCCATACATTCACGACCCATCCGACGGCGGACCGCCCCGTCTAATCATCCTCTCCTCGGACGATGACTCCAATATCCCCCTTGACCAGCGCGGCCGACCAGTCGACTCCTCCTATTCCGACATAAATGTCAAACTGGACTTCATGGACAAGCACGGCATTGACTGCAGCGTCATCTCCCTCGCCAATCCATGGCTAGATTTCATCGGCGAAGAACAAGCTTCCGAGTGGGCTCAAAAGATCAATAATGACCTAGAATCTACCTGTGCGCAGGTCAACAGCGCAACGGCCACCTCAGACAAGCTCCCTCGTCTCTTTGCGTTTGGTACTTTACCTCTAGGTGCACCGCAGCAGGCCGCCGTAGCGGACGAAGTGCATCGAATCAGCGCCCTCCCCCATATCCGCGGCGTCATCATGGGTACCACCGGTCGAGGCAATGGCCTAGATGACCCTCAGTTAGCAGCAGTATGGGGAGCACTACAAGATACCCAGCTGATGCTATTCTTACATCCGCACTATGGCTTACCGGACGAGGCATTCGGGGGACCCGAGATCGTTCGTCGCTATGGACATGTCCTCCCACTGGCACTCGGGTTCCCGCTGGAGACTACCATTGCGATTACGCGTATGTATCTGAGTGGGGTATTTGATCGCTTCCCCAAGCTTCGAATCTTGTTGGCTCATTCGGGTGGTACGCTTCCGTTTTTGGCGGGGAGGATTGAGAGTTGTATTGCGCATGAGAGGACTTTTAAGGTTAATGGGGGGAGCGTTCAGGGCCCGCAGCGGGGTATTTGGGATGTTTTGAAGACGAATATTCATCTGGATGCTGTGGCCTATGGGACTGCTGGGTTGAAGGCAGCCGTAGAGGCTGGAGGGGGTACTACGGATCGCCTGTTGTTTGGTAAGATTCTGAGCCATTGTCGTACTTAATGACCTTATTTGATGCTGACGGCTTTTTGAAGGTACCGATCATCCATTCTTTCCACCTCTCGATGAGGAAGATGAAAAGTGGACTAGTGTGACTACCAACTACAAGGCTATTAGTGCGGCATTTGGGGGGGACGAAGCAGTGGCAGCGGTGTTGGGAGGTAACGCAGTTCGCATTCTCAACTTGAAGTAATAGAACATTATTCATTAATCATTATTCGTTAATCTGGATAACTCTTGCTCATTAATGAAACATGATATCATATCTCAATAGGAACGAAATTATGAGCGCAATCAGTTCTGAGGAAAGCACGTATAACTCGGCATTCGCTGTAACACGGTGAGAGACGACTGAATGAACTCACTTGAGCCCTCACGGGTGAGAGACTCTGGTGGGATCTAGTATCTCCCAGCCAATCAGGCGCCATAGCTCTCCTGCAAACCATTCAGTAAAATCCAGTCGTAGGTTTGGAGGTGCCCAACAATCAGCTGGAGGCGGAGTTTCAGGTCGCTCCAAGCCCCCTTGGAAGAGAGGATCCTCTTTTCCGAAAACTGCCTGAAGTAAAGTCTTCTTCATTGCCACCTGGACCTTGAGATTGAAATGAGGTTGGCCGCTGGAAGCAGGACCGGCTAAAGGGAACAAAGTTTCATCTTTCAAAACTCTGTCGAGGAAGGAAATGAGCTTTTCTGCCTCCAACTGAGCGGTCTCTCGTGACATATCTGCCTCCCTCATCGCTGTAAGGCCTTCTGGGGGTCGCAGACCTGCGTTTAGATTTGTTGGTAGCTGTATGTCGTTGAAGGTGAAGAGGGCGAGCATCTTTCCCAGCCGGTCGAGTACGGTGTGGAGGAAACCTTCCATAACCTGCTGGTCGCAAGATTGACCCAAGTCTAATGAAAGAGCCATCTTGCAGAGTAAGTCAACAAGCACCTGAGCTGTGTCCTGCTTGGCGCTGGTCTTGCCTCTAGCCCAGAGCCCTGCTTTCTTCTTCAGTTGCGGCTTGGCCCTGGTGGTGCCCGTGGGCCCGTTGCCTGCGGTACTCTCTTTGGATGCCGCAGTGCAATATTGGGCAAGTCCAGTCATGGTAGACTCGAAGATACACACCAAGTAGTAGACAACCTTGGGTTGAGACTGGCCATCGTCTGCTGCTTCGGGAATCTTGTGAAGGGCCTGGTGGACAAGTTTGAAAGTCAATTCAACGGCGTTCACGACGGCTACAAAATTGGGCCCCTTGTTCTTGTCCTTCAAGCTCCGGAAAGGCTTCGGTGGAGCTGGCGGAGTGACCTCCGCATGGATCGCGGTCAAAAGACCCTGCTCTGCCTCTTTGCACGCAATGACCGCGTCGACAGCAAGAGTCTTGGTCTTACGACGCTTTGCCTGCAGTGTCCTTTGGAGGGTAAAGATACGTCTCAAGAAGGAGATGCCTAGATTGTGTCAGTCATTCTATACTCAGAAAGACCAATCAATGTCACCTCATACCTTGCTGGGTTTCCTGCTCATGGTTGGCATCTTGATCTTGACTCGCGATGTCTAGCTGCGACTGGGTCCGAAGATTGCGAGTCTTCTGTCGCTTCCTGCCAATTTCAGGCTCATTCTCAGCATCACTGAAAGCTTTACGCTTTGCAGGTGGAGTTGCCGCGTTGATTTTGGAAACGAGAGCCTCATTCTGCTGCTTCAACTCGAAGATTGTGTTGTGCAGCTTGATTTGCTCTCCCTCGGCCTTCCTATATGCCCTCTGCCAGTGTTCTACACTGTCAAAGAAGAGGTTGGTGAGAATCGGCTTGCTGGCCTCCGATTTTCTGATAGACTTTCGGAGGTCAAGGATGTAATCTGGTGTGACAAGTGAGATGACGCTGTTTTAAAAAAATTCTAGATGAGGCTTACATACCCTTGACCGAGGTGCCAGCTGGCTTGTTCTTCACAATCGCCAGCGCAAGAGCCACAATGGCTCTTGGTGGCTTGGTGACCGGAGCAAATGGAGGGGGGTTGGTCCTCATTTCGGTTGGAAACGGTGGGGATTTGACGGGAAAGGTGGAGAAAGGCAGTAAGAAGAGATGAAGAGAGACGACAAGAGATGAGAAAACCGCAGAGGACAACTGAGCACGTGGGAGTGCCCCCGTTTGAAAGGGAGCAAACGTAGTGTGAGCTACGAAGATATCATCTCCTCTAATTGCCGTAGATATCTAAATGCTGTGGTACTAAATAGGCATCTTATCTTCTCTTCCTGAAAGGTACTGGTCGAAAGCCCGTGCAATAATTTATCCGATGTATATATCTACTCATGAGTCGCTATCCACACAAAAAAGCCCGACTTCAGTTATGCATAGCTGAAGCTAGCCCTCTCCACTTTGAGGCTTCTATGGTGTATTCACGGTAAATCTTCTTCATTCGAATAATTCACAATTTGTACTGTGATTTATGTCGCCTGACTCAGAGCTCATTTTGACATATTATAGTCAACCGATGCATTGCTGGCAAGAAAACATGTGTGGCCTAAGGTTCGTTACCGGGGGGTTCAAGACGGAATTTGGATGACCACTTCCCAATCTCCATAGCCATTTACTTAACGTCTCACGAAATCTTGCTCTTCAAAGAAAGGTTTCAGGTAAAGAAAGGTATCACGGACATTATATCATAGAAGATGGGCACAGGATGCCCTATCATATTCGACATATTCACCTTTGGCGAATCCACCAGCGGCACAGCCGTGGAATCATTGTACGTATCCTGTAAAGATATGTCGAGGAATTCTCGATTCGACGACGTCTTCATAGTATATCCAAAAGACAGATATTTAGACGAATGCCGACACCCTACAGATTCTCAAGGCATACTTGTTCCTGGCCTTTCTCATAGCATCTATTAGATTGTACTGGACGGTAATAGAGCCGTCAAGCCTAATTTCATCGTCAGAAGTGATTTCGAATTTTGAAAGAGTAAGATTTGTAACACCGGTCTCTCTAGCTGGGTTATAAGCTAATCGGGTAATACTCGGCTGAAGTGATAGGCTCTGGCAGCAGTTGTATTAGACTTTGCTCCATATGATGATGGTTTATGGCAGATGCCAGCGGTCCAGGATAAACTTTGAAATCCACAAAGTAAACCTATCTATAAATCTCACTCAAAGTCCCCTGAGCGGTCTGATAATCAGCTGGCCCCCATGATTGCCACCTAATTTATAAGAAAAAAAAAAGGAAGCGTAAATCAACCAAAGACAGAAAAATAGGCGGATGGGATGCGCCTTTATACATGTTGAGCGATCAAACAACTCATCACTCGCTGGGAGGGACACTGGAACTATAATTTACTACATGCCAAGACAAGACTTATCTTCACGAATTCACGACAGGCCACCGCCGAATTTCAAACACCGGAGACACTCTCATTCAAAGTGGTTAGGAATTCCACAGTTCTAGATTTATCTAAGGGCACATTCCCCTAAATTAAATCCATTGTTGAATGCATAGAGACATGTCAATACTCGAGAAGCGGCGATAGAAGCGGTGAACTAACTTGGGGCAAAAAAAGGACATGATACAGTGGCGCCGCTGCAAACTGCCGCTATAACTCATTTCCTTCCTTACACACATCCCATTCAGTCGCCAAAGATGCCAGCGGACGACGACCTCAAGGCGCATGCCGCCTCCAATCAAGATTTCTATGCGCTGCTAGATCTCTCCCCCGCAGCCAACGAGTCTGAGATCCGGCGCGCCTACCGCCGCACCGCGTTGAAATACCACCCCGACAAGATCTCCAACCCCACCGCCGCCGACATCGACAAGTTCCACCTGCTTCAGATCGCCAACGATGTGCTCTCCGATCCCGCGATCCGTCAGCTCTATGACAATGCGCGCGAGGCGCGTTTGCGCAAGCAGCGCGAGCGGGACCAGATGGGCGCCGCGAAGCGGAAGATGCGCGAGGACCTTGAAGCGCGGGAACGTGCTGGTGCTGCGGCTCAGCAAGGGGTCAAACGGCCATGGATGCCTGGTGGTGAAGAGGATGCTGAGGCGAAGCTGCAGCGGGAGATTGAGCGGATTGCCGAGGACGGGCGCCGTCGCCGCCGCGAGGCGACGGATAAGTTGAAGCGGGAGTTAGAGGAGGAACAGAGGAAGATGCAGGAGGAAGAGCAGGAGGCACGCAAAGCGGCGGACCGAAGCAGCCAGCGTGTGGACCGATCTCGGGACGGTGGCACGAATGTCTCGGAACTCGAGCGTTCGGTGAAGGTGCGCTGGGCGCGAGAGGGCCGTGGAGCGGACTGGGATGCAGAGTGGTTGAAGTCCCTGTGCGCACCATTTGGAGAGATCGAGGGAATGTTCATGTTGAAGGATAAACGCGCCCGCGTGGAGGGCAAGAAAGGAAAGGTCACTTATGGCACTGGCGTCGTGGTTTTCAAGTCGATTGTCAGTACACAGGCCGCCGTATTGGACAGCGAGAAGAAGATCCGGCAAGGAGAGGGTGACTGGGCTCTGGTTGATTCGGTTACATATGCGTCAGGCCAGGCACCGGATCTTGGATTCAGTACGAATGGTCATGTTGAGGATCCAACGCCCTCGGTGGGCTCGGAGGAGTCCCCATCCAAGCTCCCTGCTGACACGACTGATACATCTGCCAAGCCACCTTCCAAGCCTTCATTTAACTTTCCAGGAATGAAGCCCGGATCGCAGCCATCTGGAAAGGCGCCTTCGTTCAGCTCATTCCCCTCCGCTGCCGGAAACGCTCCGAAGGCATCGTCTTTCAATCCTTCGGCAAAACCATCTACTCCCAGCCTTCAAGAGATTACTATGATGCGGCTCAAGAACGCCCAGCGTGAAAAGGAGCGCAAAGCTCTTGAAGAAGAGATTGCCCGAGAAGACGAGGCCGCTGATGCTGCAGAAGCTGTAGCAAAGGCCAATTCAGCATAAGGAACTTTAACATTTGCATGGCGAAATTCTTTTCTTTTTTTGGTGTTCCAATTAGGGACCGTGTTGGTTGGCTCAAAAGATACCCCGGTCTACCAAGGCCTCATTGTGCATGAATAGAGATATATGGACTATTTACAAGAGTTTTATTTTATCGTACATAGATGCATTGTTACATCTGACGCAGCTGTCCACCTATTAGGTTTGTCGCTGCGCTTCCTCTTCTTCTTCTTCGAGCTGTTCAACGAGGAATCGTGCCCGCTCACCTTCCAGATCAACCTTTCTTGGAGCTGGTTTGCGTGCGCCACCAGCGATGATAAACTCCCTGGTCCAAGGTGGGATGAAAGCCTGCACCTTGACCTCGGCTGGCTGCTCCGTCTCCAAGGTCCATGAAACTTTGAACTCGCTTCCCGGAGTGTATTGTGTTCCTTCGCTGGTCAGCGCGATATCGGTCATCATTTCTAGACGACACAGCGCGAGACCGATGTTGCCTACGCCATCCAAGAATTTTCCAGCGCTGCGCCCCCGGCGACCGCCAGCCTTGTTGATGTTCGATCCGTGAGGTGGCAGAGCAAGCTCAACCGAGGGATCGTACACAGGGCCATCAGCTGAAGATAGGCCTCCGGTGTAAAGTTGAACAGGTAGAATGCGCTTCCGCACCACGCCGGTGTGATGCGTGCGGATGGTCAACTCCTGACCAACATAGCAACCCTTGCGGAAGTCAATAGCCTGTCCCATATCCATATTACATTCCAGCGGTAGGGCTGACTCGCGAATAATCTCTTTCTGGCCCTCTGCGACACCATGCAGTATCCGGCGCACCGTGTATGATCCCAACCCGACCTCGGACCCAGCAACCTGCGACTCATCGGGTAAATGGCTGTGCAGGTCATCGGAACCTGGAGTGACGAGACGGGACCCAAATCCCGGAGCCCGAGCATCTATGCACCCAACGACATTCGAAGAAGGAGAGAATGGTGACGCCGTCTCGGACTCGAGGTTATAAGCAGCCCATCGAGGCTCTAGGCGATTCTTCCATGACGACCAAACAGTCCGCTCACCGTCCTCAAGGGCTCGTAGCTTCAATTTCGCGCGCAACTTGTGTTTCTTGAGGTGCTTCATCAAAGTCGGAACTTCATTCTTGTCCACTTCGACCAGCCACTCGCGCTCGTTACCACTGCCATCGGAGCTCGGGAGAGGGTAGATGAAAGTATCGTTCAAGACGCGGCCCTGGGAGTTGAGAAAGGCAGCATATGTACCTGTGTGACGGATGTTTTTGTTCGGATCATTGGCAACCAGCATGTTCTGGGTGATCAGGCCTTGGAGAAACGTTGAGCTATCGACTCCGGTAATGGATATGAGGCCGCGGTTGGTGAGCCGAGTGTAGCCGACATCTGGTGGGGGAGGGACATTCTGGAATTGTTCGGCCTGGTGATGTGTCGTTGAAAAGAGTCTCTTGTGTGTCAGGCAGCGGCCACAGGTCGAGGGACGAGGCCGCATCATTGTCGAGATCAATATTATGAGAGTGACTAATGTGAAGCGGCTCTCAGCATTTTGCCGACGGAGCGCGGAGCGGGCAATGACGTTGGGCGGCAGAGAGTGGCAGATTCTGAAATGGTCGGGTGAATCGAAGCAAATAATTACATAAAACACTTCCAACAGGAGGTTCTCTGGCTTGTATAGACAGAGAAGGGTCTTATGCCATTAAGGACAGTTTGGCCGAGTGGTCTAAGGCGCTTGACTAGAAATCAAGTCTCTTCGGAGGCGGCGGTTCAAATCCGCCAGCTGTCGGTTTTTTGGGGCACTCAGCTCATCGGGACCCAACCTCCTAGATTATATAATATTTTTTTAATGCAGAAATTTTTCCAGAGATTTTTATTTACCCCTTTTCAAGGTTATTACAAGTAAAGATGTCAGCGCCTTGGTTCTCACCGATATTATTTGAGGATATAAGTTCTTAGGTCACTATTTCTACGCAATCTACTACTAGTGCTGCATCAGAGATTAATCAGATTCTCTATAATAATAGTAATATAATATATATAGAGTCACTAGAGAGTTGTATAGAGTTGTATAGAAAAGGAGTGTATTTTAGTAAGGCTAGGATTCAACCTTAGTTGAACCCAGTATAAATTTCATAAAATTAAGCATAAAAGCTCATCGGGACCCAAGATTAGTCAGAAAGCTTTTGGGTCCCGATGAACTTTTTTTGGGTCCCGCTGAGCTGGAACCCGGTTTTTTTGCCCACTATCCCTGCTTGGCATTCAAGAAGGAGACCCTAAAAGAGTTTGACTTATTCTGAGTCCCACTGAGGTGCCGGATCTCACTAGGACCCAAACCCCTAGATTACATGATATTATTAATGAAAAGTTTTTTCCAGAGACATTTGTTTACCCCTTTGTAAGAGTTGTATATGATTATGGGGGATTCAAATATAAAGGTCTGATTCTTTTCTTTTTACCCTTTATAAAATACAAAGAAATGAACATAAAAGCTCATCGGGACCTAAAGTATTTTGGGTCCGGTGAGATCCGGCAGTTCAGCCACTAGCTAGAACCCGCACAAGATATTCTTTGCTATAAAACATAATTTTGGTATTACCTAATCATATGACAGTTTGGCCGAGTGGTCTAAGGCGCTTGACTAGAAATCAAGTCTCTTCGGAGGCGGCGGTTCAAATCCGCCAGCTGTCGGTTTTTGCCATACAGGGCAATTTCCTTTTCAAAGCGGCCCGAGGTTATCCCGTTAATAATACCATTTTTTCGGGACACTATCAAATCACATGACAGTTTGGCCGAGTGGTCTAAGGCGCTTGACTAGAAATCAAGTCTCTTCGGAGGCGGCGGTTCAAATCCGCCAGCTGTCGTTTTTTTGGATCGATGGGTGTTGTCCCTATTGTGCTGAACTTTTTGTCACTGGATATGGTGCTATCATTTACCGCCAATTTATGTATACATTATCAAAGTGGACATTCAAGTCAGTCTATCTGCAACCTTCCATCATTCTACAGGGTACCAGTAGCTGCTCCTGTTCCATTTTTGTTATATGCATCGAATTAAAATGAGTTGAAGGAGTTCAGTCAGGTTACCAGTACAGTAGAAGCGGGTCGCATACCTGGACCGGCGGGTGAAATATATATCTTGAAGTAGACCATACCTTCCGTAAACCCTCATACTGTTCTGGGTACCTAGCATTTCATATATACAAATCCAAGCAATAGAAAATGGACCGCCGAAGAATTTAATTCATCGAATTATTCTTCATTGACTACCTTAAGTTTGTCCAGGCAATGTGACCAACACATGATATTTATCTGTTCAATTGCCGCCCTTGGCGACTCCCTGCAGGTAACTAAGCAAGAAAGCCTTGTTGCTCGGAGAGGAGACCCGGTCAATGGAAGACGGAACATGTTCGCCATCGGACGGTGTCCCATGGCGGGAACCAGATTCGCCGCTGCTAGCAAATTGAAGCGATGAGAGGGGGCTGACCAGACCGGGGACATTGGGAGGCTGCTGGCTGATAGCCAGGGAATCAAGCTGGACAGCCGAGGTCAAAGAAGAGGACACCTGGGGTTTGCCAAAAAGTGACAGAAGCGCTTCCTTTTGCGCATGAGTCTGACTGGGCCGGCGATCGAAGTTTGCTTGCGGTGCCCGATCTTCGGGATTGGTCTGTAACCCAAGAGGACTTGGTTTGCGATCCGCAGTATCGGGCTTGGAAGTACCCGTAAACATGTTCTCGGAGCCTGCCTTTTCGGACCGACGCAAAATTTGCGGCTGGAAGGGTTTCACCGGCTCAGGAGCCGCAGGCTGAGGAATCTGAGGCTGTGGTGGAGCCTGCACAGTTGGAACATGGGGCCCAGAGGTATATGCATCCCGCTTCGCGCCCTGGGGTCGAGGTAGAATAGTAATCGGCGAGGAAAGAGGCTGGACTTGTGGTTGCTCCCGACGATGGGAGTTACTTCTGCGGTTCGCTGCATTTGCCGTCCGCTTAGCCACCAACTTTGAACTTTGCTCAAATTGAGGTATGTCTGAGGGACCAGGTACAGTGGCCGAAGGATGGGCCATACTAATGTGGGGGTTTGATCCAGCTGCCCCACGTTGCTGATTAGGTCCTACCTGGGAGGGTGGTCGTTGAAGAATCTGCTTTTCTGCAGGCGGTGCTACGCGGACAGGCTGACCCAAAAGTTCTGCAGGCTGAGACACAGGCGAACCCCTTGGACCTTTGAACAAGTTCAAGAGACTATCCTGTTGGAGAGAAGTCTTGCGCTGTTGACCAGGACCCGGCCCGGGAACGGGCAGGGTGACAGGCGAGGAGATAGAGGCTGTGGCAGCATGAGGGGTCTTGGGGGTCTTGCCCCCATCTTTGAAGAAGCCAAGCAGCGCGAGCGAGTGGCTAGTAAGCGTTGGTGGAGGCAGCTTGCTAGCTGGTGGTATAATGGCACCAGAAACCTGAGATGGCTGAGTCGGCTGAGAGAATTGAGGATCGCCAGTCCGTTGGAACGGAGCAACAACGTTCCTTGGAGGCGCAATGATGGAAGGCGGAGATTGAGGCTGAAGACCTTGATAGCTCTGCTGTGGCATCTGTGGGAATTGGGGCATCGCAGGGGTTCCCGAAAGTTCGGAATGTCCAGAGATAGGGAATTGCCGGTGCTGGAAGGCATGCATAGGGCCCTGGGAAGTTCCCAGTTGCTGCCCGGGTAGATGTTGCACGGTGGTTTGTTGCATGAAATTTGATGGCGCAATATTCTGCGGTTGTCGAGGAAATCCGGGGAAGAAGTTGGGCGCCAGGTGGGATTGCTCCATAGTAGCGGGTACGCCAGAGGGAACTGACGGTTGAGAAGCCACCGTTTCTTTCTGTACTTGAGAAACGGTTCGTTGAGGGCCCGCCCTGAGAAGCTCCAGGAGCGCGTTCGACTTCACCTGGTCCACAGCAGGTGTTTGGGCAGCGGAAGAAGCTTGAGCTTGGACTGGTTCCGAGGCACCTCCACCAATCTTGAGCAACTGTTTGATATGAGAGGAAGCATCCGGCGCCAAAACCACTGTGTCGACCTCTGGAAGGTCACTAACTCCGCCTCCGTAAGAAACGAAATCAGGCCGGTTACCATTTTCATCTACAGACGCGTAGCCTTCGGCTTGCAAAGATGGCTTTGAGCCTGTCTGATCCTTGACGGCCAATCTCTTTTGCTGAGCAATCCACTTCTTCAGCGGATGCAAGAATGGTGCAACCATGTAGAACTTGTTGGCATTGGCCACTGCCATTCCTTCGTCGTGCTGCTTGTTCTTCTTAAGAGTCGGCAGCTCCGACAACTTGTACCATTCAATCTTGCTGATTTCCTTGCGGGTACGGGGCTCGAAATGCGTATCAAGGGGAACACCGGGGAACACAAAGAGGCGCATATGCTGCTCTCGCATGGTTACCTCGATAGACTTCACGGAATCTTCATCTTTTACCAGATTGGCTGCACGGACATCAAATCCAGTTTCCTCGTAGACTTCACGAATCGCACAGTCCAAATCAGGCTCACCCTTGTTGATCTTGCCTCGGGGGAAACTCCAGTTCGCGCCCTTCTTCCAACCCTTGACCAAGACCACTGAGTCCATTTCCTCATTCAGCAAGATTGCGCCGCGAACCGGGACTCTAGTCTTGTAAGCTAGGAACTCGGAGAAGGCGGCCATGTGGTGATAGTGAGACCATTGCGACATGAGCGGGCAGTGTTGGAAGATGCGCAAGCTAAAGGCCTTCAGGGAAAGTGAGGGTAGCGCGGGATCGAGGGGCCGAATGAAGTCTTCGTAGAACCATTGTGCCTCTTCGACTTGGAAACAAATTCGTTCGACTAATTCAAGCTCTTCATGTGGCAGATTAATGATGAACCGGACGCATAAATCATCCAGCCCTATTAAGAGTATCGGTTTCAGGTTAGAGATGAATATCAACCAAGGAGATGTCATATCAACACCCACAGTCTTCTAGCTGCATCTTTGATTCGGTCATGTTGGGCGACGAAGCTTCGCATTTCAACGTAGACGACCAAAACCAGATGCTTGCTCAGGCCGCGGGAGGCGACACGGCTCAACAGGAGAGGATAAGCTTGCAGGAAGGGTGCAGCAGCCCAGATAAGTAGGTAGTGAGGTAAGGAAAGAGAGTCTCGGAGTCGTATGATAATGCGACGACGGAGGGAAAGGGAGACGAAGCGCCAATTGGGGGAGAAGGCGGCGGGAAGCTCAGGCGCAAGGCAAGCGGAACCCACCAAATCTCCAGGTGACGATCGGCTGACTAAGGCATAACTGTGGCGTTGGGCATAAATGTGGCAGTGCAGCTATCACATGCGCCACAGGGATCGGCGGAGTGCCAGGCTTTCTGGCGCGCTACCATTGTAATTGGAAATGACGTTGTGCAATTTAATAGCGCGCCCTCACCCACTTGACTTTGTGTTTCGTCTTCCCGGGCGCTTCAGGACTTACTTTGCTGGCTCCATTGAAAGATACGGTCATCTCCTGCTTCGAAATCTTTAATGCTCTTGCAGAAACTTGGAAACCCAACGTTCTATTTTTATCACTCTGGGAAGCCACATAATAAGTCACTCAGCTCCCCCTTCGCACCCTCGAGCTACACGCTGTCCTTCCAAGAGCTAGTTGATAAACACTACGTGCATAATGTCTGGTATTCTATGGTCTCTGGTCGGCAAGAGGGTTCTCGCTGAGTCTGCGAGAAATCATTTTGGCACTGAGGTACGTTCGTTGACTAATAGGCCATCACACACCAAAACAACCGAGCTAACCCCATGCCTGGTTTCCTAGGACCCTTACTTTGAAGAAGTCCCTGCATCCCGTCTCGGAAAAGCCTTTGGCAAGAAGACTCAAAAGCGTCGCAAGGCTATACCGCCCGGTTTATCAGAGAAAGATGCCAAAGTTCTCACCCAGGTCAAGCGCAGAGCATACCGACTCGACTATGCTCTGTTCAGCCTGTGCGGAGTCCGCTTTGGCTGGGGTAGCGTGATTGGTCTCGTTCCCTTGTGAGTCTTGAATCTGAAGTTGCTCTTTTATCACTGATCTGAACTAACGGAATGCCCTTTGCACAGCATTGGAGACGCCGCAGACGCCGCCCTTGCCTTGATGGTCGTGAGAACATGCGAAGGAATCGACGGGGGGCTTCCACCGCGTTTGCGAATGATGATGCTAATCAACGTGATTGTCGACTTCTTCATTGGCCTGGTTCCCTTCATCGGCGATGTCGCGGATGCCGTGTACAAATGCAACACTAGAAATGCCGTCATTCTTGAGAAGCACCTCCGCGAGCAGGGTGCCAAGACACTCAAGAAGCAGACTCAACGACATGACCTTCCGGCCATTGAGAATAGACAAGAAGAACGGGTCATTGACCACAGCCTTCCAGAGGAATGGGACAAGCAGGAGAGCGGCGTGGTAGAGAGCTCGCCACCTAGCTATCGCGAGCACGCGATGTCAGGAGTCCGGCCTGCAGATAATGCAGTTAGCGGACCAGCGAGGCCTCCGCGCGCGAAGAAGTCCCGTGATAGCCGTCGCTCCAGCAGGTGGTTTGGAGGCTCGCGCCAGCGTGAGGATGATTTGGAGCGAGGGAGATGATTGATACGCCCCAAAGCACGATTGACGACAGATACCCCTTCGGACTGGGTTGAGGACAGACTCAGGTTATGACTGCAGCAGTTTGGTTTTGGTCGGGTTCTTTTTGATAGCGCATCACCCGTAGTAATTTAATTAGCAAGTGGAGTCTGGACGAGACCTCATGCATCCGTAGCAGAACTTAGAGCTGTAATTGTCGCTGGATTTATTGGCGACCGTAACTCCAGAATTGCCCTTGACGTTGCCAACATGTCCTCCACACAACGGGCATAAAACATCATCGGATCCCGAGGTAGACTCAAGTTTATTGGCAGTTCTCGACACGTTCGCCATAACGCCACGGTACTTCTCACCCTGTGTCCGAACGTAGCGCATCATGAGCTCGTCAATCGACAAATTCTTAGTCAGAACATTGTCTGAAATAGGCTCATCGGGTACAACGATGTCCGAAAGCTCTTCACAAACACTCTTGAACTGCTCAAGCTCAGGCTTGGACAGATCTCGAAGCGGGAAGTCAAAGGCCACACCCCAAGGAGACATGCCATCAGAAACTGACCAAGTCAACGAGGCACCGCGACCCTTGGCAACCCCAGCGAGAGTCTTCGCCGCAAGACGGGTGTCTGAGTCGCCCCAGATCACAGTCTCACAGCCAACACTCTTGGCGTATCCAACAACGAGCCTGGTCAACAAAACTGAGTCCAGGTCGGCCTTGGAGGTGGCGGTGGAGATGGAAGCACGGAATGCCGTGAGACGATCCTCGTTTGACCGGGACTCGTCATCGGTGAAACTTGAACCGGCGTACTCTTGGATGATTTCCTTCATATCGGGTATGTACTCAAAGACACTGTGGAATGGCAGTCTGTTGAATGTAAGCTTCGGGAAAGCCTTGGTGACGGCCTCATAAGCCTGATTGTACTTGGAGTCTGGTGCAAGAATAGTTGATGGATCGACGACGAGTATAGTGAGTTCGAAACCGACATTGACAAAGGTCTTGGCGAGTTGACGTTCAAGATCGCCATTGATAATATGCAGCATAACTGATGATGAGACGCCGAGGGAGAGTGGGAGCAGCAGTTTGGGTATTTGACCGGTTCCCCTTTTCATTTGTTTATATTTGGACATGCGTGTAAAGACTTTGTGGGCAGCGAAACGCTGGAAGCAGTTCCTAGAAAAAAAGCATTTAGTACTCTTCACCGAGCCAGATGAATAACATAGAGGGGTTGATAATGCGTTGCATACCCACAGTACTGCCTCTTCCGGGTATCCAGGACAGCTTCTGCATCCCTGCAGTCCATACAAGGACGGATAAAGTCCTTAGCTGGCATTGCTGCGTTAATCGCTTTATTTTCTTGATTAAGATCGTCGATATCCAAAGAAGTTCTTGAAAAAGTGGTTGGTGGCGGTGCGGCGGGCGGGCGGCTTAGGTAAGATTCCACGCGCGGCTTCCCCGGGCTTTCAGGCCACGCAATTGAGCTCGACGGTTCCGGACGAGCTTCGGTGGATCTGCCCTGGAAGACACCTCTCTTTCGAACTATTATCCGGCGCATATTGGATGCGGCGTGGTTTTGAATAGCTTTTCTCTCCGAACCCTGGAGCCTTGCTTGCTTCTTCACGATCGCGATGAAGGGCTGGCTCCGGACACTCGGCCTAACGGCCCTCCTCGCAGGCTCCGTACTTGCTAACGAAGTCGAAATTGTGAGTGGCGTCGCGTTGTCACTGCGATCAGCCTGACCGTATTTGATCACTGAAGGCCTAACAATCTTGGTTACCTAGAAATCCGACGAGGCACACCGACAACGATGCTCAGGGATGTACAGTCGAAAGGCCTGGGGTGGAAATGTCGACCCCTTTATCTTGGTCAAGTTCTCCAAAGCCGACAACCAGGAGGGGGACCCTCTTGCGAGCTTGGTGATCTTTGAATGGAATGACGAAGAATTGATTGGCCAGTACCGATCTGATGACGCTGAGGTATGTTCCCCCAAGTCTCATGTCCAGGCAGAAATAGGAATTAATGATATACATCTTAGATGAAAGATACTATATGCGACGAGGCGGCCGTTGACGCGAAACTTTGCACCCAAGAAGATGTCGGCTCTTTCATTCTTACCAAAAACGCCACCGATGCCTCTCAAAGCCCGATCATCTCCAAGGCTATTCATCTCAACAACCCGGATGCCATCAAGTACCCGGTACACAAGACCGGCTTCTACTGCGTCAGCACCTACGCGTACTCCGGGGAGGATTACAACGCCGCGGTCACTTTCCGTAACTCGTACGGTGAACTTCCCGCGGCGCAAATTGCTAAGCTTCCCTTCTACGGGGCTCTGACAATCGTTTACGCTGTTGTCGGAATGTACGTGGATATGGACTCGGATATTCCAGGATAGAAAGGCTGACAGATTTTTAGGTTCTGGGCATTCCTTTATGTTCAAAACCGCCATGATATTCGTAAGGCTGAAACCCGTCCATTGGCCGACAAATGTGCTAACTGTACACAGTGCCTGTTCAGAACTACATCACTGCAATCCTTGTGTTCTTGATTGTCGAGCAGCTGATGACCTGGGGCTTCTATGGTATGTTTCATTTATTTGCCATGTTTCTTTTCTGCGACCTGACTTCCTCCCCCTCCTAGACTACCAAAACCGACATGGATTGAATACCATGGCGAAGGCATTGATGATTATCGTTGCCATCCTTAACGCTGGTCGAAATGCCTTCTCGTTCTTCCTCCTTCTTATCGTCTGCATGGGTTACGGTGTCGTCAAGCCTTCTCTGGGTCGGACCATGGTCTATGTCCGTATCTTGGCCATTGCGCACTTCATTTTCGCCATGGTCTACTCGATCGCAAGTCTGTCCATTACTCCCGAAGGTGCAGGCCCGATGGTTCTCCTGATCGTTCTGCCTCTGGCCGGTACCTTGACGGCTTTCTACGTGTGGACATTGAACTCGCTCAACGCCACCATGAAGGATCTCATCGATCGTAAGCAAAAGACCAAGGCGCTGATGTATAAGAAGCTATGGTGGTGCATCCTTGGTAGCATCGTCGTGATTTTCGGATTCTTTTTCATCAACTCCTTTGCTTTTGCTGGCCGCAGTGAGGCCAGTTTTGTTCCCGAGCACTGGAAGACACGCTGGTTCGTGCTGGATGGCTGGCTCAACCTGGTCTATCTATTCGACATTGCCTTTGTCGCTTACCTTTGGCGACCAACCGCGAACAACCGGCGCTTCGCTATGAGTGATGAGGTATGTAGTTCATTGACACATGAAATTGAGTGTAGAAAGTGGCATACTGACCGATTTTTGTAGCTCGCCCAAGATGACGACGGCTTCGAGATTCGCTCATTCGGCAGTGGCCTTGACGAAGAAGATCCTTTGGATGCTCCTCCCGAGTATCCTGGCAGTTCCGCCGCAGTCGGCCGTCGCGATTTGTCGCCCGTGCCTCCCAAGCCCGTCTCGGCATCGAACCAGCGCGCCTCTCTTGATGAGGAGACGATCTTCGCCGTTGGGGAGGATGGAGACAAGTGGTCGGATGATGATGAATCTCCTCGTAACTCTAGCGAAAGACAACGACTCACTCATTAGAATGGACAATGACTCGATGTCTTGGACTAGCAATTTGTCCTCATTGACCAGGGCCAATAGTCGAGCCTTTCTTGCGAACAGACTGATAAGAGTTCACTTGTCCAGGGCCTAGATCGGGTTTCATGCATGTCACGGCGTTTGTTTCCCTTTTCTTTTTTGTTTGATGTGATGGGAATTTGATACACCTGGATCGACCTGGCTTGCATGTTGGCCTCTGGAATATGCTCTGAATAGTTTGCTGTGGAAACAAGATTTGCTTAGCTGCTGAAATTAAATAGTTATTGACATCATGTATAAATATCAATGAACGGGATCTAGATGCAGACAGGACAAGATGTCAATGGAATACTGTGTTCAAAATGACTCTATTTGTTACCAGTCGAATCCGCCAGAAGTCTATAGATCGACCGGGGCGGGTCCCGTCGACAGACAGCTTGATTCATACAGAGAGAGCCTCATCTCCGCCTTATATAGGACCCTGTTACGCCCGGTTTCAATGCACCCTATGCTCTGGTCCTTTGTCGAAATCCAACTCAATTGCCCATTGAATTCATGAGTCCAAACTATAACAACCATCCCAAACAAACTACCCTCCCTGACCAAGGGCTCCATCGATAAGCAAAGCATATCGCATCCCGCCCCGCACTCCACCAGGCACAAATGCCAATGCACACGCGCCTCCGAACCAACTTTTACAAAGCCCTTCAATTCCCCCACCATAGCCAGTCCAGCATCTCTCCAGCTCCATTCATGCAGTCCATATAGCTCACCATCAAATACCACGCGTCACCACCTACACCACCTCCCGCAATCCCACCTCCCGCAATGACGCATGATCCCGCCAGCCAGGACGACCCTCCAACATCCCCACGCAAACCCCTCGACCTGCATAAATACATTCCCTCCCCGATCCAGCCCAGTTCTAAAGCCTCCGAGCGCCTGCATCAGCAATGCCTCGATCTTCTCGCCGAAGTCGACGAGCTACAGAGCCTCCTGAAGTTCTCCCTGCGCAACCCGCAACTCGTCGAGGTGCGCCAGTTCCGGTCCAACGTGACCTCTGAGCTGAAGATGCTGCAGAAACTAGAGCAGCGCTTTCAAGACGCTGCCAATATCAGCGAGAGTAAGACAACGGCCCAGAGGGAGAGCCAAAGCCAGGACCCGGACCGTGATAGCGATGACGAGGGTGAAGCTGCGGAGGAGGATGATTCCTCGATGGAAATGCGGCTGATGCATGCGCTGCGGTCGTCCAATTTACCCTTTTATCAAGCCGTGTGGGATATTGCGAGGGGCTCGTGCTATGGGCTTCTTGCTCTGGGAAAACGGTTCTATTGGGATGGACCAATGAAGGATTCTTCTGAGAAGGAGACGAGTGCGCCGAAGACTGCTTCGAAGAAGGGCCAGGGGAAGCAGCCGAATAAGGATAAACGCAAAAGTGTCTTTGTAGACATTGTGGCCGATGATGGAGAAGAATGGGTAAAAGTTTCGACCATGTCAGAGAGCAGATTGCTCTTCGAGATGGCTAAGAAAGGGTGGGAGCGGGACTCGGAGGATGAGTGTATGTCCGACGAAGGGAGTGACAACCCGCGACGACGGACTGTGCTACGGAATTTTGATGGTTCGGACTACGGAGAGGATGATGATGAGGATGAGCTGGAACTTATTAAGTTGGCACGCGATCTAAGGAAAGCGGCCGATGCTACACGGTTGCGGTATAGACACCCGCGACTACGAGTGGTGCTGCCTAAAATCGGGGAAGGAAATGTTCCTGAAATTGATGATATTCTCCATGAGATGCGCAGCTATGGGGTCAAGGTCGAATGCCAGGAGACGCTGTCAATAGCTGCCGGCGCCAAAAAGCCCGAGCTGACCTGCCTTTTACCCCGGCCGTTCAAACGCTTCACTGCCACCTTGAATGTGGATTGCACTCTCCTCCTCGCCCTAGTGTCTGACCTATCCCATGCCAAGGAAATTGTTCCATTGCCCAGTTTCCATAGAGCTATCCTTCGGCAGATCGAGGTTGAAAAGCAGCAGCCGCTGTTACAAACCGAGCTCTGGCCCGCCATGGGGGACCATGAGCTGGTGTGTACCAACGAGGCGGCAACTCGCATGCGCGAAATCGTGCAACTCATAGGCACCGATACCGAGAAAGAAAGAACGAAGATTATGATGGGTGACCACCCATATGCGCACCTGGACCGACGGATTGCCGTCCAAAAATTCCAGGAGTTGTCGGACTGGCAGGTGCCAATACACTGGCAACTCCCCATCAAGGTCATAGACCCGCAGCCGGCCATCACTGCGGCAAAGATAGATGGAAAACTGCCGCCAGTGGCAGATCGAGTTGCCGAAGGGTTATCAGATATCAACCACAGCGTTTTCATGTATGGGTGGGTGACTGGTATGACGACCATTTCCAGCAATCGCACAATCGATAAGCAGATCGAAACGACGATCGAGAATAATCGAGGCACTGATGAAGACCTCGAGGGACCCATGGTCTGGATCTGTGACACAGCTCGAAGTTTGGCCGGGAAAGAAAAAGATCGCAAAGCATAGAAATAGAAGGATGTGGTCGTCAGGTGTTCATCGACTGACCCTCGTTTGGCAAAGGGCCCTCTGCTAGAAATAGACAAGGTTTCTTGTTTGAGAAACACACTGCAGATTGAAACGTTCCGCTCACATAGATATTTCGTGATAAGAGATGATAGTAGTCCAAGAAACGAGTCTTGTCCACTGAGTGTCTTAAAACATCGGGTCATAGTAATCAAACACATCCTAATCGCCGTAGAATTTGCTTCAAAGTCGTGAAAGAGAGGCCTACTTGTCAGATGGCCGGGGCGGTTCGTCGGGAAGCCAGAACACAATTTCCTTGTCGGCACTGGCAATCATATTGAACCGCGGATTATACTCAATGAGAGCGGTCCGACCTCGATGAGGCAATTTGGCAGTAGGCTGTAACGCGGCATTGTCGTGTCGTCCCTCTCGTACTTCATTGAGATCCCAGACCAGCACATCTTGCTGCTCTCCGTTGCCGCCAATCACAAACCGCCCATCAGGGGTGAAGCAGGCATCACCTTGACCCAGAGGCTTGCCGGTAGTCGACACTGGAGCAGCTCGACCAGTCGATCCACTTTTGCCTGTCAAGAAAGCTTTGACAGTGCCGTCAAAGGCATCTAGTATGTAATGTCCATGGTAGTCTGTTCCAACCATCAAAAACTTTCCATCATTGGAGAACTCTAGCTTGGTCCAGGCACGTCCGCGAGTCGAAGGTGTGTAGATCTCCTCAAAGAGAGCGAGGTCAAATGTGGAAAAGGGCGCTTTGTCATAATTTCGGAAATCGTAGAGAAGGACAGAGGAGGTAGACTGTGATGCAATCGCGATAACTGAGGCCGAGGGGTCAAATGCGACGAGGTATGGGGTCGCCAATTTGAGTTTGCCCTGTGCGTTACGGGAACCGAGATCCCAAAGAGTGACCGTGTCGTCCTTGGAGCAAGACATGAAGGCGTCACTGCCTGGGGACATTGCTAGACATGTGACCTTGTCTGTGTGACCAGAGAAGTAGCGCACATATCCTTCGTTGTGAAGATCGAGCAGCCGCAAAGAATCTACCCGACAGACTGAGTTTCGGTAACTCCTGATAATCAATAACATTCGGTGGACTTACGGTCAACTTTGGTACTAGCATGCAGCACTTGACGAGAGTGGTGAGTGAATCGGGCGAGGTGAACACCATATTTCTTGCTGGGAACCGATTTGGTGGATTTGCCTTCTTTGACGTCAAAGATCTGAATGGTCTCGTCGTCACCAGCAGCGACCATGTAGTCGCCCTGGTCGTCAAAGTCCAGAGAGGTGGTATAGTTTGACGTGGACTCTGACTTTGAGCTTTTGAAGGACTAAATCAAAGAGAATGAGCGGTGGCGTGGGGACGACTCGAGAATCATTGGCGATCCTACCTTGCAGGGACGATATCCGCGAATAATATCGGGTATCTTCTGAGACTGCTGAATAGCCTGGGCAGTCGGCTGAGACACCGCTGTCTGCTGCTGGCCCTCGGCCATAATGGGAGTGTTGGTGGTGCAGAGGGATGCTGATGAGACGGATCAGGAGGGGGTGAGGGAGGAGGATGATGAGCTTGAGGTAATGAGAGAGTTGAGTTAGGTCGTCCGGGGAAACAATGAAAGTGGACAGTCAAAGCTCAGGTCGTTTGGGCGGAAGGCCCAGGGCAGGGTCGCGTTTTCCGCTTTGGGCCAGACAAAGCTCTCCACGCGCGCCTTCTTTTTTCGCGGCAGCCGCGGATTTACTTTCCTCCGACTTACCGCCCCCGGAGTCGGAGCTCGGCGGGGGCCATTGACCAATCATGGAGGCCGAGTTTCGGCCTATGGTAACCGCAAGTAAGCTTTTAGATGCACTTCAGCCCAGATTACTTCCTCCGCACGTCTGATCTGACAGTCTCAACCCTCACTGGCCCTCGATAAATAGAGAATTGTGCCCTCGAGCAAGCTTCACCGGCTTCCAACTTTCCTCACACTCTCTCATCGGGGGCTCGCCTCGTTCTCTGCCTCTATCGCCCCCTCCGATCTCACCCCGATTGCCATCCAACTCGACCGACTCATCCGTCATTCGCCGCAACAGGCTTAAATTGAAGTCGCGATGTCTACCACAACTGGGTATGGTGTTCCGGCATTCGCTAGTGCAGTCGGAGTTAAAGCAGATTTCGTTCTAACTTTCGCTGTGGTTGAAATAGGGCTTTCCTTGCCGGAGGTATTGCTGCATGCGGTGCCGTAACTGTCACCCACAGTTTCGAGACTGTCAAGATTCGGTAAGCCTTACAGAATGGGTCGCCTGGGTCGCCTGACACTAGGGATGATGCTGATGGGCCTTCAGGTTACAACTCCAGGGTGAATTGCAGGCGAAGAACGAAGGAGTGAAGAAGTATCGGGGTGTCCTGCACGGTGTTAAGGTTATCCTCCAAAATGAAGGCCCCCGAGGGTTGTTTCGTGGTATTGGATCTGCCGTGAGTGAAATAATGCCCCTAGTAACACTATATATTGAAGCTTGGTGTAAACTAACGCACGGATCACATCTAGTATGTTTACCAAGTCCTTCTTAATGGCTGCCGTCTCGGCTTTTACGAACCTATTCGTTCTAATGTCACAAACGCCATTTACAGCGATCCCAAGGTGCAGTCTCTCGGCGCTAATGTCTTCGCCGGTGCGGCCTCTGGAGTCATCGGTGCGGCTGCTGGATCGCCGTTCTTCCTGGTGAAGACCCGCCTGCAGTCCTATTCTCCCTTCCTCCCCGTCGGTACTCAGCATAACTACAAGAACTCGGTTGATGGCCTGAGCAAGATCTATAGAAGCGAGGGAGTCAAGGGTATTTATCGTGGCGTTGGGGCTGCCATGATCCGTACTAGCTTTGGCAGTGCTGTTCAGCTCCCCACATACTTTTTCGCCAAGCGTCGTCTGACTCGGCACTTGGGTATGGAGGAAGGGCCCGCTTTGCATTTGGCTAGCAGTGCGGCGTCTGGCTTTGTCGTGTGCTGCTTTATGCATCCTCCTGGTATGTCTGCCGCTGTTCGAGATCAACGTGATATTGTGGCTAATACTTTGATTTCCAGATACCATTATGGCTCGCATGTACAACCAAACTGGTAACCTGTACCAGGGTGTCTTTGACTGTCTGTTCAAGACTATCCGCACTGAAGGTGTCTTGGCTATTTACAAGGGCTTCTTCGCTCACCTGGCCCGTATTCTCCCACACACTGTAAGTTTGACCCACCTGGGTATAAGGCTTTCGAAACACTAATCCAATGTCTTTTTTAGATTTTGACCCTCAGTCTGGCTGAGCAGACCAACAAGCTGATGCGCCGCGTCGAGGATCGCATCCTTCCGGACTCTTTCCGTGGGAAGATCTAGTCCATGAGGGCCAAGACCGAAACTTCTTGAGCTCGGCCCATTCTGGCTCTTGCGTTGCATCAAAAGACTTACTTTCATCTTTGATTCTTCTAGACATGTTGACTTGCATTGAGTGAGGTGGACTTTGCGATACCAGGTTTTCTTTTGGATATAGATTTGGCGTTTGTGGCTCGCCGATTCTTGGACATTTTTTGTACATAATCACGGCGGTAAATTTGAGAGCGACTCAAGACATAACTTCTGCCTCTGCTTCTTTAGGGGTCTATCTTGCCATTGGTTCGACTCGGAGGCTGTTTTCAGAGCCTGTGGGTCCCGGTAGTCCCTGTTCAAGCGATCTGGACAGTGGCGAACACCAACGTAGGATGCTCGGAAAGTACTTGCCATTCAAATTACCTTCATAGGGGGACCTCATGATCAATGCCCTTTTTGGGACAGAGGCCGTAGTTTACCCGGTGACTTGCTATTAACGGCATAAGCATTCTTTTTTAGCACGGTCGATGCCCGAGGCGCTATGTAACCTCATTTACGTGTGGTTTCTACCGTATTAGCCTTGAATTTCCTGCGGAGCACTGGAAACCTCCGGGGTTGAGCCTGAAATCTAGGGGCCCCCAAATCCCGAACCGCAAGTTTGTGCTTCCGATTGTTCCTACTGGACACTTTCCAATTCTCCAAGACTCGGCCCCACAGATAGTTCCTCGCCGAGCGAGCTAAGGATCCTGAGTATGAGGGATCATGACCCTGCCAATCACGAGGGCCGTACACCGTACTTGCGGCTCCGTGCGCAGGGCAACTGAGTCCTGCCAAGGTCCTTGGCATCCCATCATGTCTATAAGAATCGGACAATATCCGTGTCCGAACCCACTGAATTCTTTCAAAACGCCCAATTTCTGGCTTTCTGACTTGCTCGAATATCATCATGCCATCCTTCAAAACATTCCTCCTCCCTATGGCCCTGCTCGTGGCCAGTTCTAGGGCAGCCACCTGTTCCGGGGATTGGTTATCAAACACATTCAAGGGCGATACCAAATGCTGCTATGGAAACATGCTAGTTGAAGACCGTGACGCCTTCTGCTGCGTTTACGACCTGAACCCGACCGTGGAAACTAGCAGCGCTTCGGCCGTGACTACGACAAGCGATGACTATGACAGTTGGTCCACTGCAGGCGAATGCTTCACAAAGGTCCCCTTCAGCGCGAGCGACTACTCGGATCTAGTTTCTTCGGCCTCGTCGAAGATTGCGGCTACTAGAGCGACGGTTGCGACGAATGAGGCCAATCCTACAAGTTCGAGTGCTAGCACGGCCTCATCAGGTGCGAGCTCAGTTGCCAGCAGTACCAGCTCCCAAACGAGCTCAGGATCTGCCGCTGCTACCAGCAATGCCGCTATGCCGATTGCTACTGCTCAAGAGATGGTCCTTGGTGGTGCAGCGGTAGTCGTTGGTCTTTTCATGCTGTGATTTGGGGTTGACAATCTGTTGTCCACTTTTTGGATGTACATAGCGATGAGGTCTTCGAGCAGCATTTCTAGAAGTTCTAGAAGGAAAGGGGCATTTGGTCAAGAGGGCTGCTGTATATATGTATCCTAAGACATGTAATTTAGTTTAGTACTCCTGGACATATCTACAATGTGAAATACCCTAATCGCCAGTCCTGGAAAATGTAATATCCCTCGCCAAGTATGCCACGACTCCAACCGAGTAGAACTAGCAACATAAAAGCCAGAATAGCCCACGTGAAAGAAGTATCAATCCCCAAAAGACGATGCAGATGATTGAGACCATGGAGAATCCGGTATGCAAAGAGCCGAGGCCTCCACGGTACCCGCATTCACATTCCCATCCAGTAAAAGCGCCACGACGCCCTGGCTATCTTCCGCTGTCAAAGCCCTGTCCAGGGGAGTCTCGGGAGGGTGACTGAAATCATAGATATTGACATCGGCTCCCCACTTGAGCAAAAGCTCTACTATCGAGACATTCCCATTCTCCGCCGCGTAGAATATGGGCGTTCGACCACTAGAATCTCGGTCATTGGGATCGGCTGCATACGTGAGAAGCAACTTGACAATCTCGTAATGTTCACTCCATGTGGCAACTCCCAAAACCGTTCTCACAGCCGCGTAGGAATGGTGGCTGCCTTTGGAATTTGCGTCAGCTCCAAGTCTGAGAAGTCGCTTTGCGGTTTCTTCTCGGCCATTGTAGGCTGCGTCGAAGAGAGCCCATCCCCCTTGCCGGATATTGCGGCGGTAGAACCAGTCGTTCAAGTGGGAGTATAACTCCACGCTGGTGAGGATGAATCGATTGATTTCGTTTTCAGTTTCAAGATTTGCGGCGATGGTCTGGAGGATTTCGTTAGGCAGGGACGTGAGAAGCATTTTGCTTTGGCAGACTTAAGGAGTAGTTGGTGTGGGGATGGTTGATTGTAAAGGATTCTAAGAACCTTATATGCAGAGGAGTGACGTGAATGAATTCAAAGAAGTATTAGTTTATGAAGAGTTGTCCGTCGATAAGAAGGGAGAGTTGTATAAAGGGGAACCTTTTCAGGTATCTATGGGTTTAGCGAGCAACCGATTGTCCGTGGCTCAAATGGGAAACTCTAAGTTCAGGACCAAAATGAGACTTCTATAGAACATAGCCTTTCTTATGTTATGACTTGAAAATCTCATCTCTCTTGTCTGTCTTCCTTCTCTCAATCTCCCCTCAGTTCCCATTAGTTGGTTTCGCAACTAAATTTCAAGGGAAGGTCTGGAGTTGCCTCTATCAAACACAACAAGTCAGTATCAGATGGGTGATTCTCCACAGCGTTGGGAGGCCCCCATTTTGGTTTCCCCAAACCTACCGAGATTATGTGACTTCTTCACGCCACAGATGCGCGGACGCCACCCGCACACCCCTCCTTACACGGCGAGAGTATGTTTCCACTCGTTTTTCAATCTCACTCTGACGAGGATGAAACCCATAAGAGAATCTGATATCTGCCCCATGTTCGAGAAGAAGTCGTACCATCGCCTGATTGTGTAGTTTGGATGCCACGTACAGGGCGGTTGCGCCGCTCCAGTCTTGCATATCAACGTTTGCACCGTATTCGAGGAGTAGACTCGCAATTCCCAGCTCGTTCCTCACAGCACACTCAATCAACGGCAGTGAGGGTGGTAGGTATGGCTCTTCGATGTCATGATCATACCGGATATTAGGACTGCCCCCAAGCAGGAGAAATCGACGAGCTGTCCCCGCCTGATTCATTTGAATCGCCCAGTGGAGCGCCCAGCCATCGTTTCTGATGCTGCGGCGATAGAGGTTGTTCGTGAAACAGGCGTTCAAGTATCTGTTGGTAAGAGTGAGGGCGGAGAGACTCGGACAGTCCAGCATCTGGACGATGATGAAAAGAACTTCGAGTGGGAGGGACAGAAGAGGCATTGTGGTGGCACACACTTGACGAGAGATGTTGATGCTGAGTAGGATATGGATGTTGGGCGAGATGTGGGTTGAAAAGAAAGCACAGTTGTGCTCGCAGTGTTGAGTGAGAAAAGAGATGGTCTCTTACTCGAACCTGAAGCCTCCGAACATGGTTGAGGCAGTTTGGCATCGTTCCGCATCGTGGACATTGCGTCGTGGGTCATAGTATCTCATCACATATTTACTTCATATTCATAGGGTTGAATAAAGTGTATGAATAGACTGGCACGAATTCACTACTAGAGTGCTCTTTTATACTTCTTTTGGGAGGCCCACGTCCATGATTCGGCCCGGGATGATCGGTGGGGCGTGGTGGAGTCGTGGCTGCTTATCGGCGGAATGGAGCAACTTCATATTGAACTGGAACGGTCATGGCCGAAAAGTGTCTATAGAGATAGTGGTCAGCAAAGAGAGTCGTGTTGATGGCTAACGAGAGTGAATGAAACTCGTCAAGGATCGGGTCTTTAGTCACCATGAAGGAAAGAAGGAACGCTGATTGAGCAGCTCTTTGAACCATTTTTATTTGGGCAGGCAACCCCGCCCTGGTCACTGGATGCTTATCGATTACGAAAGTATGGGCAACTGGCTCCCCTCAGTATAAGCTTCCTCGTTTTATCATCCCCCTCTCCTTCTTCACCACAGCCCCCAACCCTTTTTTTCTATCGATCGAGCTATTCATAAAACTCACTTCCTCATCTTTCACCACTACCGTCTATTTCCACCGCAACTGCCCGTGGCAGTTGCCCCTTCGACACCGCGACCAGCTGACGGGCTCCTCCCCGCAGACCCACACACCCAACGGGGGCACATGCCTAGATCCCAGGCATCCCCATCCTCGCGGTGTGTTTAGTTTCTCTTTCTGCTTCCTATTTTCCTTTCTTTCCTTGAAACTACTCCCCTGATCGCTCTATGATCTCTTCAAAGTCATGGCTAACGCTTCAGAGTCCCCCAGGCGTCCCCCGAGCGCCCACACAGCCTCTCATCTACAATACCCGACGCTCCCGCCGCTCTCAGGCTCCGTCCAAGAGTGGTTATCCCGCTCTCGTCCGGCCAACAACATGACGTCAGATCATCAGCTCACCCTGCCTGCGAGATCCCTCGGCGATAGCTGGGCGGACCTGAGCGTCTCCGATCTGCACTCTGAGGATGGCAGCCGCTCCGAGCATACCGATATGGGGTCGTTGATCGACCCAACCAGTGCCGACGACGTAGCCAGTCTCGATGAGCGATACAGTAGCAGCGAAGTCGGTGGCACCGACGAGGAATATCCTCAAGAAGATGAAGACGTTGCTAGAGAGGAGCTGCAGGACTCGGTAGCCTCGCAGCAGTTCCCGATGATGTTTACTGAGAACGACACCGCGATCGACAGTAGCAACCTGACCACCCGCACGGCTTATCGTCAGTCGATCGACTCGATCGCGTTTGTGGAACCCGAAAAATGGCCAGAGAGGGAGAGAGTAGAGCTGAAGCACACGATCCACATTTTCGATGACGCGGAGGCAGCCAAGATGAGAGAGTCGCTGCCGTATAACGTGGAGGGTGCAATTCTGATGGCCACGGTTCAACAGACTATGACCAAAGGAAGTCTGGATTTGGATAAACCCTATCGTGTTTTGTATATTGGCCAGCCAGACTCTCGGAATATCATCCTCGACAAGATCGGCGATGTCTTGGTATCAAGCTCGACCACCGGATCGCAGACCAGCTCGGCCAACTCCTCCCGCTACCATGTGGTACCAACCTCTTTCGGAGCTGGGGCCGTGCCCAACTTTGCAGAGCTTCTCCCGATCCATGTTCAGCTGGTCGTGGACGAGTGTAAAGATGCAAGTGCCGAGTCTCACGATACTCGACCGAGCACCTTGCATCTAGACTTCAAGAATCGCCCCGCATGTCGCTCATGGTGGGATGGCGACCAATACCGGATCTCGTCCGCATCGGAATGGACTCTACCAGACGTGGCAATCCTGTTCATGTCTGATAGAGATAGTCCGGCTACTATCCAGACGCAGCACTATGTCCATGCTTTCTTGGAGCGGCATGGAATTCCGGCCATGGTGATCTCGGAGGAGCCGCTCTGGAAACGGACGAGCGAGCCCATACCTTTGAATCACAACAGTCTGCATATGTGCCTAGAATCTCGACACCCACGGACCGGGGAAACGGCCGTGCTGCGTCGGTATCCTATCGATTTGAAGACATTTGAGAGTATCACACCTGGTCAACTCAACAGGAACCTGGCTTCGCTCATGGACCTCTATCCCAAGAAGATCCCTAAAGTTACTGCTGATGCTCCCAGACCAGTTGAAATATACTCATCCACAGACCCGGAGAAGTACCCTCGGAACTGGCTCCACCCTTCATATTCTCCCAAGGCCCGTGAGCTAGGGCCCATGCTGCGTCTTGTCACGTTGACCCTTATTTCCGCTATTGCTCTTTCAATTGGATATGCAGCTGTGAATACAGTCTTTGTTTCTTTTTCTCAATGGGTTTCCGGGCCAGGGATTTCCAACACCGGGTCCCAACTGGCTACTCCTCTTCTATCGACTTCCGTGGCAGTCCTCCAAGTCCCGCAGACCTCGGGGTCTCAATGGCCGGCAAGTCCGTCATGCCACCCAAATAGCAAGCCCGCAGCAATCATCGATCACGTTGCCAAGCTTACTATTGCCGATTCGAGCTCGTCTGAAAGTCCAGACGTCTTTGAGATTCAAGTTGTTGGTGACTGCCACGTGGTTATCAAGCCCCCTCGCAGCTTCGTCACGTATAAGAAGCAACCGTCTTTTAACGTGAGTGCTCGCCGATACGAGCAGCCTCTGCCATACGAGCTTTCCAAGCTGTTTGATGGGGTCTATACACTACGGCTGGACCGAGAAGATGCCTATGGCTGGGTTAATATCACCGTCTCTGCCAAGTCGAAGCCACCTATCAATCAAGTCATGACCGTCGACTTTGGCACCCCGTGGCTGAAGATTGCAAGCTGGAGACGAGCAGCCCGAAAGGTCTCCTCGCAAGTTACGAAAGACTTGCAAATTGCCCAAACCAGCCTGGCCGAAGTGTATGGTCGGGTCTCCACCGATATACAGGTGAGAATGGGTGATCTGGTCAAGAGTTCTCATTTCCTACACCAGGACAGCCTCCGAGCTCGAGGTCTTCTTGCACGGGATACCGTGCTATCGCGCTCGAAACAAATCTCCGAGGTCATCACTCGTAATGCGCTTGAACAGTTCCGAACTGTCTCTGCTGTCGTGCACAGCCGCTCTGTCCGGGTCAATCAGGAAGCCAGAGGGCTTGTCAGTGAGGCCTGGAATCGTCTCGGTGATTCCGCGGCCCAGGTTGATATTCGCTCCATGATGGATCGAGTTCGCAGTGCCAAGTGTGCCACGCTGGATCGGGCTCAGGCACGCGCACGCCGTTTTGTGGGGCGTCGCGACTAGAGTTATTGCTGGGGTCGGGGCTAGTTTCCCAGTGCCGCCATGATTTATGTTTTTTTTTTTTTCCACCCAACTGTTGCTGATTTCCATGTTTCTTTGGCTATTGATGGGGTTTCTTTTTGGTTCACGGCGATTGGGCTGGGCGGGACGGTAACTTGGAGAGGCTGAACTCACGCGAGTACTATTCCTTTTTGTCTTCCAGAAGATAACTTTGACTTAATCAACCAAGGCTTATTTATACATCTGCCCTTTAGTTCACGTAGGGGTCTTTTATAGATTGAAAGACGGATGATACATTCACCGATTCTGCAACCTGTCTCTTCCTTCGACTCACCCAGGGAGAGCTTAAATGTCAAAATTGATAGGTATGAAACCCTTTTCGAGGACGAGCGTTATAGCATCGCTCAATTCAAGGACGCTTCTTATGATCTCCCAGATGGGATTGGACAGTCTTGCTGAGCAACCGCTATCTCCTCCTATCTCCTCGCGGTTGACATGAAAACCTCGCTTTCCGAATCACAAAAAGAAGACACTGCTTTTCAATAATTATTGGGCTACCAGATATGGAAGGGGACTTCTTGGTAATAGGTAGACAACGTAAGTTCTATTCCAGATCAGTATGTACATAGTTACGCTCTAACAGTTAAGACTCCTTCCTTCACATTATTAAGCTTCCGGCTGTACCTCCCATCTGAAATACCGTTTACCGTTAGTTCATTCGGATCTCGGGACAAGAGGATCGAGTTCGTCAGCGAGCATTGTCGGAGAGGAGGTTTTTGGTGTGGCAGAGGATTCATCCACAGTACCTTCTGCGAGAAGGTGGTCGTTCGACTTGTAGAAGGCGGTGGCGAGTTCTGCCCGCACCCAAACTATTAATTTTTCCCCCCTCATCGAACCCTCCCGCATCAACAAAGCACTTTCTTACCCCTGAATACCTTGATCCCCGGTATTCACCCTCTTTCTTCAAGCTCTCCTATCTCCTATTTTCCCGAATACAACCCCTTCACATCTATTTCGCCATGTCTGACGTTGCGGAGACCAAGCCCGACCCCACCACCCAGGCTCCTGAGGCCGACAAGCCCGAGACCGCCACCACCGGTGAGGGCGAGAAGACCGTCACTGAGGCTGCTACCGACAAGGCCGCCGAGGTTGCCGAGACCGCCAAGGATGCTGCTGTGAAGACCTCCGACACCGTTTTCTCCATGTTCGGTGGTGGCCCCAAGAAGGAGGAGAAGCCCAAGGCGGATGAGGAGGAGAACGACCGCTCCGGCTCCGCAAAGGCCCAGAAGGAAGAGAAGGAGGATGATGTTGAGGCTGACAAGGTGAGTTGAAATACATGGATGAGATGTCTTGGGTTGCGTGGTCTGGGGATGCGCGGTGATGGCATTCAAAACACTCCAGTCCCAGAACGCGGGGTGTTTTTCTCGAGCCCCGCAGCTTGTGTGGCTCGCCGCCACCCAACCGCCCACACCATTTCATCCCATTCGCAAAGAATGCTGAACATACGTTTCTAATCGTTGTTTTCTTCCCGTTCAGGTCGTTGCCGATTCCAGCTGGGTTAAGACGGAGTTGAAGGATGTGGTCGAGGTCAAGACCCACGAAGAGCTTGAGGAGCAGGTTTTCAAGATGCGCGCCAAGCTCTTCAAGTTCGACCCTGAGAGCAAGGAGTGGAAGGAGCGTGGCACTGGTGATGTCCGTCTGCTCAAGCACAAGGAGAACCAGAAGACCCGCCTAGTCATGCGCCGGGACAAGACCCTCAAGGTCTGCGCCAACCACTACGGTGAGAATTCCCAAAGCCCCACCCCCTGAGTTTCTGAATATTCATACTGACCGAGACCAATATTATAGTCGTTCCTGAGATGAAGTTGAGCCCCAACGTCGGCAGTGACCGCAGCTGGGTCTGGAACACCACCGCCGACGTCTCCGAAGGCGAGCCCGAGAAGCAGACTCTTGCCATCCGCTTTGCCAACAGCGAGAGTGAGTTGATTCCCTTCATAAGATCGATTCAACATGAAATCATACTAATATCTGTTTTATCTGTTTCACAGATGCCAATTTGTTCAAGGATGCTTTCGAGAAGGCCCAGCAGGAGAACGAGAAGGTCTTCGGTTCTTCCGAATAAATACGTATCACATCGTGCCTCTCCTTTTCCTTCGGCATGAAGGAGCCCCCAAGCTCATCAGCATGAAATGCTTGTCGCCGACGGGCCTTGCTACGTGAACCATGAGCTTACGCTCCAGTCTCACCCAGTTACCCATCCTACAAATCAACTCCCCCCAAATACGAAAGAATCATGACATTTCCCTTTACTCTCCCCATCCATACCTCTGTGACCTTCCTCTTTCCCCCCCTTTTCCCCGACGACGTGACGATCAAGGCAGTCAATGATGATGATGCTGTTCGTAACAGCTATCGTGATGTGATTATGAAACGGAGGGCAGTTCCTTGATGTCTTTTGGTCCACAGTCGGCAGTAGATAGACATATCATTTTTTTTCTCCATCGAATATACATCCTGCACGTCATAAATATAGTACCTGTTATGCTGCATTGGGTCTTCTCCAACAGTAGCAACGGATCATTGATGTTATGGTAGCAAGCAAGCGCCCTATGGCCGCCATCTGGTCGCAAGTAATTTGGAACTGACTATTGGGGGACCAATATTCTTGGGATATCCATCGATCATTTTAATAAGAAATATTCTAGAAAAAAAGGCGTTGTATCTCTAGTGCTGGCGCAACAGTCTCGAGTTGTGTAGGCTTTGTTCAGCCCTCCGAGTTGGTCTCCGTTGTGCCTCGACTTCATTTCTCCCCACTCCCGCTTGCACTCATCTTTTCTCCCTTCACTTCGAATTCCCCCAATGCTCACCGCCGTTCGGGCTAAACCTCTGTGATCATTGCAACTAAGATCTTGCCTCGGTTTTACCTCTCTTCCACCCACCCTTCACCTTCCACCTGGGTACAGGAGACCCGCGTTTGCCCTTCCAACCCGCGCAATCAGTTTCCGAGCTTCTTCCATCTCTCGGCGCGCACTCCTCCAAATCCACCTGACCCGAAAAACACCGGCGACTGTGACGATTTCACATCTTTCTTGCAGTTATGCCCGACGTGAGTTATTCACCCGTCTATTGAGTGCTCTGACCGGGCCCGTCCCTGTCCTCAAGGTCCGGACCGCGGTCTGGGGGCGCGAAGGCGCTCTCACATCGCGCGTCTCCACGGGGATTGATGACCTGAGCCCGAACTCAACGCCAGTCTTTAAGAACTAAAACGTTCTGGATACTGACTCTTACTTTTGTGACATAGGTTAAGCGCACCGTCCGTCTCGTCACGGAGCAGCACATCATGTACGTGTCGGCGGCTCGCCTTGCCTTTCCCTGCCTACCGCGAGCGATTGATCCTCTTTCTTCCATATACCTGATCTTTGATGGGGCTTTTACCTGTCAAAATCATGGCTCCCATGCGACGACAATAAGATACAAGTTGGGGACCGGATCGATGGGCGCGTAATGAGCTCGCGACCACCTACCGTCCATGGCTTCCCCGCAAACACCCCGGAACAGGAGAAGATGATGTACAATACATAAGCTGACTATGATCTTCTGGTTTAACATAGTGACAAGCCATCGGAAGTTGAGGGTTTCCCCCAGCGCGAATGGTCGATCGAGGTGTATCTCGTGAACGACAAGGGTGAGCAGGTGCCTGCTACTGTCTTTGATAAGGCTATCTACCACCTGCACCCCAGTTTCGGAGACCGCGCCATTCAGAGTATGTATCTCTCTGCCTATCATTTAATGCTATATGCAGCAGCTGCTGTGCGGTCATCTGATAGGCATTGCCCCTTCTTCGGACATATCATAGCTGACGACACACGAAACCAGCTTTCAAGAAGCCCCCCTTCCGCATCCAAGAGGAGGGATGGGGTGAGTTTGATATGACCATTGAGCTGGTTGCGGATAAGACATACTCGATCAGGCATGACTTGAACTTTGCTCAGACTCGCTATGAGGCCAAGCACCCGATTGTGAGACCTTCTTTGATGTATACGTAAGATGAAATCGAAGTTGACTGACATCTGATGCTTGTTACAGACCTTCCGCAATCCCAAGCCCGCTCTTCTGGCCTTGTTGCGTGAGTCTGGTCCCGTTCCTGGCGACGAGAACGGTCTCAAGTCCAAGCGCGGTGCTACCGGTGAGGAGAGCGCCAAGAAGAAGAAGCGCACTGAGAAGAACGTGAGTGATCTGATTTGCTGGGGATCTTTGTTCGAGGCTAAATTATTGTACAGGTTGATATGGACAAGCTTGCCGATGGTCTGCAAAAACTGAACGAGGATGATCTGCTGCAAGTTGTGCAGATGGTACATGATAACAAGTCCGCCGATTCGTACACCAAGAACGATGCTGAGCGTAAGGATTTCCCCTCGAGCCCAGAAACTTCTGGAACTAATCTAATCGTTTTCCACAGTGGGCGAGTTCCACGTCGACCTGTACACCCTTCCGGATTCCCTGATCAAGATGCTCTGGGACTTCACAGCTGACCGGGGCGCCCTGTAAAGAAGCCCCTGTAATGAACCAACGTGAACAAAGAAAAAGGCACAGTCACCTTCACCTATCTGAATTTCCTGGTTCCGGTTCTGGATTTCCTAGGCACAAATCTCCTTCCATACCACGAAAGTTTCTTGGTCTAGCAAAAATCTCTTTTCTAATTACTCCTGTCTCTCACGCTTTTGCCCCCTATCTTGTACTCCCCCTATGCTCTGTTTCCCCCCATCTGTCCCCCTATCTTGCCGTTCCCTGTTTCTTTACTGGTTTGTTTTTAAATCGGGGAGTTAGCGGGTCTTTAAAGGAACCTTGGCTGAGTGGTCTTTTCTATTTCGTGACCCCGTGGTTTTTTTTTTCTCCTGTTTCTTTCGTAGACTCCGGCCCATATACATTGGAATATCTACGATTGAAATCATAGTTCGCTATTTCCTTTCGCTGATAACCGGTTCAGAGGGCTCTATGATCAATCTTGATATTAAGTCACACATTCCTTGACCTAGAGAAAGGACCTCGTCACTAAGATCTCAGGTCAAGCATTCGGTGAACATTGATACTTGGATAGCCTAGAAGTTTGGTGTGATCTCGTCGTGGCCTTATGATGATTACAGGCGGGGGTACATGGTTTGGGATGAGAATTGATAATGAAGGCAAACATTCGCGCTCCTAGCGGTCAGATGCTTCTTGATTGATATTAAATGATAGCCCAGGGAATGAAATTCGACCCGATGCGTATCCCACCACATCTCTATCACTGTGATAGCTGAGCAGACATATCGATACTCGGGAGGCAGCGACAGGACAGTCTCGCCGCAGAAAGCAATCTATGTATCCTCTACTATCGATACGCCCATTGACGAGCTGCGAAGTGTGGATGCTGGGATAATTCCGAGATTGGAGATAGAGTAGCCCAAGATTTGTCCCAAGATGTGGGATTGTTGTTCGAGACCGCCATTCCAGTGACCTTCCCATTGTTGCGCCAGGTGTGGTGCAGGATTGCGGTCATGACTTTCCGAATCTTGATAGTCTAGTCGCTCGATCTAGGAGTTGACCATTCAGGGAAAATGGCATTGATAAGATCATATCTTGATGGCCCAGGAGTATGGCGGAGAGTAACTAAGACAATGTCCCACGGCGTTACTGGAATGATCACTCGAGCCGGAGGCTCACAATAGACCCTCAGGGGAGAATGTCACGCAGTGAATGAAGCTTGATTGTTCCCTGAGTGTGTGTAATAAACCCCTGTAGAAGCACCCCATATCTGAGCTACATCATCACTTGAAGCGGACAAGAGACAGAGTACACGTAAAGAGGGACGAGATATTAATAGTAAAGAATCGAAAGCATCATGGGATATCTTAACTAAACCAATATCAAGACTAAAGCCCGACCCGCGTGACATGTGCAGAAATCAAAACCCCAGACAGTCAAAAAAGACAGAGAACAAAAGGAAAATAACACAAGGAGAGGACCGGCATATGAAACAGGTCCACGTTAACAACACAGATAAGAAAAAAGACAATTGCAGAGCGAAACAAAGTAAGCCCCCAAGAACAAGATTCCAGCCCGGAGCGTTGATCCACACGGTCTATTGAGATCCCAACGCCTATAAAAACAGACACCGTCTTTTTTCTGTTTCGTATGCATTTGACAAAGAGGATGAGGTTAGGGGAGGAAAAGAAAAAAAAAATTTGAGAAGTAGGAAGACACGTCAGAAATAGAAGAGGTGAAGAGAGATGGTAATGGAGATGGGGGGGGGGGAAAACCAAAGGAAATATCGGCTCGGAGGAAGGAAAGGAACCAGGACGCCTGTTGCTGTGCGAAGATGATGCTGAAAAGAAAAAATGTCTATGCTATTTATAGCACACGGTTTCTGGAAGATAAAGATTAGTATGCGAGTCATGGAGTAAATTCTGGGCTTCGAGATGACGACATACAGCTTCAATAAGTCCTCGAGGCTATCAGCACTGCAGCTGCGGCCCTTGGGGATGTTGCGAATGATATCGGTAATGGAGGTAAAGACTTCACCACCACGGTAGGCGAGCAGGGCGGGGGCCTGGATGTGATCCATCTCGGCAATCTCATGATGCAGCTTGACAAAGCGGGTCGTCGGTTGTCTGCGGGCAATGGTGACGAGGCATTCTTCGACAATGGCACTGTCGTTGGACTAGAAACGTCCAGTTAGACCAGAAAAAAGAAGTAGACGAAGAGTCTTGAAAGCTTACATGAGGATCATAAATGCACACGACAACGATAGTATCCGAGGTCACCTTCTCAATGGCATCGAGGTACCCCGCAGCATCAACGGTCTCTACCGATCCGAAGCGTCGCCCACGTGGAGAGGGACGCCGCATACCACGGTTCTGAAGCTCATTCATGCGCGAGGCGCGCCACTTGCGCATAAACCGCTCTTCGTCGTCCTCACTACCGGACGATCCCTCCACTGCGGGGGCAGAGGCCTCATCCCGAGTACCCTTATTCGAGCCGAAGGCGGGACCGTTCGGGTCGAAGCCCGCAGCGCTGAGGAGGGTCTTGCGGAAGGACTTCTTGCGGGCGCGCTCAAAGGCCTGGGCATCGGCGATGACACCCTTGGGTCCGGTGTTGGCTTCGAAGACGGTGTTGGGGACGTGGTAGTTGCCACGGGAGGAGACCATGTTGTCCGTGTTATCCTCGTCTTCGTCGGACGAGTCGATCACGCGACGTTGGCGTAGGTGACGTGGTGGGGAGGAGAGGGAGTCGTTGTCGTCCGAGAAGTGCGGGGAGTCGTCACGGTCTTCGGGGTGGGATGAGGTATGGGCACGATTGTTTGCCACCAGCTGGTCGAATTCTTCTTGGGCTGACATGGTGAAAGAAAGAGCGAGGCCTCCGGTCTTGGGGGGGTGGGTGGAGATGGGATTTAAGGTCGGAGGGACGAATGTGTGAGTGACTCGTGGGAGGGGAACCAGGATGTTTGGGAATTCCGGGGCAGGAATTGGGCGCAAGTTCTGAATCGGAGGGGATCGACGGGTCTAAGGCGGTTTCAGACTTTTTTTCAACAGGTTGCCCCTGAAGAGAACGGTCGGACTAGGGCGAGTCTGGAGTAGCGCGGCAGTCGCAGAGGGATGCAGTCGAAGAAGAAAGCAGAAGGCCGGAGTTGGGGCTGAGCTGGGAAGAGATCGCCAGGGTGAAACGGTTGGAAAAGAAAAAAAAGAAAAAAAGAAAAAGAAAAAGAAGAGCCCCTTTTTTCCTAGGCCATTCGAGTTTCAAGGTTTCAAAGCAAAGGATGATGCTGATGATTGATTTAGGCAGACTGCCCCAAGGAACGGCCGAAGAAGTTTCCACTCGATGACTCTTTTTTGTTCTTCATAGATGAGCTTGTTCGGAGTGCTTCGGCCGAGATGTACAGCCGAGTACCTGGTGAAGCATGCAGTTTTCCGAGTATATCCAAGTACCCCGACGGTACCAAGTATACCATCAAGTTCTTTCTACAGTAATTGCTCGTGTAAACAGAAGAACCCCAACAAACTCAAAAGAGAAATCCTCCCAATCTCATCCCAGAACTAAAGAACTGATCTCCGACCGATCGTCGACCCCCAAATTAACCCACGTGGTCATTCTGGCCCGGCATCTGGTCGTCAGTGCGAGCGGTTCGTGCCCACGACTCGAGTCTCTTTCTTCCAAGTCAACCATCATGAGTGGTTGGTTCCCTGGTAGGAACAATAACAGCAATTTCCCTAGGGCGACCCAGTCATGACTGGCAACATCATCCAACCTCAGCAAATTCAAATCGGGTAGACGCTCACACTCCCCCACCCCCAGCAGGCACGCATGTCATCATATCCTAGATGCGCAGCTCGTTTCATGCTCCGTACGTAAAAGTACTTCCGTACGATCCTTATCTTCTACTATTCACAAGGCAACCTGCAATTCTGAAACACCCACGCGCGCGTGGCTTCCTAGGTGACGCAGATCTCTGACTTGGGGGGCCCACGATGGATCACAGAATGCCCATCCACCAATCTCGAGTCGATTCTCCATTTTCCGACGGCACCACTGCCCGTACGGGGCTAAGTCCAGTTTGGAACCATTGCAGAATCCCAGCCTTTCCACACTTGAAGGTGCTGGACTTGGTGGAGCGGATCTGGATGATCTGATCCACCAGCTCCCGGCCCCAAGGCAAGTTAGGCAACGCGGCTTGGTCGCCAATGGGGGCCAGGAAAAGTAAAAATAGTTAATCTTGTATGTTCAAATTAAATCGGACTTGGGCTCTACTCCGGACCGGGGACTGGCTGGATGTTTTTGGTGATGATGGCCGCGTACTAAAAAGTTGTGCACTGCCTGGTCACAGCCCGGCATAAACCTCGGATGATAGGCCGTGCGGCAGACAAAGGACAAAGGGTAAAAGGCCAGAGTGGTGACTCGAGGCCGAAACTCTGATCAATAGGAAGTAGTCTTGCCAGTCTATCTGGCTTGTTCCTTTGACACATCCCCAAAATGCATCACGGACGGGCTCAAATCTCGCCAACCAATTTGAGTGTCTCATGATAGAGATCAGCTGCAATTGACGAGGGTATACTGCTCTGCTATCTCCGGGCAGATACAAGAAATTCCTTGACAACGGCAAGTTACTCCTTGTCAAGGGTCACTGGCCCTAGTCAGGCAAGAATGACATCCCAAACACAAGAGGGTCCTGGATGCGTTGATCAATAGGATTTGCCAGCTATCGTGAATACGTCGCGGTGGCTGTGACGTTATCCCGCTCCTTCGGATATACCTGGATGTTCGCGACCTGTTGACAACCTGAATCACAGAGTACGGCCAATGCACGCTGACTGGAATTGCGGTCAAGATTGATTGTTGCCATGATTGCCTGGAAACATCCATCGATCAGGTTCCACGACCTGCTGGCTTTCCAGACAGGGTTTATCCAGAAAAAGCTCAACAAGAACCGATTCCGGCTGCCTAGCATGATGACCATATCTACAGGTGCTACTGACCCTACCGAATGACGCACTACCAAGGCAGGCTATCACCCAAGACCCTGTATGAATGCCCTATTGCCGAGGCTGACGCCACGCTCGCAGACGCCCAACCCGCGACGGATCCAGGAAGCGAAGGCGAACGCACCGCTCGAACGGACCGACTGCAAGGCACGGGACACGGAGCTCGAAGAAGATGAAGCTCAAAGATTGGAATCACAAATGGAAATTGAAAAGCTTCTTGAGAAAAATAAGGGGACAACGTAACAAAAAAAAGGGAAGTTCAATGAAGAAATTCCCCCAAAGAGATCCAGACCATAGGATCCGCAATAGGTACAGGCGCAATTCTTTCTTTGGCGAGACACAAGGAGATATGGCGGGGAAGAGAGACAAATGGGTGAGGGTAGATCTGAGGGGGAAATCAAAGAAAACTGAGAGAGATGACGCGGAAACGCAGGGGAAATTGCAAAAGAAGCGCAACGATCATGGCCGAATCCACCGAACCGGTCCCTGTCCATTCCATCACCGAGAAAATACATACCAACCGATGCGGGGAGCGCAATCAAGAAAGAAAAGATAAAAACAAAGAGGGGGGAATTGAAAGGGAATAATAGGAGTGAGAGGGGGAAAAAAGAATAAGAAAAAAGTAAATCCAGGGGAGAAGAAGGAGGGAAAAAAAAAGAGGCATTATCACCAACATGAGGGAATCCAACGAACAGGATGGGCACAGAGGTAGGGAACCGCGTTGGATGGCAACACTTTTCTTGTTACTTTTTGGTGTCACCACCACAAATGGTCCACGGCACCTCTCATCATGGCCATCGCAAGCGGCAGCGCTCTCATCATATTCAGAAATTGTCGTGTCGTCGCTTTCGTGTCTTCTCCAGGCGTCGCACTGGCCTTCCACCACTACACCACTCTTCCGGATCGCATGCGACGGGGCGAGGTCTGCGCCGTAATTATCCCGAGAACCCGCAAGTTCCCCGGTAACTGATTATTATCGTACAATGGCGGAGATTCGACCCATCGAACCAAAGAAAATTTCGAATAAGAGCATTGCAAATGATTGACACGGGGTATCTTGCGTTTGTTTTCTTTTGTGGGGGAGATTACCAGGCCCAGACCTTGAGCTGTAGGTACCGAGGGGGAAAAAAAGTAATCAGTAGTGTCTCGTGTTGCCAAATTGGAAAGCAGAAAGGAACCGAAACTTACGAGAGAATCCCAAGATCCAGTGCACAGACTGATGCCGTCGTTGCTGACACCCAAGCAGCTAACGCGGTTCTCGTGGCCGCTGAGTGAGCCAACCTTGTCGCCACGCAGAACATCCCACACCTGCACTACGAGTCAGTCATTGTCCCAGGCAATCCGGTCTCCAACCTTCCTGAGAGGCAAAAAAAAGCATACCTTGCACTCGAAGTCGTCGTAACCAGCAAACAATAACCGGCCAGAAACGGAGAAAGCAACGGAGGTGATACCGCAAAGGACTTGGTCGCTCTGTTGAGTTGGAAGGTTAATATCTGGCCAGCCGAATCACGACGCGTAACGAGAAGAAACCATACCTGGTAGATATTGAGCTCGCGGTCAGCACGGATATCGAACAGACGGCAGGAGGTATCGTCGGAACCGGTTCCGAAAGCGTTTCCATCGGGGAAGAACTGGATGGCGTTGATGTCGGACTCGTGACCAGCAAAGGTCTGCACGGCCTTGCCGGTACGGATATCCCACAGCTTAGCAAAGGCGTCGCAAGCACCGGAAACGAAGATGTTCTGGTTGGTAGGGTTGATGCTGATCGACATCACGTCACCGAGGTGGTCGGCAAACTCGGTAACCTTTGATCCGGACTCGATATCCCACAGCATACAGGTCATATCGCCGGAAGAGGTGATGATGCGGCGGTCATTGATGAAGCGACAGCAGGAGAGGTAGCCCGAGTGGCCGGAGAGCTCACGCGCGACGCGAGTAGGACCTTCGCGCGAGGACAGGTTGTAGATGGAGCAAATGTTGTCGAGACCACCGCAGGCAACGTAGTTCCCGCTGGGCGCATAGGCACAGGTCATGACCCAGGACGAGCGCAGGGGAATGGCGTGAACTTTGTTAGTGGTGTAGGCGTCCCAGATGATTAGCTTTCCGTCCTGCGAAGCTGACACAAGGTGGCGGCGATCGGTCGACCAGTGCATGGCGTAAATCTTTGCGAGGTGACCCTTCAGCGTCCGGCGCGGCTTCATGCCAATTCGAGGGAGGGTATCGGTCTGGTTCTGCGCGACTTGGCGGACTGCGGAGAGGGAGGTCAGCAACTCATTCCAATTCATCGTAATCTATTCGCCCACTATGCCTCTCCTGAGACAGTGGTCCATCAAGAAAAAGACGATTATTGGGTTCGAGAGACGAGAGCGGACAATCCAATGGGGGGAAAATCGTACGTGAAGTGTCGGCTAGCTCATCCTTGCGACGCCTGATCTTGTCCTTCAAACCCTCAGCTTCGCGCCTGGCCGCAGTAATCTTGGCCTGCATTTGTTCGCCCGTCATATCTGCTGCCATCTTGCCGAATTAAAGAAGACCCCTGATGACCGTTGGAGTGGGCAGAAAGGGGAGCGAAGGAAACGAGGTTCCAGGGGGGTGGGTAGAAGGCGGAAGAGGGAGGTTGGCGGTTGGCGGTTGGGTGTGGGAGAGTCGGAAAGGGTGTTAGAGGGGGGCAAGTTGGGACGAGGGGGCTGAAAGTGGAGCGAAGAAGACACAAGGTGGGAAGCGACCGAGTCAGGGCCTCAAGCTGCGATCATAATACGCATAAAATGATCACTTGCAAGAGGGATTGATGATGGGGGGAAGTAGATTCCTGTATGAGTTCCACGTCGCTCAAAGGGAAGGGGAAGGGAAAAGGAAGAGAGGGATTGGATTGAAGGTTTCTGGGATTCTGACCAGGGGGGAGGGAAAGAGAGCGAGAGCGAAGGTCTGTACATGATACGGACTCCGTACGGGTTGGTTACGATTGGTACGGGCCGGTAAGGTCACCTTTTGAGGATACATACGTATGTATTTACCACGGTGGCTGGCCCAGACGCCCTGTAGATGTATTGCGGGCTGCTAGTGGTAACGGAGTGACACCGAGACTTGGTACTGTGACAAGATAGCGACAACGAGAGCAAACACGAGCATCGAGACCGTTGGAAGAGCCTCTCGATTTGGATGGTATTACATTTCATCGGGTCAATTGGGCTGCTATGTATAGATACATCAAGTCTTTATATCGTCATCGTGCCTTGGATAGAAGTTTAATGGTTCGATAGTAGATTCATCATATCTACCTGTTCCACTGCGTAAATGATGGCGGGCGCACCAGGCCGAGGGCTTAGTGGAGTTAAAAATACACCGATACACGCCCACAGGGAAATAATCCCTCCGGGTACCTGATTATGTATCTTTAACTCCGTCGGGGCAGCTCTATTGCTTTTTTTCTTAGTTTGTTATCAAGCAGTAATGCCTGAATGAATACTACCATATGTCCTCCCACAGGATAGTAGGGCTTAATCGTACTAGACATAAGCCTGCATGAACGCAATCCCGAAACGTGAATCGAATCCCTAATCTCCCAAGCTGACAGCTGATGCCATCCTGGCCGATAAGTTAGTGACATATTCTGCCGCTTAATAACGTATGGCGAGGCCTTTCACCCCCGGAGCTATTCCAACTTCTATTCAAAGAAAAAATATCCTCCATAATGACAAAGACCACTAATGACAAGCGCTTCAATTTGAGGATCATGGAGGATCATTTCAAGTACAGGTCCCACCAGCGCTAAAGATCGTCCTAGTACCGCGGGTGATCCTGAATGCTCCATAAACACGGTCTTTAGTGATCACCTTCAAAAGCAATTCCTACACTCAAGAGGGGAACATACAGGCAACATTCAGGGTGCACCTAAACAATAGAGTACTGTTAGAGATGTAAATCGTTACTAATTATAGTGAGGTCAATAGTGCGCCCCAGTTTCGACAGCAGCATGCAACGATACAGTAGGCCCTGGTATGTACTCCGTACGACGCAGGGTATTTACTGTACGGACTATACTGTTTTTCCCCAGGATGCTGGAACTACTCCGTACGGGAGCAACAAACCAGAATGATGGGTCAGGCACTTCGACTCTCCCTCGAACCCCTGTGCGTCGTTTTCTTTTATTCTCTTTTTATTTTCTGACCTCGACGTCCAACTCCAGCCGGCGGCTATTACCTGCTCTTGTTTTTTATCTTTCCCCATGTTTCTGATTGGCTTTGCTTCCCCCTATCGTCATTGCCCACAGATTCTGAGGATCTTTCCCTCCTTCTGCTGTCAGTTGGAACTCCGCCAGTAGACGCCAAAGCGCGGAGTTGGAAAGAACTCTTAGTCTTGAAGGGGATGGCTCCCGTTTTCGGTACTCTGCTCCGATACCCCGATCAATTTGTATCATTTCATGCTATGGGCGACCGTGCTTGGTAGGATTATTGCCATGAGAAAAACAGTCGTTGCCATTTCGACTGCCAACAGCCAAAGTAATATCCCATGTCCCATGTCGACATGTGCTGGATCCTCGGGCATGGTGGTACAGTACGAGCCATACATCTCATACTGTACGCGCTTATACGTACACACTATTGGATACCACGATACGGGCCCCATACTCATCTCCGAGTCCATACCGAAGTATATTCCGTAAGAATAATTACTCCGTACAAAGCTACTTCACGGAGGGAGTTGGACGAGACTAACTACAGTAGCCACATCTGTTCCTGCCGGACCCATTGTCCACCAACAGCACTTGCAGCCATAGACTGGGTCCAAGCTCTCGCACCAGTGCATTTCTAATCGTTTTTGATCCTTTTCAGTCTCCACCAAACCGGCTGAATAATCTACTGTGCAATGACCACCCCTAGAAAATATATCCTAGGCCTCACAACTGAACAACTCCTAGAGACTTCGAGTTGATAAATCCGCATGATGCCCCAGATGTCCCCTCCCTCCCTCTCCGTCCCGGTTCCAGCCGTTAATCCTACCAAAAGGGGCTTTCAATCTCACTAGATTGCGCAGTGCCGAAAGGCCTCGCAATTTTCTAACTGGGTGCCGCAGGGAGATGAGATCCCCCCACTGCCCGACGGTCTCTGGAGCCCCCTATTTTCCCGGACCCCCAAAGAAGAGGCTCGGTTTGATATGGGTGCGGTCGATCATTATTTACGGTGTACGGAGGACATATTCCAGATGACGGCACCGTAATTCCTGGCCATGAAGTGCAGCCGGTTCTCATGACAAATCCATCTGAGACCTAGTAAGATTGGGGTAACAAGCAGATAGATTATCTCAGAGTGGAATTTTGATACATTTTCCTACATCTGCTCCAGGCGTCGGCACTGCTGAGCCGGGACCCCCAAACTGGTTGTGCAAAGGCCCACTACTGACTGTTGAACGTGCCAACCCCTCTCTCTCTCTCCACCAGGATCCCCACTCGTCGTTGAAGATCTACACAAAGTGTACATCAAAATTCAATAGGATGCGCTGGTCGCATCAATACGGCCTGGGCAGCGTCCTCCATGTACGACCGTGCTGGCGCAGCGTCGATTCCCACGTAATGTCTGACATGAGGCGATCTGTTAGGGGCGATCGAAACGGCTGCGCCGCTAGTGACTTGAAGAGTAAAACCCTACGCATCATGGGCCAGCAGTTGAGTCATTGGCTCATGACACTATCATGATAGAAAGTGCCGACGGCAAAAGGACTTGAGAACTACTATCCCATTGACAGATTCGTCAGCCTGACTAGTGACGGTCCGGCTCTCACTGCGCAAGGTCGGCCCGACGGCATTCACAGGTTACGGTGAGGTGTGCGATTCTGCGTAGGCGCATACAACGGCAAAACTATTGTGCTATACGCCATGACCGAGGGAAATGGGGCTCCTCCAATTGACGGAAGGATAAATCATAGTATGATTCGCTCTCTGAGCCAGGCAGATCATTTTATAGCGAGTAGACATTCTACCCGTTATGCCCCCTGATCGTCGCTGCTCCAGACCTTTGTCGAATCCTAACTACCTCGACACCGACTCGAAGACACCTTGAAATTTAGTATCCTGTGTTCCAGGATAGATGCACAGCTTTTTTAAATCAACAAAAATCCTCGCCAGGGGTGGTTACTCGAGGAGAATGGGATACTCCAGTCAGACCATCAACGATCGGCTGATCTATCTACCTTGGTGGTTTCCCCTAAAGGTCATATCCCTCTTGGCTCTAGTCAAGAAAACGTTCATTCTATAGGGGTATTCGGGTATTTCATAGTGCATTCTGTCTCGTTGATCATCACGTGTACGTCGAATTGGGAAGATCGGTAGTCTAATACTGTATCGGATGTCGGGACTCGGCATTGCGAGGAAGAGCGACTCGAATGTGGAATCTAAAGAATAATCCATTCATTATGGAAATGTGGCCAAGTTGTATGTATTAGATAAATTGAGGAATAAGTGGTCCTTTCTTTAGATATTCTGATGTATCTTCATGGTTGACTGATCTCGATTACGGCACATCCTGGGCTCTGAAGCCCTTGGTCCTATCAGCTTTGTCACCCTCAGTCATCCGGGCATTAGCCGCCACGAGGGATCGAATTAGCCCTGCAGCACACGTCGGAGATTTCTATGAACGCGAAGGCAGAATAGCGGAAATAGGGATGAGTAAATAGAGATGAGAGTTCTAGGGGTCGTTCTCCCAGAAATTTTATGAACTTTGATCACGGTGTATCACGGGAAAGAGAAAATTAGAGTGACCGGTAAAAATAGCAGGGCAAGAAAATCAGGCAGAGTTCAGAGTTGAGGGTGGCGGGAGCCAATCCTCGGGTGCCGTAATATTAAGGAGGCACCTGACGCCTCTCCGCTTTCGCCCTCAAAAGGCTTTTCAACTTCACCCATCTCCCTTACCAACGACCCTACGATCGGATTCGCGATCTTTCCATCGATTTTGCATTCATTCATTGATTCTTTCTTTTAATCCGACTCTCAACCATCTACTCACCCCTAACTCATCTCGTTGACGCCCCATTCTCGCCTGCTCAGTCTCGTTCTCGTGGAGTCATCCTAAGTCTCCTCCCCTCCTCCACCTCCCAACCCCCTCTCGCTTCCCTTCCCCTCATTCTCGGGAAACCCATCAAGCGCTGTATATACTCCCCTGGACCGGTGATTCCTAATGGCTTTTGGTGGATCTAAGCACTTCTTTTGAGGGTTTCTTGATCTCATCGCCGTGGGCGCCATCCCTCCGGTTAGGGGTTGAAATACCACCATTTGGGCATCTTCAAGGTCCCCATCGCCTTGCCTGTTTTCTTTTATCGAATCTTTTGGATGCGAAACACATCCATCACGCCTACTTTGATTTTCTCGTATCGTTTGACTCGGTAGTCGCTACTCCCGTTCATCATGCGGGAAGTCAACTTCAGCATCCCCAATGTGAACAAGGCTTCGGTCAACATCACCACCACCCTTTATGACCGTCGTGCCCTTGATTGCACATCGACCCTCCCACTCATCAACTCTCTCAATCACCTGGCATACCTCACAACCTCGTCGGCACGGATTAGGGACATCTTGACGGTCGATGGCGGCATCGAAAGACTTGTGTGCATCCTGAAGGAGGGCAGGAGCAAGGATTTGATGGAAATGTGGAAATGGAGTCTCGCCTTTCAGTGTGTTGTCAACATCGGAGTACGAGGCTCGGAAAGTGTGCGCACCAGAGTGGTCGAGGCCGACATGGTCCCCGTCATTGCCACTATCCTGGACAACTACATCAAGGTGGTGGACAAAGTGCGATCGCGCGCCGAGCCCGAGTCGCAAAAGCATGCCTCGAGTCGCCAGGCTATCAAGCCCGGTTCTTCTAGTCGTGAGGCCCCCGAGCGGACCGCCCCCGTGGAAACGGGCAGCCACGCCGAAGCCCGCCCCTCCTCCCGCCGACAGGCTCCTCCCCCAAGCATTGAAATTCCCCAGTCCGACTACCAAGATAACCAACCGACCGACTCCGATGCGATGGACATCACCTCCCCTCCCCGTGCACCCATGACATCACCCCCCGAACGAAGTACGTTCCGACAGGATGTTCACAACCACCGAGCCCACGATGGCCGGTTCTCTCGGACGAGCCATCGCTTGCGAGCGATGCAACCGCTCGCCACCGCCGTTCCCCCGATCGATACCGCCGAAGCCTTTGGTCTACGACCCGTGCGTGATGCCGAGCGCCTGCCGAGCATGCTACCTGGGCTGCAAACCGGTATCATCTCACAGCCCGACTCTCCGACGACACCCAGTGGACCCATTCAGTCCCGAAGCATTCCTCAAGCGGCACCCGCACGGCAGCGGCCCGCAATTCGGCAGCAAACGTCGGCCTCGGGTGAATCGGACGATGCAAATGGCGAGGACTCGACCATGGGAGACGATCCTGTTTTGGGACAGAATTCAGATCCCATCGTTGGACTGCCTAACCGAATGGAGATCGACGGTGTCGATGAACAACAGACGACCATGATCGACGATGTCTCTCCTGCACATGGCCTGACCGTGACCGATCCTTCGGAAGAGGGCCAGGATGCCGAGACCTTCAACATTGCCCATCGGTCTGCCGTTGATGGCAGCATCATCAACAACAACGGCACCACGCAACCCAACGGCGGGCTAGGTCTTTCGCCCACTCAGGCTCCGAACAACCCCAACTCCCCAACCCTTGCTCCTAGTCCCTATGCCATGTACCTGCGCGATCGAAACACACCCGCAACCCAGAGCGTTCTTACCACCATGCCCCGGGATGAGGATGTCCTGATGTCACTGCAGCTCTTGGCTTATGTATCCAAGTACTGTAACCTGAGGTCGTATTTCCAGCGCTCTCACCTCGTGCCCAAGCTCAAGATCGACCGGGAGTTGCATCTTCTCGACGAGAATGCAGACCCGTCTTCTCCCATTGAGGTTGAGGAGGAGGACGAGTATCTGCTGCCAGACGATGTCAATATCTTCCCCCTGGTTGAAAAGTTCACCGTTCGGCACCACTCGAAGGACATGCAGTATTGGGCCTGCGTGGTCATGAGAAATCTATGCCGCAAGGATGAGTCTCGAGGCGGCATCCGTCAATGCGCGTATTACAAGTGCGGCAAGTGGGAAGAGTTCCAGCGCCAGTTCGCCAAATGCCGTCGCTGCCGCCGCACCAAGTATTGCAGCAAAGACTGCCAAAAGGCCGCGTGGGTCTACCATCGCCACTGGTGCCATACTACTCCTTGATACGAATCCATCGCCCTCTACAACCCCTCACCACATACCACCAATCCCATCATATCTCCTCCTGCCGATCTCGATGTTCGAGTTCTGTTTTTGATTTTCACAAATGCATATTGGCTCTCGCATAGCGTCATATCGCGTCCACCCTCTATTGTTTGATTCAAGGTCTTACGTCTCACTTGCGCATGGCATTGCAAAATCTGGTGGCGTTTCCAATTCGACAAACATCACCCCCCAAGATACCTATTTTTCCGCATGTTTTGAATTTTTCATTTAGCTTTTCATCGTCTCTTCCAACAGCTTTACCTCGAACATGGTGCTTCTTTTATGTCTTCCCATAACGTCAAGGGTACCTACCATCCAGACTAATGGACACCCTACCACATTACATCATTACTCATATTTCCCAACAGCCCGTTATGAGTGTATATTTGTTCTTTGTTCACATTGTTTCATGGTGGACTCCGCTGTCTTAGGGGTCCCTCCTTCGTCCGATCTACCAGGTTTTATCACCTTGCACACACTGCACTTTTCATTTTTCTTTTCCCTCGTACTTAATCGTTCTGTCACGAGTCTCTTATGTCCGTAAATGGGCAACACTACCGACCGGTTCGACCGTTCCAGCACGGGAGCATTCTCCTTGTGCAGTCCCATCTATGATGTCACGTCTTTTGGAGGGTCCTTTTGTTCTGGTCTATGTGCACTTTGCCTCCATGGCAGCGGCGTTTTTCTTCTCTCTTTTACTCTCATTGGCACCGCCGTTTCGAAATGAATGAACCCATTTGCATCTGATTTTTCCCCCTCGAGTAGACAAGTAAATACGAAACCCTATGATTGCCTGCTTTCTCACAGTCTCTGCTATTTCTCCTTTGTAAACCCATACGTCGCCGCTAGCCTGGACTCCAAATGCTCCGCCGCAGTCAACGGCCTCTTGCCGGGCTCCAAGCTGCCAGCACCACCTCCAAACCCAACCGCCCCATCCCCCTTCAACCCACCGGTCTTCTCCCGATGCGCCGCAACGATCTTGCTCGGCACTGGCACCAACTCCGTCGTATCAACGGGATGACAGAAATACACCAACGTATACCGATCCTGGGGATTCGGCTTCCGCTGCTCGGCGAGGGGAAAGACCACCCGGTGCACGGTGGACTTGAGCAAACCGTCCGTCCAATAGCTCAGCAAATCGCCAATGTTGACCAAGATCGGCGGGAAGGGGAATGCGTCGGGCTTGTCGCCTGGGATGATAGGAACGGGGGCCCAGGATCCCTCGGGCGTGAGGATTTCGAGGCCCGGTTGGCCCGGCCGTTGGAAGAGGAGGGTTATACTGCCGTAATCAGAGTGGGCGCCCGCTCGGACGTCCTTGTCGTGTTTGTAGGATGCCGTTGCTGGGGAGAAGATGGATGGATAGTAGAGGTAGCGGAGGATGCCGCCTGTGGGGCCCAGGCTAGGGTCGTGGCGGGTGGTGAAGAAGTCTTTGGGGATCTGTAGGGGGTTGGGTCAGTATTTGCACATTTTATATGGGTATTTGGTAGGTTTGTTTACTTACCTCCAGGCCCAGGGAGAGCAGGGTCAGAATTCTGGTGCAGGTCTTGTTGCAGAGTTGGGCAAAGTCGTGGATCTCTGACTCATGGGGTGCCAGCGATGCTGGGAGAGGCTGTTGCGCTTTGCCATCTTTGAAGTCGCCAAAGTTCATGGCTCTGTGATCATTGTCAGTGGTTCTTCTAGATTGAAATTGATCTTGGTATTGATATGCATGTAACATACTCCTTGAAATCGCCCGTCTGTAGAACATGGTTAGCCTAGTCAACGGAAATTCTAGACAGAATTCTCCAACGTACCCGCTGATGCTCGGGGTCCAGAGTCTCCCTGTGCATGCCAGACCAGCCGCGGTTCTAGAATATATAAAGAGATATCGAGTCAGTCCGTGTTTGCTAGCGACCGTATCTCATAATACAAGCACTGGACAAGGATGACCAACGTTCGGCGTAATGCGGCAAGTCTCCTTCTCGGACGTAGGAGACGCAAAGAACTTTTTCGACTGTACGGACTATTAGCTTGTCGTACTAAAGTCATGAATGGGGGGATACGTACGAGTTCAAAACCACGGTCCACGTCCTCCGTCGTGAAATCCGTACCCTTGCTGTTCACATACAAAAAGCCATACTTGGCTGCCGCATCGAGCATCGCCTTCCCCACGGCGGGGTCATGGGGATCAGAGATGTCGATGACGGGCAACTCAATTGGGATCGCAGTCTCTGCCATGGTGGATGGTCGATTTAGCTATTAGACGAGACAAAGGGGACAGATCCAGGAAAGATTGAGCGTATGTTGGAGCTTCCTTCAGAGATGTGGGGGAGGAGTAGCTTCGAGCCAACGTGAAGAATTGGAGAATTATATAGATTGGGGTGTTAGCGCTAGGGAGATATCGGTTACCTGAGGCGGCAGAAAAATCGGGGCCTATCGCGGTTATCAGCCAACCGTGTAAGATTGGTTATCTGGCCCGACTAATCGGCTAATCGAGTCGACTAAGAGGTTTTGTCCATGGATGGGTCTCGTAGGGTGGATTCCGCGCGTAGGCGATATCCGACGCGCAGATTGGCAGGACGACCCCGCCATGAACTAATCACGGTAGGGTAGGTACATTCCCCTGGCCGACTGGATGATTAGATGAACGGTACTCCGTATAAAGGTTTCCACATTGCTATCTGTTAGCTTCTACGTGTAATTATGCCGGATACTCTTTTGAAAAATCGAGGACGTCACGCAAAGTGGACATCTCGGGAGTTTCTACCAGCGACTAAACTAAGCTTCTCGAGTGATAGGTAGACAAATTCAATTCTGCGCGAAGAGTCAGCCGAGCTAGAGACTCTTTCCGATTGTATTGGTAGAATAGGCTGTAGTGGTGGGGGGACAGATTTGGGCTTGTAATATGTATAGCGTTGAAGGGGAAGATAACTTGCAGCTGCAGAGATGTCATTTATTTGAGTAAAGGGGGCCACGACCTAGTAAATTGGCTTCAAAACTGATCATAGATATGAAAGAAAGGTACCCATGATTTCTCCATGATTTCTACAACAACTGTCAGTCTAGATAAGCCTCTATATTTACCCTGTTGCATGTGATCATTTGCCCAGAGAGTAGACTTGAGCTCGAATGGGGCCCACCGCGCGGTGGAACAAATATTTAGGTTATGTAGAACAGATCCAGAAGGCTTTAAGGTTGCATAAAGTCGATCGAGTAGATCATTCTAGAGCTTAAAAAGCAAGATTCTAGCTATTCATATTCAGAGCGCTTTGAGGGAAAAAGGGTGGTGCCGTTCGTATGTTTGCTGTCTGAAAAAAAAATAACACTGGCCAACTGTGCTTCCTCCGCTTTCCCCCCCCTCGTCATTCCGCAACTCCATCGCAACCTCATCTCTATCCGACCTGCCCGCTCTTCCTTCCTCCCCCCCTCACTCCTCTCCCACGCTTTTTCAAGGGCCTCAATGCTCGGCGTTTAGCCGCACTATCTGCCCGTCAGCTTCACAACCATGCCGAGTGAGTCCAAGCCACCAACGACCGCCCCGATCTGACCTTCCAACCCCAAGTCGCTAACTGGGACCTTTCTTCCTTAGTCCGTCCTCTCGATGAATGGACCGTGGGCCGTACCCAGTCCCTCCCTCTCTCCGCGCTAAAGGGCGCGGTCATTGGTCTCGATGCGTCGCACTACATTCAACAACACCTGGTGAACCAGTCCACCCGGGAGGCCCTGCTCGGCGCTCTTGGCGGCTTTCCCTTCGCCTTGAAAGCCAACATCGAAAAGGAGCTACAGACCTTCAAGAGTCTCGGTGTTGGATGCATCTTCGTCTTCAATGGACTGGATTTTGGCAAGAAAGATGAGAAGCCTCGCAACCAGTCCGCCATGGCACGCTCATTCGAGCAGGCCTGGGAGCTCTACGATCAGCAGCAAGCGGACCAAGTTGTGGATGCCTTTAGCAATGCCGGTATGACTGATTTCCTTGCTCGGATGTCGGATATCTGGTCCCCTTCGCCCCCGCCCAGACTCCTTCGTACCTTACCGCCGGTAGCCTTAATCGACGCTGATGTGAATACCTCAGGGACCCCACCCCCGGAAACCCTCTACAAGTTCCTGCAGCGAATCCTCTCCCAAAATGGAGTCTCATTCATGGTGGCGCCCTATAGTGCCTGTGCGCAGGTGAGTACTGAGAGTTATTATTCATAGAGAAGCTGCGACTGTTATTCGTCCACAGGCGCTGCAGGGAAGCCCTTCGAAACTGACCCAGTGTATCTGAGTAGCTCGCCTATCTCGCCCGTGGCGCCAACCCCGTGATCGATGCCATTTACGGGCCTTCCGAAACGCTTCTATTTGACATCGAGAAGCTTGTGACGCGCATTGAAATCGAGCCCGCCCAATTCTCCTGGCTCACAAAGCAGACTCTCCTGGAAGAACTCGGCCGTCTATCTAATGATCAATTTCTAGAATTCTGCCTGCTCCTCGGGTCACCATTCCTGCGATCATTCCCGCTATTCGAGAGTCCTGCCTTCCCCGGGAAGCTCCCTCTCGTCCGCGATGCGCTGCCAATGTTCAATGCCGCCGGCCGAAGTGCCTTGGCCTTGTGTGCTCAGATTGAAGATGAGCGTCGTGTGCCCGAGCTCGACTACACGAAGCGATACAAGCGCGCATATTTGGTTGTCAAACACCATGTGATCATTGATATTGAGGGACGAGTTGGTCCCATGGACCAGGAGCATACCTCGTCGGACATGCACGAGCTCATCGGCCTGCGCCTCCCTGAGGAGCTGTACTTCTATCTGTCCAAGGGTGTCCTTGGCCGAGATATTCCCAACTTCCTCACATCGGGCGAGGTACGTCTCTCGCTCCCTCTGGGAACCGAGGACACTGAGGTATACCGTCAACTTGTGGCCGATACTTTGACTCCCATTCGGGCACAGTCAATTGGCCTCTTGGCCAATTGCCTCCACAGATTCTATCAGACCAAAATCATCACCATTAAACCTTGGTTTGATGAAAACTCAGAAGAGAGGCAGATCAACCTCAGGGAGCTCCCATCAGTCAGAGAGACCGTTCAGGCTTGGAGGGTATCCAGTGATAAGTTCCCCGAAGACGTCAAGAAGTTGCAGGCGCCGCGGGGGTCCTTCAAGTTTGCCATCCAGAGCTTGAACAACTCTGAATTCGTGGCCAAGACATTCGCGACGAGAGAGACTCCTGTACGTTGAACTCTTAGGCGGAAACACCCCCCCTTCCTCCATCAAGCTGACATTTGCGTATAGATCCTGTCAAAGCAAGAAGATGTGTTGTCCAACGTTATGTGGCGTTTCTTGCAGCTGCGTGGGTACGTCGACAACAAGCACAGACTGACTGCATGGGGCAAGTGCCTAGAGCAAGCTCTCTCGGCGGTGGACCCTGCCGATAATCTGGAGGATGCCATTTTCATTGCCATCGAGATGCTTCGGATGAACCTTCTTAACACGAAACATTGGTTCTCACATGTTTCCGGCGGCCCGATGAGAGGCTCGGGTAAGTTCTCTTGTCAAAAACCTGGGTATTTCCAGCAGACGAGACTGACTTGACCGTACAGAGGAGGACAAGACTTTCAATATGCTGGTATCCCGTGTGGCATGTATCGCGAAGTTGCAACACAAGCCTATCGGATACTCCGGCCCTCTTAGCCGACAACTCCTTTGCTACCGTTCCCTCATTTCCGAAGTTCGCACAGCATTGAGGAATCTCATTGAGGTTGTGCTGGCGGGTTTGCTCCTGAGTGGTGAGGTTGATCGAGACCGCAATGACTGGGTTGAGCTAGGAATTAAGTATGTATCCTTTCTAAACCCTCACGTGTCTCACTTGCGAGAATCAACTAATTCTTCAATAGGCTTCCCTTTATTGACGATAATGACTGCGGTCTCGGTATCGCTGTCCGGACCTATTTGGATGATCTCCCTCTGCAAGCGAACCCCACCTCGCCCGAGGCTCGGCAAGAGGTTAAATCAAAGGGCAAGGAATGGTTCCAGCATAGCGAGAGCTTCACGGGAAATCTGGATTTAGCCTTTAAGCTGTGGGATGCGGTACGTACCCGTAGTATTTCTTCGGGTCTGCAATTGGATTTCAGCTAATCTCTACATATAGGTTTACAAGGGTTCCCAGAACGCGGACGACCACGAGTTCAAGGAGGCAAAGCTTTGGGATGATGCTAACAAGTGGTTGGCGGAGAGGCGTTGAGAGAGTAGACGATTCTGATGTGAGAGCTACATCAACTATCGGATGCATCTTTATGAAGGAGAAATTTCGGGCCTTATGTGTACGCGGGTCGCAATTGAGTTTCATGCCTATGACAGCTCAACGTGCAGAAACTATTTTCTACGTGAGCATCAGAGGATGTGACGTTGGCGAATTTCTCTATTTGTATTACTACTTTAGTAATAAGGAAACGAAGTAAATAACCCCTGACGGAGAATAAGGTATAAACTCTTGTGTAATAGTCAAGTATGTCCAGTATCAAGTTGCGATTGTCACCGGATCACTCCCGTGGTTGATAATCCACCGAATGATCTACAGTGTGGGACGAACCACTTGGCCTCTTCGGGGATGTTTTGTCATCAGTGCCAAAGAAGCCCCCGGACCTCGCCATCCACCTTTCCCTTTCGTCTCTTCCAGAAAGTTGATCATACATTCAATTGATTAATTTCATATCCACAAAAATAATATCAAAATGGCTCGTCTGAGCTTCCTGCTGCTCGGCGCCCTTTCCGCGCTCAGCGGTTTCGCCAACGCCAGCTCCGCCGTTACGGACCTGATCCCCAGCAACTTCGACCAGATCGTCCTCAAGTCCGGCAAGCCCGCTCTCGTCGAGTTCTTCGCCCCCTGGTGCGGCCACTGCAAGACCCTTGCTCCCGTCTACGAGGAGCTCGCCGCTACCTTTGCTTTCGCCGAGGACAAGGTCACCGTCGCCAAGGTCGATGCCGACGAGCACCGTGATTTGGGCAAGCGCTTCGGCGTCCAGGGCTTCCCTACCCTGAAGTGGTTCGATGGCAAGAGTGATAAGCCTGAGGAGTACCAGGGTGGCCGTGATCTGGAGAGCTTGTCCAAGTGGATTACCGACAAGACTGGTATTAAGCCGCGCGGTGCTCAGAAGGAGCCCAGCAAGATTGAGTTCCTGAATGACGCTACCTTCAAGACCGCCGTGGGTGGTGACAAGAATGTCCTGGTTGCTTTCACTGCGCCGTGGTGCGGCCGTGAGTAGCTTCTACACATATCCTTTTACTGTCTGTGGACGTTCTCATTGACTAACCACGTGCTTCTCTCTGTCTAGACTGCAAGACCCTCGCTCCCATCTGGGAAACCGTCGCCAATGACTTCGCTCTCGAGTCCGACATTGTGATCGCCAAGGTCGACGCCGAAGCTGAGAATGCCCGCGCCCTGGCCAAGGAGCAGGGCGTCACCGGCTACCCTACCATCAAGTTCTTCCCCAAGGGTTCCACTGAGCCCGAGGCCTACTCTGGCGCTCGCTCTGAGGAGGCCTTCGTCGAATTCCTGAACACCAAGACTGGCTCTAACCGCGCCGTTGGCGGTGGTCTGAACGGCAAGGCTGGCACTGTTGCTGTCCTGGACAAGCTGGTTGCCGAGTACGTGCCTGCTAAGAACTTCGAGAAGCTCGCTACCGAGATCAAGAAGGCTGCCAAGGATCTGCAGGACAAGTACGCTCAGTACTACGTCAAGGTTGCCGATAAGCTCGCCGAGAATCAGGAGTATGCCGCCAAGGAGCTGGCTCGTCTGGTCAAGGTCCTGGGCAAGGGTGGCTCTGCCCCTGAGAAGCTTGATGATCTCGTTTCGCGCAGCAACATTCTCCGTGGCTTTGCCGGCGAGACTGTTGGCAAGGATGAGCTGTAAGCTTGTTTTGTCGTGACTTGTTGAGTATATTGGAAATTGGTATTGGAACCCTCTCATTTGCGTCCCAAACACCCTGCTATGAAACCGTGGAAAAATGATTGGTATCTTTTTTCACTGGATTGTATGAATTAAGACATGTCGAATGCAGCCGGGCGGGTTCTTTTTAGGAGGAGACCTAGGCATCTGTATACGAGAATAGATTCATTGCTTGAAGATATGCATTTTATCTGAAAAGTACGTCTTCTCCAGACGCAGGGTATCTTGGTTAAAAACATCAAACAAAGACGAAGCTGTAGAGAGGCAAAGGCGAGCGCCAGTCCGACAAGTAAAAATATGAGTCGTAGCAGCAGTAGCAGCATTGCATGCGCAGGTCGAGAATCAGGCTGCAACGCTCACTTGTCATCTCCCATCATGTGATATTATATAGTGCGTACAGTCAACAAATCGACCATTATTGAGAGGGAGTCGCGGTTGCCGAGTCGGTGCCCGACGCTGTCAATGAGGCCTCTAGCTCGTCGAGGCGGCGGGTCATGTCATCCACTGGCAGGAGATTAGTACTGTGTAGAATAGCGAGGAGGTATGGGTGATTTGCATAGTGGACGGGGGGCAGGAATAAGACGCACATTTGCCAAACATTTCCTTGGAGACATTGTCGAATTTGCTCTGGAGTTGGTCGAGCAGCTCGTCAACAGCTGCGGTGAGTTGGCCTTGGGCGTCGGAGTTCTAGAATTGGTCAGTGGGATTTCTGGTTGGGGGTTGGTAGGAGGTAAGAAATTCGTACCGGCTGTGACAGAAAAGACTCCTCGGCGGTAGTCTTCTCAGGAGAGGCTTCCTCGGCCATGATGTGCAGCCAAAGTACTAAACTGATCCGAACAAGAATGCGGGAGTAATTCACCATGGATGATGCAGCAACGCTTCGATAAGACCGGATCATCACGTTACTCCGCTCCCGACACCCGCTAACCCCGTTTGGTGCCTTATCGCTGCGCTAACCCGATTAAGATTGATCCGAGTTCAAAAAAATCCCGTACCATCAACCCAGCTAGTTTTCTCAACGCCGTTACCAACCCCCAATCTTCCCTCAAAACAGGCATAATGGTCAAGCGAAGCAAGCTCCTCCAGACGCTCGATGCCTCTCGGGGCCGGGATTACAATGCCGAGAAGCAGAAGAAGATGGTCAAGGCCGCTGAGAAGCGCAAAGCCTTGAAGAAGACCGATACCAGCACGGAAGCCAGCAAGGAGCCCGAACAGGACGAAGTCGCTGCTTCCGAGGACGAAGAGGTTGAGGAGGAGGTTCAACAAGAGGACGAGGTCGAAGATGTCGAGGAAGACGAGGAGGAGAACGGCGACGACGACGAAGAGGAAGAAGAGGAAGACATCCCGCTATCAGACCTCGAGGACGACGAGCGCGAGGATGTGGTCACCCACCAGCGTCTCACCATCAACAACTCCGCCGCGATTAAGACCTCCCTCAAGCGCATCTCCTTCATCACCAAGAACACCCCATTCTCCGAGCACAACTCGTTAGTGTCGCAAGAGCCTATTGAAGTGACCGATCCCAATGACGATCTCAACCGTGAATTGGCCTTTTACAAGGTCTGCCAGGCCGCTGCCATTGAGGCCCGTGGCTTGCTCAAGAAGGAAGGTATCGCGTTCACCCGTCCCGGTGACTATTTTGCCGAGATGGTCAAGAACGACGAGCACATGGACAAGATTAAGAAGAAGCTGTACGAAGAGGCGGCTGGCAAGAAGGCCGCTGCTGAGGCGCGCCGCCAGCGTGATCTCAAGAAGTTCGGCAAGCAGGTGCAGGTCGCCAAGTTGCAGCAGCGTGCCAAGGAGAAGCGTGATACCCTTGAGAAGATCACTGCCTTGAAGAAGAGTATGTTTATCCTTTCCCACGCCGGAAATTTCTAAGAACTATGGACGATGGCTAATACTTACTTCCTGCACAGAGCGCAAGGCTGACTCATCTGCTCCCACTGACGACGCTAACGATCTCTTCGACGTCGCCATCGAGGAGTCAGGCAAGCCCGAGAGGCGCAACCGCGAGGGTGGCCCCAACGCCAAGCGCCAGAAGCGCGACCAGAAGTTCGGCTTCGGTGGTAAGAAGCGCTTCTCCAAGAGCGGTGATGCCGCGTCCACCGGCGACCTCCGTGGCTTCTCTCAAAAGAAGATGAAGGCTGGCGCGTCCAAGCGGCCCGGTAAGAGCAAGCGCGCTGCGGCCAAGGGTCGCTCGTAAAGCTTGTCTTTTCCGAACGTGACGTGAGTGAGCTGGATGTGCGGGTTATTGTCATTTTGAGGAAGGAGGATGATGATGGCGCCAGGCGCAACAAAATTTTTTTATCGATGGATATCCGCCTTGGCTTTTCTGTAATATCTAGAATTTTACCCTGCATTTGCACATGGTCAATTGATTTACCCTTTTACGGTTTATGCCTGATGTTGGAAAGTTTGAATAAGAGACGTTTGATTTGAATACGAGTAAGTAGACTGACCATGTACCGTCGTGAAAACCCAAATACTTTGGGAAAAGAGCCGGGATGGAGGAAATGGATAGCTTATTTTTGTTTTAAAGGTGCATGATGCAATATGTATTGTACACAAGCTACTCCCTTGCTTTGCATAACGGCAATGCATCTATTATTGTTGGGCTTTCGCTTTTTCCTCCTCTTCCACCTTAGCAGCCCTCTTGCTCTCCCAGTTTTCGAGGAACTTTTGGACCTTAGGACCCCAGACCTCTTCACCTTGCTCCAAGTCCTTGTATTCAAGGATATTTTCCGGCTTCAGATCAAATTCGGCTTGGCGACTTCGAACGAGCTCGCTCATAAGACCACAGCTACCGACGGCCTTGCCCAGGTCGTGTGCCAAAGAGCGAACATAGAAGCCCGAGGTAACGGTCATGTGAATCTTGACTGCCGCGGGTTGGGGACGAGGCTCATCTGTTTTCTCTGTGGGGGCGTCTTCAGTTGCAGGTTCTGGGGCAACGGGCTCGGATGCGGCGGTGGCTTGGGCTGCACCGTCCTCGGAGACCTTTTGCTTTTTTGCGGCTTCCTGATCTTCTTCCTTCGGCGAGTCTGCTGCGGGTGGCGTCTTTCGCTTAGCAGAAGAAGCGTCTTGATCTGCGGCTTCGCCTTCCACGGGGATCTCAGCTTCCTTATCGAGGAGCTTCTCGGCGATGATCTTCTCATCCCCGGTCATCTCTTCCTCGGGCCACTTGTACTCGTGGGTGCCGGGCTCATACCACTCCACGATCTTCAATTCCACGGTCTCGACGGGCCGGGATTTGATCTCGACGGGTGGCATCTTGCCCTCACGCGCATACTCGTATAGCCTCTTCCCCTCTACTCGCAGTGCCGAAAAGATTGGTGGACGCTGCATGATCTTTCCCCGGAATTGGTCTAGGGCCTTCTCAACTGCCTCCCGAGTAATATGCTCGTATGGTGCCCGGCGCACGATCTTGCCCAAGCGGTCGTAAGTGTCCGTCTCTGCGCCGAATAGAACCACCGTCTCGTAGGACTTGGTGCAGGCCAGGAAGTCATTGAGCGACTTGGTACCCTTTCCAACACCGGCGATCAGCACGCCCGTTGCGAGGGGGTCGAGTGTCCCACCATGGCCGATCTTCACTTCGACTTTCTTGTTCTTGTTACGGCGGCGGTTCTTCTGAAAGCTGCTCTCCTTCTTGCGGAGGGCTTTCTCTGTCTCAATCCATGGTTGGAAGAGCTTGGAGGGGTTGAAGTGGCGCTGGAGGTCGCGGAGGACGTCGGCGGAGGTGATGCCCTGCGGCTTGTGAACGGCTAATCAAGTTAGTTGTCAATGGGAGAAGAACTCGGGTTGATGCATTCTCGGGTGCTGTGACTTACCGAAACAGCCCTCAAAGATCTTCTCGCCAGACATTGCGGTGCGAAACAATCGAAAGTTGCGTGGGAATGGCATCTGTCGCCGTTGAAAGCTGGGGAGGAAAAAAGGTTTCGAGCTGAGAGCCGCAAGTAATTAAATCCGCGGTGTCGTCCGTCAAGGGCTAATCGATAAGGTATCGTCGGGTATCGGTAAGTTACCGGCCATCAAAGGACCTTTACTTGTTGACGGCGCGAGGATTCCAACCTGCTCTCACGTTCTTCACATTCTACGTTCAGGAGGCCTCGAAAATCCCTTTCGACAACCTCTTCCCTCATCCCTCAACCCACGATGATCCCACCGAAGTCATCACAATCATGAGCGCCCGCGAAGATACCGTCCTCCGTCCCATCGATCCCTCCATCACCGACGAGAATGACTGGCCGGATTTCGATCTAGTCGACGTCAAGGTCCTGCGGCCAGGGAAGATGCTCTATGCCAATCTCCTCGATGCCACAGAGCAAAATCCGGTCCAGGTGATTGGCTGCTTGGAGCTGAGGGGGGACCAGAACAACCTACGTGCGTATTCGATTACATGCCTGTGCTGCTTATCGCAAGGCGCGTCCTATCGGCTCATCAACATGTTGTTCACATTTGCGGCTTTTCTTGTCTAGTTCTCGACCCCGAATCAGCTTCGAAACGTGTCATCATCGACGATGTCACTCACTACGCCTATGGCCAGACGGAGGATCGCAGTGTTGAGCTCTGGGTGGCCGGCAAGGCTGGCTGGTATAATATCTCGCCTGCCAAGGGCTACGTGCCGACCTTCAGTCGCATGGTCCAGGCTGTAGATATGTTGTATTTCCTCATGGATCGGCACCAGCATGGCAAGAAGCAAGTAAACCCGTCCTTTAAGCATCTTTGTGAGCAGGTGTGTTCCTCTTCCACTTTACCCCACTTGACGCGTTCTTTCCCGACAACTAACCCCGGACCAGTATGTCTTTCACACACATGGCGATTGCGAGACTAGAGAGCAATCGGCCGAGGTATTTGCGGAGCATGCGCGATTCCTCCTCCGCTGCATGATCGAAGATGACGGGGAAGATGATGGTATGGACTGGAAGAGGACTAATGTATTCGTTCACCTTCGCCGCCAATTTAGCGTGAGTCATCGCAACAGTCGAACATGCTCTATTCATCTGCTGATTCTCTTTCCGCGCAGGATGTCTACAACGAGCTCATGGAAGAGCGATCGAACAAGTCCGAGGATGAAGCAGAGCAGAACGAGACCGCAGTATCAACACCTCGACACGATCCAGCGGCGATAGCGAAATCACAAATTGATGCCATATATCAGATGATAACAGATCTAAGAGAAGAAGGCCATTTAGCAAAGCGCCGACTACATCTCGATCTCTTGACAGAACGTCTAGCCGATCGATATTCTTTCAGTCGGGAGAACGCAAGTAAGATTATTGCTGCTCGAGCAGGGGCGGTCGTCGAGCGGCTAGATGAAGAGGATGCGCCTGGCTTCCGGTGGTCTCGTTATGTGATTCACCGAGAGCTCACACACGCTGCCACTCAAGAAAGTACACTCTCTCCCGGGCTTCTCACACCATTACAACCAATCGATGACTCCAGTGATGATGAACACCTGGGCCACACACAGAAATCGGTCCTGCGGCCCAAGATGAACTCTGTTGTCTCTGGGAAGATCATGGGGAAACGTCATCGCAATGCAGTCATCAACAAGGACGTACAGTCCGATGCCAGCGAACCCGAGGAAGAGGATGAAGCCATGGAAGACACTGAAGATATCGATACGCCTAGCAAGACTCGCGGACATGAGCTGATAAGAACACCTCTTGCCACCGCAAAGTCCCGAGGCCGCTCTCTTCTCCCCAGTTCCGGGTCTGCTGCTTCTTCACTATTGAAGAGCGTACTCTCGTCAGAACCTCCTCAAACGCCATCTCTGCTCTCCAACATGAGTGGAGATATCCTCACCTCCCACCCTCTCGCCGAATTGAATAAAATCTCAGAAATATGGTCATGCCGCATGCCCGGTTGTTCAAAGACCATCTCGACCAAGGGCGACCAACGACAAACAGATATCGAGGCACATGCTACAGATCATGACTGGGAAGCACAGATGCGGATTGAAATAATTGAAGCTGAACGACGTATGCATACCACAATGCCTGTTAGCAACCTTATGCAGTACCTGCTCAACCAGCACGTTGCGCAGATGCGCTCTGCTTTCCCCGAAAAATATCCGGCAAATACGGAGAATGGGGAAGCGAATGGAACCAAGGAACCTTCTGAATCAGCTCGGAATGGAGATTCAGCACCGTTACCCAATGGCCAGGACTCCAGGGATCTGGATGATGATCATGAGGCAAATGGTCAGACGCCCTGAGATGATGGTCTTGGACATAGCTTTTCAAGCTCGTGATGCATCAATTTCGAAACGACATCACATGAACATACTGCCAAAAGATTAGCTTTTGAAGCTGATTTTGATGTTGGGGGTTGTAAGTATCGTCCTCACGTCCTTGGTGAACATGCCAAACTGACCAGATGCTTTCTTAGAATCCTAACCCTGGTACTTTACGCTGAAATGATACCTTTGCCTTCGGGTTTGATGATATAGTCTGTCCCTTCTTGAACTGTAGCGAGTAGAATGTCAAAAGACCCGCTTTGTCTGTAGTTCCTGCGAAACTTTATCATTTGCCTCGGGTGGATCTAAAGAGAACGAAGTCCTAGATTAGATACCTTTTTAGTTAGACTGTCTGCCTTTACTTGGATTGATTACTATCACTGCTTGATTTCAAAACATTGTACGAGGAATAAAAGAAAATGAAAAACAATTCAGCAATCAACTATCTAAACATGAAGAACCATCAAAATTAAGCAATGTTATTATATCTGACCCCTCGAGATACCTCATATCCACTCCTAAAAATCAATATCCAAAATCCCCATCCACTCGCACCGCTCCCTCACCCCTTGCGCGGGACTCTCCGTGCAAACCCAAGTCGGATTGGTAGCATAAGCGCTGATGACCTCGTACCCACGCTGCGTCCCATTCACCTGCTGAATAACCAACAAAAAATTCTCAATATTGCCAATGCCATAGCGGAAGCCGAACTCGTAGGAATTGTTGAGGCATTTGTTCATGGCGAGTCCGGGTTGGATGGCGTTCGCGGTACTCCTAATTTTTGGGTAGGTTTAGCGGGTTGATATACAACATAAATTGAAAAGGGGCATTGTTCTCTTTTAGTGGAAAATCTCAGGAAGGTCTAATCTGTGAGTAGACACGAATGGAGAATTGGGAGTTTTGTGTAGAAGATAGAAGATATGAAAAAAGTGACTTACCATGATAGGGTACAATCATCAAAAAGCCCCGTCACCGTACTGTGTAGCGTGAATTGTAATGATCCCGTTCCGTCAATTGCATGCTGGACCTGGAAATTCCGAATGTGTACAGATTCGGCACGCTTGACCGGACCGGCGAGGGAGATGCTTGCAAGGGCTATAAGGGACGAGATCAAAGTCGGCATCTTCATTGCGTGAGAGTTGGTGGAATGCACTTGAAGGACGTTGTAGTAGCCCTGTAGGAGACAATCAGGCCGAATAGGACGAGGTATCAGCGAGTTCCTCGGTGATAGATGAGATGATGTAGCGATGAAGTCGGTGACCGTAGGACTGCTTTATCCTTCATGCCCCTAAAGCTTAATCTCAGAGACTCCGTATCTGGATGGCCATAGATTGATAGACCACTGCTAATCACTAAACAATACTCACGCAATTCCTTCCCAGGTACTTATTGACTCATACACTCAGCAGCAGGTGGGCTGATTAGCACCGAGGAGAAATCCGCTTCTGTGACATGGGGAATCTGATGCGATAGTGCAGTGTTGCAGTGGCATCGGCATGCTGCTTCTTTCGCAAGACGTAAAACGTGCAATGATATGGCACATCACTGTAAGTTTTTACGGTACAGTGCCATATTACCGGGTTTCAGACGTTGTGTCTCGTTCCTTGTCTGTGCAGCGAAGCTCAAGTTTGTGGAACAGGGGCATGCAGTTATCAAAGGAGACTTTCCCCGTATGTAGTCGCTATGAGAGAAGGTATCTTGATTGCGTTGGCAGATGAAGGGATCTTATCTTACAAACAGAGGACGCTGCTGGTGAAGAGTCAAGATTTTGCATGGAGTATGGAGACCCAGGAGATGGATTTACAATCCAGCAAGTTCATCAATATTCTTACGCCGGCAGTACGATATGGGAGACGCAACTGTTCTTTCAAAACCCGTGTCAGGGGCTCTGTGCAGGGAAATCTACGAGTGATCTTCCGTGACACACCCATCGTTGCATACTAGGCCGCTCGAGCGTGTCAAGACAGGCCTTTGGTGTCCCAAATGTCGTAGGAGACGCAGCGCCCACCTGGTACAAACTCCGGCAATATCAACAAATGTGTGACTTGGGCTCAGAATCAATCTTCGTGAAAGCAGTTCCCATCACAGAATTGCTTTACGTTCGAACAGAAAAGATAGAAAAATGTGATGTAGACGTTGTATGCCATACCATGCAGCTATGGAAAACAGATCAGGAGAAAATGAGGTGGTAACACAAACTCCGCGCCAGTCACGGCGGACGCAAGACGTTGCAATGACTAGGAGGATTGCGTTGTCTTTCACCTGTACACGGGAGATAGAAAGTTGCATTGACAGTCCACGAAAGAAGGCCTTTGCTTCAAAACATGGGAGGAGGTGAAGGCAAGGAAGGAAAAAAGAAAAAAAAAATAGGCGAAAGAGGCTTTTTGACCTGGAAAAGGGGGTATACCACGAACATGCCACATATATCACACGCACATACAGAGAGAGAATGGAGATCAAAGATTCACAGTGAACGGGAAATGGGAGAAATGACGAGGGTGAGAAGAGATAAGAAATGATATGTGTGTGGCAGATAGACACAAGGCCAGTCGGCCAGGGTGGACTGAAATGGAGAGACAAGGAAAAGGAAACAATGTGCGCAGGGATGACGGTGATGATGCGATGATAAATGTGGCTCAAATCTATGAGGCGAGAAAAGAAAATGAGGAAGGATGTAGTTAGAGGAGGAGTTCCTGTCCTGGGAAGCCGCCAATGCATAGAATCATTGCTGGTGGACGTTGTGGGCATCGACAAGAGCTTTTGAAGTAGTCATTAGCATGATATCCAAATGTTCAAATTATCCTCACGCCATGAAGACAGGAAGGCAAGAACTTACTCTGTAGAGTCCAGGATTGTCCCTGTCGTGACTCACACGCGCACTGCAGCGTGCTACCATCCAGGAAATCCAGCAGAATGCTGTTAGGCAGCTCCTGCATGTCCTCATCTGGAAGACAAGGCGTCCGGAACTCGGTCAGGTGATAGCGCTTGGTCATGTTGCGAGCACTGGCATCATTGGTGCCGGGGGTGAGAACCACGTAGCCGTCCTCATCGATGCGCATAAATCGGCGCTTCCAGAGGAGGGTTTCTGGAAACTGAACGTTGACTTCGCCAATCTCGATGGGCTCGGAGAGGGTCTGGCGGGATGAGGACTTCGAGATAGCCGCGTTACCCAAAGGAAACTCTGCGGTCTCTTCCTTCACGGGTGGGCTAAGAGCCCCGATGATGCTGCGGCGAGAATTCGAGGTGATCGACGACATGCGGCGCATCAGGCGAGAGGCGCGGGAGCCCTTCTTCTCGTCGGTGGGTGATGCGGAATGGAGACTCTCATCAGTCTTGGAGCGCGATGACAATGACAGGCGGCTGGTAGGGCGAGAGACTGCAGTGACTTGGCGGTTGGAGCCAGCAGATGAAATGGACAATGTGCGATCCTCCGCGCGTGGGGCGGTAGACTCGACGGCCTGGCCATTAGACACCGCTTCGTCAGTTGTCTCATGCTGCTCCACGGTGAGGGGGCTGGCCTGGAGATTAAGCACATCTGATTCCGATGGCTCAACTCCAGAGGAGTCCGGTGATACACTGGTATCACGGACGATGCGAGCCGTTACAGAGATCGAGTTCGTACGGCGGTTGGCAGCCGAGACGGGGCGTGCCTCATGATGGTTCACGCTGGGAGCGCGAGAAAAGTCCGGAATAGTACCATTAGGGAACGATACAGATGCACGCTTACGCAACTCCTCAAATGAGGAAGAGGCGGACGGTCCAGTAACCGTAGTCGAACCAGGAGGAGGACCTTCCCTGCTAGTGAACTTCTCTAGGGCCTTAATACGGCTCGAGATTCCGGAAGACACGTTGATCTTCTTGGCCATGAGCACGGGAGTCGAAGGTCCATTGTCGATGTATGAACTCGACACGGATCGGCCCACCGCCAGGGCTTGCATGGCCGATGGGGAAGTCAAGTAAGGGCTGGAGACAGCTCGGGAACCCTTCCAGGACGGATCGCCGCCGTTGGGGGACTTGACCGAAACCGGTCTGGCCTCCTGCACGGTGGCTGATCTTAGCTCCTCCATGAAAGAATCATCCGAGAGGAGACAGTCGTCGTCGGAGAATTCCTGCGTCGGTACTTGAATCGGCTCCAGGTGTTTTCGTCGCCTTTGGTCCAGAGGGGGAACGGCGGGGGTAAGACTCCAAGTGGGTTGCTCAGGCGTGATCTCGTTTTGAGGTAGGGGTTCAATCGAGACCAAGACGGGCGCGACCGGAGGCTCGACTACGGGGCTAGGGGGAGACTCCACGGGAGGAAGGATGGGGATGGTGACTGTTTGGGGGACCTCTGCAGAGACTGCCTCTTCGGTGGCTGCCTCCTCTAATTGTAGGTCGACGACCGAGGCGACCTCAGCAAGTTGTTGCACAGGAGAAGCGGATTCCGATTCTGGCGTCGAGTCTGGGTCGTGGGTTGCCTCCTTGGTGAGTGGGACTTCGACGTTGGCGCTAGGTGGGACTAGGTCGTCCTTAGTCTCAATCGGGACAGAGATTGCGGAGCCCTCGTGCTCCGAGCGTGTTTCAACCTCAGGAACCTCGTTTTTAACGAGAATTTGCGGCACTTCGGACTTTGCAGCCTCCAGAGGTGTCTCGGCGCGGTCAGTAGAAAATGTGGTGTCGGCACTGGGACTCGAAGTAGGAGAAGATGGGCATTCGGAATCAGAGACCGGAGCGTCGGTGATCAATTCCGGGTCAGCTTTTGAAGTTTCAGAAAGAGCCTGTTCGTTTTCAGGCGCGATTGTTGCCTGGTCCTGAAGTGAATCAAGTTCTGGTGCCTCCGGGAAGGCAGCGGGTTGATCCTCCCCGGGGCCAGCTGGAGCTTGCTCTTGAGGCTGCTCAGGTACTTCGGATGGCTCGGGAATCGACACGGGTGGCTCTGCAAGATTCCCAAGGGTTTGACTCTCTTGTGACCTTCCTGGCTCGAGCTTGGTTTCAGCTGCGGTTACTGTTTCAGTCTCAATTTTAGGACTTTCAGTTTGCCGAGCCAGAGAAATGTTGTCTTTATCTTCCTCTTCACTCCGTACAGACGCTTTTGTAGTTGCCGTCTTCACCTCCTCCGCTACATCAGGCATTGCATGGTTCTTCTTCGTTTGCTCCGCCCGCTTAGCAAGTTGTTTCTTCCGTTGCTGTAACGCTTTCATTAAACGTTCTTTCTCGGGCGTCAGGCCGGACGAGGTTGACAGCGCCCCCAAGGACTTAGCACCCGGAGAGGGTGGTGGTCTCGAAATAGGAATCGACGGAGGAGGAACCAGCAGAGGCGGAATCGGAGGTGCTCGACTACTCGGTTTGGTTGCAAACGAGCTTCCTTGAGATCGGGGACGGGGGACTTCGTTGATACTCGGGGGTTTCCGCACGGAGGACGAGCGCATGCCGGCCGGCATGGCGGCAACCGGACGCTGATCGGGGTTTCGAGAGCTTCCCGATGTGCGAGGCCGTCCACTTCCGTCGACTGAAGGACGAGGACCAAGCTTGACTTTCGGTGTGTATCCAGCAGCTCGCTCTAGATCACGCAACGAGGGCCGCGCAGACTGGGTAGACATACGAATTTCCTCTGACGGGCGAGGAAACTCGTCTAGGATATTTCTATATCTTGAAGACTCCGAAGTGACGGATTCTGGAGATCGAGGGGAAGATGGAGAAATGGGACTCGAATGCGATTCGCTTGGGCTACCGCGTGAGAGAGGCGAACGAGAACTTGCTCGCGAAGGTGGAGGTTGAAGATCGGGCGAGGACACATCGACTTCGGGGGAGGTAGTCGAGGGTGGGGGCACAATGGTAGCCTCGGACTTTTGGCTGCCCGATCGTTGTCTTGTTTCTACCCTGGCAGGAGGTTGCGGTTCCGATTTATCCTTCGTCTCCTCCTTTGCGCCATTTTCTTCCGCATCCTCAGTAATCTCCATCAACCGACGACGCCGGAGGGAGCTCGAGGAAGACGTGATCGATCCGGATGCCGTGTGAAGAAGGCAAGCGGAGGACAGGGCGCTCTCGTTCAAATCGGAAGCCTGCGTGAGAGGAAGAACCGTATCGTGCGGGGTGAACTTGTCGAGAACGGATTGAAACTGGACATTACTCCGGGCTAGCAAGAAAGGGTCCACGGGTTAGTGACGGGCATCCTAGCCTCTCGTGGCACACTAGCCAGGGGCCGTACCTAGTATGAGCCGTGATAGACCCTCGGGCATGTACCGCAGAATGACCTTCCTCCTGCGGTAGTGCAAGAAGCCATAAAGTGGCGAGGTCTCATTGTAGTTGTCGATGGCATTGCGCACCTCGGGCACCCCGCCGGTGCCTCGATCGAGGAGGGCGACCTCGTCCCGTGCGGTATAGTGTAGAAGAAACCTAAATCGGGGTGGAACGATTGCGATGATCAGAATCAATTCGATATCATAGATCGTGGTGCTATCTTGCGGAGGGCGCGAAAGGGGCAAGTCTGGCGTGCATTCCGCGGTGGACAAGGGTAAACTTACCAACCGCCCGCGTCGGCCAGGGCATTCTGGTAGACTTCGACGACGGTGGGAGTATCTAGCCCATTGAGAGACATGGCTCGCACGGCATGAGGAGCGTGCCGAAGAGGCTGTGGAAGACCAGTCGCGGTCTGTTGCAGAGGAGTCGGGATCCAGAGGAGAGGAGTGGAGGGGGGCAGAGAGAAGGGAAAGAAGGGGGAGAGAGTCTGGACTACTGGACGGGTCCAATTGGGGGAGGCGCAACCTTCCACCGAACGGGGTCGCACCGAACAAGAATAGATCAACTAATGTATTGTTGCCCAACTGTTCGCTCGTTAGTCGTTAGTGCACTCCGGTGCTCTGTCTCCTCAGACTCCGTCGAAGATTAGGGGAGCGGGCACAACAGTTGGGGCCACGGATGAGATCTCAAGATCGTGATGGGACGGACGCCCCAATCAGACCTCCGATGGGAACGATTGACAGACGGCGAGAGAGCCACCTGATAGGCCGAGAGAAGACACTGACGATGGGCACTGGCGAACCTCTGCTCGTTTCGCAGACGACTATTTTCCCGTTCGACGGGCTGGTTCAGGGGCACCGTCGTTCCCAATTCGCTGGTCAACTCCACCCGCGGCTATCCTCATTTCAGTGGAGGTTCTGAAACGCTCGCTCGGAGTCAATGCTCCTTATAGCTAGCCCCTCGCGTTTGTTTTGGGGTCCGAAGGGGTTCATTGCTGGATGCCTTTGGATGGATGGACTGTTGGATCGTCGAGACATTGGCCGGTTGAGCACTTGCAAGCGTACTGCAGCACTGTAGCACATACGTAGCACGTAGCACGTAGCACTTAGGAACCAGGTCACATTGGCAAAGCACCAAGTACGAGGTCACATATACTCCTTGCCAAGCATTGTGAGGAAGAAACGGCGAAGAATGCGATGATCTCATACGGATTCCATCGTCCAGACGTCAATTCCTCAGTGTAGCGATCTGTCAGTGTCGATCAAACGGAAATAGATCGATCGAGGCCTGCAAAGAAAACCCAAATGTCATTTGAACTGCCATCTAGAAGGTCAGAAGGTCATTGATCAATCCTAATGCAGGCCCTCGAGTTTGAGGAAGATGTTCGGGATAAAAACAAATCATATATTAAGTTTTGTTCAATTCCAAGACGTTCTCGAAGCATTTCTAAAGTAGTTGGACGGAGGACTGTTTAATCTACGCCATTCCTGGGGTATGCCCGAACGCTACTCCGTACTAACCACGAAACGAGGATTTTCCTCGTGACTCTTCTCAGATACGGTATCGTATACATGTTGATAGTCGGACATGGTTTCACAGCCATCCCCATAGAATATTCCATCCGACCGGATCTAAATGCGAGTCGCCTCTTCAATACTCTAAGTGCATTGACTCTATCCAGTGTACGTGTGTCCACGGCCGGACCGACTGTTCTTCACCCTCCGCTGGTCCCCGCCCGAACGACGACTCACTCGGCGACCCCCGATGGCGGACACAACCTACTTATACGAACCCGATCCTCCCAGGAAATCAAGCTCGGATTTGACATCTCTCTCGAAATCTTGACCTTGACTTTCAACCCTCTCGTCCAACATCTCCCCCACCCTTCACAATCATGGCCGATCTCCCTACTCTTTCATCGCTGCCCTCCCAGTCGCAGGAGACCCAGCTGCGCGTGCTGGACACTCTCTTCGAGCCCTCCCCCGAGATCCACCAATTAATGCTGCCGATCCTGGCAAACCAGACCTTCAACTCCTATACCTCCCTCATCGATGCCGTAGGAGGTCGCATCTTTGCGCTAGCTGCACCCAACTCCGACCGGACAGTGCTGTTCGGCATCTTGGGCTCGCACCCGCGGCTCGGTCGGGCCCCCGCCAACCCCGAACATCTCAGCGAATTGAGCAAGAAGGAGCAGGCGCAATTAAACACGGGCGCTGAGGAACAGGCGGAGAAGTTGTTGGCACTGAATGCCGAGTATGAGGAGAAGTTCCCTGGACTGCGTTTTGTGTAGGTCTCCTCTGTCTAGTCTGATCTGTACTCGCGATGACGGCTGCTCGTGTGCTCGTTCTCGATACTGATTCGTATGTGAACAACAGGACTTTTGTCAATGGACGCAGTCGGGAGGTTATTATGGAGGAAATGCGCCAGCGCATTGACCGGGCGGACAAGGAGAAGGAGATTACGGAGGCTATACAGGTATGTGCAGTCGGTAGGACCTCGTAGGATCCCAACTAAGTCGCAGAATTAGGCCATGTGTGACATCGCCAAGGATCGTGCTCGAAAGCTGCAGGCGCGCATTTAGAGAGGGGCCCTGCGGCGACAACCATAAAATACAATACAATTGGTCCCGGGAGGACATTGATGGGATTGACGATGATAGACTCGGTATACGTATACTAGACTATACTATGCGGGCATCAATGAATCTGAATGTGATGATGAACATTTGTATCTATCAAAATGCATAATATGCACGCTATGCACGCGATGCACGCGATGCACTTTCCATTCCAGATATTCTAGAACACGAACACCCCACCGGGTCTGAGTTGAGCGAGGCTTGTCGGCGATAAGCAGAACCAAAGCGAATCAATGAGAACGAACGTCAGGGTCCAGTCGCGTCGAGAGGCTCCACTCTATGAGAGTCTCGGAGCCCTTTGATGTCATCCATGCTTCTCCGGCCGTTGCCGCTCGACCCTACCAATTTTGTAGTATTTGACTTTCGCCTCTCTCTTTCGCTCGCTTCCCTTCAGACGATTCTGGCCAGATTGGACATTCCGGTCTCGACACTATGGCCCAATTCCTTTGACACACCGATCAACCAAACACACCATCTCGCCATCCTCAAACCCCCTCCACCTTCTGCCCCCACCACCGATTACCACACCCCATGCGACGGGGACGCGCGACTAGATGGAGGGGAGCGCAGACCAGCATGGCGCATTACCGCGCAGCTCGACGAGCCCCGTGATCGCTGGTGAGCCCAAACCAGGACCACTCAGAGGCTCGCAAACTTTACCCGTCGGTACGTGCAAATGCGCGCGCATTGGAGTTTTGTCCGGTTGGCTCGAAATCTGGGGATGACTTTTCCCTGGCTTTTGATTTTCGGACCCTATGAGCATGTGGCCATCCGATGGCCAGGCTTACAGTCGGACCAGTGTCAAATCAGGAGGTGCAGGGTGCTGACGATCATCATCACCATGGATAGGTGCAGGATCGGTCACGTCGGGCTCCAGTCTCAGCCAACAAGATGTGCAGCGGAATCCTCGTCGCTCACAGCCCATTGGCGGGCCCGCAGCTAGATCGTCGACTTATACGCTGCACGAGACGAGAACTGAGAATAGCGCTATTGACCCTTTATCACAGGTAAGCCGGAGGAATATCGATCTCCTTCCGGGTCTCCCGACAAAGGCGAACGACCGAGGGGGATGCCGCGAAACAATCAAATAAACACAACTGACCGTCCTTGCCTTTCTTTTTGCTTTCTTTGCTATAGCATATCATCCAGCGAACAAATACACAAAAGTCAATCCCCCTGAAACTGCTGGGTCGGGCTTCGTACGAGGCCGAGGCTGGTAGCTCCGACCTCAACCCGTCGGAGGCCAGTACTGCTCGGGGAGAAACAGTGTCAAACTCAAACGCTTCAAAAGAAAAGAAGTGAGTGTCACGTTGGAACCTTCAAAGCCAGGATATTCGCAAGGCTGATCACACGCGTGATCTACTTGTCCNCCCCCCCCCTTCCCGCATACTTCCGCCCCCTCCTCGTGAACAATTACCTCGTTTCCTCGGGCTCCGGCTACCGAGGAACTGAGCTTTTTTTGAATTTCTTGTGTATATTCATCATCGTTGAATGATTACTGACCTATGACTCTTCTCTCTCTCTCCGTCTAGAAAGGGCGTCTCTTTTCTCAGTCGTCTTATTGGCACCAGAAAGAAGGATCAGCTCTCGGAGGCAGAAGATGATTTCTCAGAGCCAGATGCCAGCCGCATGTCCGTCGACACTTCCAATCCGATAGGATTTATACCACGGCATCCGGCACCTTCAAGATATATCAGAATTCGGGCGCATCATAAAAAGGATAAGGCTTTTGATCGGGTGTTCCTGGCGCAGGAATTACAAGATGGCGCACGCGCCCCGCCCCGAGCCGCTGAAAGACGGAGATCCACCTCGGCCAGCACTCCAAATGACGATGGGGTTGGAAATGCGATTTGGGCTCTGGCGTTTTCCAAAGACGGCAAGTTTCTCGCTGCGGCTGGCCAGGACAAGAAGGTCAGGGTCTGGGCGGTGATTACTACACCGGAGGAGCGTGCGGACGCCACGCAGGGGAACGAGGATACCCCCACGGAGGATCAGCCACCGAAACTAAAGGCGCCTGTCTTTCGACCTAAGCCGGTTCGTGTCTTTGAGGGACATACTGGAAGTATATTGGATTTGAGCTGGAGTAAAGTATGGCAGGCACAGAAAGTACGAAGATGTCTGGAAACACGCTGACCGGAATTTCTAGAACAACTTTCTCCTATCATCGTCGATGGATAAGACCGTTCGATTATGGCATGCCAGTCGGACTGAATGTCTCTGTTGTTTTCAACACAGCGACTTTGTCACCTCGATCCAATTCCACCCTCGCGATGATAGGTTCTTCCTTGCTGGCTCGCTCGACACCAAACTACGTCTTTGGAGCATCCCGGATAAGAACGTGGCGTTCGTCACCACCGTGCCGGACATGATCACCGCAGTATCATTCACACCCGACGGACGGTACTCTATGGCCGGGTGTCTGAACGGATTACTCAATATCTATGACACCGAGGGTTTGAAGGTCTCTGGCCAGATCCACGTTCGATCTGCTCGTGGTCGCAACTCAAAAGGGAACAAGATCACCGGGATCGACACCACGACATTCCCAATCGACGATCCCAACGGCGATATAAAATTGCTGGTCACCAGCAATGATTCTCGCGTTCGCATGTATGATTTCCGTGAGCGAGCGTTGGAAGCCAAGTTTCGCGGCAACGAAAATACATGCAGCCAGATTCGTGCAACATTCACCGATGACGGCAAGCATGTCATCTGTGGAAGCGAGGATCGCAGGGCATACGTGTGGCCCATTGGCACCGTGGAGCGCGACACGGATAAACGAGCTGTGGAGGTATTTGAGACGCAATCTGCCATTGTGACGGTAGCCATCTCCGCCCCGACCACGACAAAGCAGCTCCTCAACCTGTCTGAAGATCCGATCTATGATATCTGCAATCCACCCCCGGTAGCGCTCATGAGTACCGAAGAGTCATCCAAGCAGGAAAGCCCGGCGCGAGAACACCAGAGCGGCCACAAACGGTCATCCTCCGCACCACGGCTATCCATTATCAGCAAAATGGCCCACGAATCACCATCCTACATCTCGCGCTCCAAACATGTAGACGGGAACATCATCGTCATCGCCGATTACTCTGGCAAAATCAAAGTCTTCAGACAAGATTGTGCATACCACAAACGACGCTACGAGAACTGGGACGCCAATTCAACAATCTCTCGACGAATCCTACGACGCTCCAACTCTGCCCGGAACAGTATCGCATCGTCTACCGGCAAAGAATCCACCCACAAATCTTCTTCTGAACGTATAATATCCTGGCGCAACTCCGTCGTCCGTCACGGCCGTACCAGCACCGATGGATCCCGCTCCGGCCTACGCACACGCAGTCCCTCCCCCCAACACCGCTCAGCTACCTTCCGCCTCTCCTCATCTCGACCTTCCAGTCTGGCACCCAATGAATCTCTTTCCGTCATAACAACCTCACCACCACTCTCCCCACGCCGCTCCCACGACGACACAACCACACCTACCGGCCACGGCCAGGGCCGCAGCCTAGCAGCATCAGCGTCCCACCCCCTCAATCCAGATCCATGTAAACTCCCCGCTTCATCCGCCGATCTCATCAGCAGCGGCAAAGCAAACGACAACCCCCTTTGGCTCCAGGGTGATCAAAGCTACGCCTTCTGGAACAAAATCACGCACGATGCGCTGGCTATGAAGTCGCGTAGATCGGAAAATCTGCTCAGTCCGAATCGGATTCCGTCTGGTGCAGAGCGGAGGGTGAGCGTTGCGGGGAGTGTGTTGAGTAGTGATAATGCTTCTTCGCCGGGAGAAGAGGAGGATATCATGAGGTGTGAGCATTGTCGGGGAACGAATTTTCGGGGTGTTAAGGGAAGGGATGGGGGGCAGAAGTTGATTTGTGTGCAGTGCAACCGGGCTATTTAGTATGTGTTTTTGTTCATGTGTCAGTATTTGTTTGGCTTATTTGGAGAGTTTCTTGGAATATTTTGGATCTTTTGGACATTTTGGACATTTTGGGATTGACTGGAAGACTGAGATTTGGATCTCTGCGGAGATTGTGTACGATTTGGTTATGTTTTGATGACTTTTGCTTATTTTTTGACGTCTGCGATGGTGCTGGGTTCTTCCATGGTTTTTGATATGGTGGATGTCGTTGTATTTTTGTGTTCTTGTTCAGATTCCTTCCCATTACTTGATGTCATTTGGATTTTCATGAGCATGAGGTCGAAGCCTCTGGGATGAAGGGCTTCCGGGCAGAGCCCAGTCGCATTGGACGGACTGCTCTTCGGCGTGTATGATATGGAAACTCTTGAGGTGAAAATAAAAAGCGCACAAATCTAAGAGCTTCAAAGATGATCCACCCTTACATATCGAACTTGCTCAAGGACAATTGTGAGGTAATACCACAATTCGCATCCTACCTCTGACACAGTGTCGTCCAAAGTAGTAACTGTCTGGTTGGCCGCGATGCCAAGACCTGGGAAAAGTCCGGCGCTGATAACCTAGCTGGCTCTCCTCCATTTCCACCCCCGGCCTGACCTCGACCACCCCATCACCTTCCTCAATTCCTCGAACTCCTTCCTGCAACGTCCTCTTTGTTGCCTTTGCTCGAGCTCCTCTCCAGCTCGTTCAATTGAGTACACATCACATAGCCACTCAATCTCCTACCCCGCCCATACTCGCTCCGCACCACCACCACCATCAAAAGCGAGACCGGCTCTCGCCATTACACCCACCATGCCTTACCTCCCCACCTCCCAGGCTTTCCTGGAGCAGTCCGCTCAGCTTCTAGAGGCATACCCCGATACAGTACGTTGAGATCACACCTCCCTTGGACCCCCGCAGCCACGGCTATAACAGCTTGCGAATCGCACGACACAAACCTCCCC